TTTTAATTATATTTCTTAGCCCTTTATATAAATATCTCTTTTAATTATATTAATACTATCTTTTTAATTATATTAACTTAGCTTGTTTTTTATAGGTTGATTTTCTAGGTAGGGGTTTTAACCACGTTAAGTCAATATAGTTAGCGTATTAAAGTTAGATTAATAACTTTTTATAGGGGTTAAAAATACCGCTTTATATAGGATTTTAGGGCGGGTTACTCACTATATACACCCGTGTTAGTGTAAATATTATAACTAGTAACTAACTAACTACTTCCACAATAATTTAGTTTATTACTATATATTTCAATATTCTGCGGCATGCGCAGCCAACTCTCTGCCGCTACGGACTCGAAGCTCTTTGGTGAACGAAAGGCACTGCTTTATCTACACAATCTCAGGCGAGAGCAGATGGCAGTTTAGGCGAGCCTTGGCAACGTGATTTTTCGGTACGTGCTCGAGACCTATGGCTTTATCAGCTGAGCAAGCTATCGCCCATAAGTCTCACTGTAATGGTTTTCGAGGATTCTCGCGACTTAGCATGGCGAGTACAGTTGTAGACAAATCACAACTAACCTCGGTTCACTCTGCTAAACTGAGATGTCCAATGAGACATAAATTAGGGCATTCCCCTGTTGCCTATGCATTCTTTGTCTGACATCTTAAGGTGGCAGAACACCTCAACTGGGAGAGCAAGAATATGCAGCAGTCATGATCATCTACTTGCAAGTCGAAATGCCTAAAAACGTCAAGATTACAAGACCCCAGCAACCTAGTGCACCAAACTGCCAGCTCCCAGCAAAGGCGCCCGCTCCGCCGCCCGTGTGCCAGCCCGCACGGCGTCGCTCACGATCCTCCTCACGACGGGGTTAATGGCCCGGTGCGCCAGGTAATTCAGCCGCCCAATGGTCCTCCGCAAGATGGAACCAACCGATCGTGCGGCCGCCGATCGCACCGCCGACAAGGCCCCACCCACGGCCGATGACTCGGAGAAGCTCCCGGCCGCGGTCCCCGCCAGCCCGAGACTGGCGCCGAGCTCTCCAATGAGGGCGACCACCTCGGGCGACGTAGCGAGAATGGACCCCGCGAATAGAGGCCCTGCAAAAAAAGCGCCTAGGATTCCGCCCGTCCACGAGCCGTCGCCCGAGGATACATGTTGCAATTTCTTCACTTGGTCGTGGAACTTGTTTTCCGGTTCTTTCGGCGGCTCCTGCTTCGTCGGCGGCTGTTTTCCGTCATCGTTCGGGGTCGCGTTGTCCGCCTGTTTCCCGCTCGTCATGGCACGCACGATTTCGCAATGATCGCTGGATTGTCCCGCGCCTGGCAGCTATTAGCACAAGGAGCAGACTCAAGGATACCGTCTTAACGCGTCTTACCGTTGGCCCGGCGTTGGAGGCGTCCGTCGGGAAGACACGACGAGAGCCGCACCCCGTCTCTGCGCAATCCGAGCAGGACGTTGAACGCGGCGGGATGCTGGCGGAGGAGGTCGTAGAGCCGGGGATTGTCCAGTTGCAACAGGCCGACGCCTCGGTCTAAAATGTGCACCAGACGCTCGCGGGTATATCCCAGGCCGAGGGCTTGTTGTACGAAAAGCCGCCATCCTTCGCTGCGAAGACCTGCCAAGTCTGCTGCTGTAGTGGTTGCGTTAGCACTAACGTCGGTTCAATGTTTGCATCTAGCCTTTGCGCGTCATTGTTTCGTACCTGGGCTACTGCCGCCGGGTGCGTCTCCGGCAGTGTCTGGCGGTGGACAGACTAGTTCCAAGCTGTCTATTGCCTTGAGCAGCTGATAGGCATCGGCTAAGAAGAGTCAAGGCTGGTTAGAAGGAAACGCCGTGCAATAAAGGGAATCAGTTTTGCATACAAAACGCCGCTTGGCCGTCTCCCTTGAACTTGGCCGCTGCACACGCCGCTGCGCCCTCTTGTCCTTCTGGACAAATTCGGTCCTCGTCATCACGTTCCTCTATGACGGTGTAGGCCGTTTCTGTAATTATCAGCATGGGAGAATATAATAGACTGGGCATAGTGCATACCAAACGCCTGGCTGGCATCGCCGCTATATTGCTCCTTTACACAGGCCTCTCGCCGCGACGGGTCCTTGTCGTCCTTGCCAGCGGTAGGTTCATACTCGTCCTTGTCGCCGTCGCCCGAAGGGAAAAATCTATTCTTATTCTTTTGTAACCACTCGCGCAACTGTTGAAGTTTGGTCTGCTTCTGACCCTCTTTAGGCGGAACGCTGCCCTGCTCTGCTTTGGCCCCAAAGGTAGCAGCCTTGTCTACTAACTTGCTCAACTTCTTCTTCATGGCCTTTAATTCGCGCTTAAGCGCCGTCTTTTCTATATCCCGCTCTTTGGGGTCGTCGAGCCCCTTCACAGGTTCGCCCTTTTTAAGAGCTTCCAGATTCTTCGCTCTGGCATCCACCTGTCTTTGCAGTCTGGTTGCCCATTCCTGCAAGGCCTGAATGGCGCGCTGCCTCGCTGCATCGTCGATGACTGCGTTGAGGGGCGTTGTGAGCATTTCAAATGACCGCTCGGCTGCCCTGATCAAGAATCTTGCATATGCCTGCCTGTCTTGCAAGTAATACTTGATTTGGTCCTTACAGAGACCTTTTAGAACGCTGTCGCCCTTGCATTCTTCTGCAGTCTTGACGTAGTGTCTGACGCCTTCTCTGGCCGTGTACATGGCGTTTGTTGCGCGTAGCTCCAGTTGAGCAATGTGCTCTGGGGAGCTTACCTGTTCAACCAGGTCTCTGGATGCATCTAGTTCGTTGGATAGATCGAATATTTTGTTGGAATCGGCTCTTGCAGGCATGATGCTGGCGTCTCCTTTGGTATTTTCCCATTGGCCATAGTCCACGGTTGGACCTTGGGCGTCCTCGCAGTCGACTTGGATCTGGAGACTGCCGCCGCGGGAATTAAGCAATGCTTGCGGTATAGCCATCTGAGCTACCGTTCCATCTCCATACTTGGGGATATGTGATATTCGTATGGTCTTTAGGGGGTCCCAGCTGCTATCCTGGCTTTTGATGTATGCATCAATTTCCTCATGAGTCGTGTCCAACAATTGCTCGTCAGGGAGGATAACCTTGGGCACTGTGCGGAATTCTTCCTCGTCAGCAGTGACAGCGCAGTCGCTGTAATATATTTTCAAGTTAGTTGCCTGACCGTGATAGTCGACCGGTTGATACTAACACGTCTCCTGCGTGCCCCTCCCACTGTCCATACCCGGCTGTCAGATAGACGCCTTCGCCAATTTGCGTGTGGCCTGTTATTGGATCATCGGTAAGAGTACCGGCTTCCTTGTATTTTGCGGCTTGATTCTACAATGTCGACGTTATTAGTCATGTAGACGTGGTTATACGTGCGTGGGAGTGGTTATATACCTACAGGATGGACGCGTCGGTAGCCGATAGTGATACGAGAGCCGGATGGCAGTTGAGTAGGGCCACCCCAGACTCCCTCGGAAAGGGCCAGGGCGATCAGCCATCCGAATACCTTGTGAGTCATGGTTTTTTTTTTTTTTTTTGGAACAGAGTGGAAGAAGTATATGGGAGTGTATCTCGGATGAGAGACCTCGACAGTTGTAAGCCGCTGTTGACCCTCCTCAGAGCACCAGGCCTTATATATTTTCTGTACTGCAAACATTAAAGACACCAACATATTTGAAGGCTTGGATGGCGAGTCAAGTCATGGCAGATGTTGGTCAATGCCCTCAAACCTGGCAAGCCAATATTAAAGGTACGAGACATTGACGGCTCCAGTCAATAGTTTGACTTGGCGCATTAACTTGCTCCACTGCATTCATGTCGAAATTCAAAGTGGTGTCGATTATAAATAAACTTTCTTCTCTAACGGCTAGCTTGAGGTACAGTGGAACTAGACCAGACGGACGTACCCGTTGACAGCTACTTATCTCTTTAGCTGCGAAATGACTCGTGGAGACTCGCTCAGCTTCTCTGCCATATAATTTCCTTTTACAGAGAATATCAGCGAGTCTCCACGAGTCATTTCGCAGCTAAAGAGACATGGATACATGTACTAGTCCTGCGATAGTTATGGTGCTGATGGTGCTCCGGCACATGGTGCTACGAGGTACGGTAGCATTATATTTACGGTGCCCGTGTATTGAAATTGAACTCTTGGCCCTATTATGAGTAAAAGTCTGTGGCTCGTAGAGTACAGCGTCAAATGTCATTCTCGTCTAAAATGGAGTTGATCGATAGACACATATACAGTGCATCGACTCCCTACATATGTATAATGTACCAGACTTGAGACGGTACGGCTTCCAAGGCATTAAATTGGACAACAAGCAACAATGCCCATGCTGCATTGACGAGTACATATACAGTAGTAGAACCCCTTGGATGTGTTGAACCCCTTGGCTGTCTATAGGAGAAATTCGCTCATCGCCACAATACGGAATTTGATTTCCTCCAAAGTCAATAATATGATTAAAGGAGGGGACAATCGGCTACAGCGCTCATGCGTAGAGCCTGGCTCCCAATGAATGTGCTCTACAATCACGTCTTGCATTGAATACTTGAATTTCAGGCTTGCAGCCCATCTCATCAAAGGCACGTCAAGGACCTTGTGGACATAGGAGACATGAGTCAGCTTCAGGGTCGGTAGCCAATCGGACATAACGGCCAAACGGCAGCTTTATTTCCTAATTATTAATGATTATACCCATAACCCTGTTCGGCATAACTCATTATTGATTGCATTAACCACGGCACTTATTCTTGACTTACAATCCGTGGGCCCTCACAAGGTCCTCGACTTCAATATTTCATATACAATTTTATGCCGCAGTTGGATACAGCGACTGAAACGCGGCTGAGCAAAGTATTCATGCCACCATGTCAATCTCTATCATGGATGCATTCTAGCTAGACAGGGGCCTAAAACGAACCGCTGAAAATCATGCCCTTACTTTGCTGCACTCAATATTACTACTCGCCTAGTCGCTGACGGGTATACAAAGGTCAGACACGCCTAGTAAATAAGAGAGATTAAAAAAAAAGCAGTCCTCACCAAACGACCCGTCACATTGTGTTCTAACCCTCGACACTCTTTTCAACATGTTTCTCTCTGTCCTGGCCGCCTCCCTCTTTACCACGGCGTCCCTAGCCAGGGAAATCCGGTCGCTGCACCCAGTAGGAGTGACCGTAGTGAGCCGTGATGAGGATCTGCTGGAAAAATATCGCGGCCAGGTCACAAGACTTCATGACGCGATATCAAACGCTACCCAATGCTACACCGACTTCATTGACAACCTTCACAAGGCGGAACCTGATACTTTGCATACTATCAACGCTTGTGGTGATAAAAATGAAGCAGCCCGAGCTGAGTTGGCTGCGACCCATGAGATAGCCAGGAGCCCAGCCTTTCCTTCAGACAAACTGTTTTCAGCTCAATTGCCCGACGTCCTCGACAGTCGAACCAGCCTCCAGGGCCCGTGGACCAAAGATCTACAAGACCGGGTTCACCAATTGACTCTTGAGTCGCTAAACGCGGTCGAGGCAAGCAAGCGAGCAGCACTCTTGCCAGAGTACCGAAAGCACGTAACAGCGCTCTACGACCATCTATCCAAAGCCGTCACATGCTACGAGGCGTATGACAACAATGTCCAGAAGCCAGGTGCTAATCCTGACAGCATCGACGCCTGTGACACGGAATACGACGCCGTTGCGCGCTCTCTTCGCGATGCCCGCAGCACGGCCTACCAGCCCGACTTTCCCGACGGCAACTGGCTCTTTGAGGCTAAAATCCCGGATATGCGCGACAATCGTAACCAGAAAAAATTAGACGAGTTGCGCGACGCGGCCAAACACGCATTCGAGATCAAAGATCAGGCGAAGCTGGTGAAGAACTACCACGAAGAAGTCACCGATCTTCAGCGCCGCCTCGCAAGTGCCACCAAATGCTACGTAGACTACATCGACCACATCCATAGGGAAGACATTACAGACGAGGGATACAAGTCGCGAGCTGATCAGGCCTGCAACGAGGCCTACAGGCAAATCCAGGCCAAGCTCACCGAGGTGCGTGCGGCGGCCAGCAAGCCCAACTTTCCTGGGGCGTCGTGGCTGTTCAACGCCCATCTTCCTGATATCACGGACGGGCGGGCAGAGCTCCAGAGCGAATGGACGAAAAACTTGGAGGGGAAGCTTCGCGAGCTGACGCAGGCGGCGGACCGGGCTGATAGAGCGGGTATCCAGGCGGACGACAAGCTCACGCAGTTCAATGCCACTGTGTTGCAGGAGGTTGTGCCGCTGGTGAATAAGACGGCTATGGAGACGGCAGAGGTGCTGGTCAAGTACGTTGCGCTTAACCTTCTCACGCAGGGGAAGACGGCGGAGGATGTCAAGGACGCTGCGAATAAGGCCTTGCTTGGTTTTGTAAAGGGACTGGGGCACGACATGGTTGATGGTGTGTTGAAGGATGTGGCTGCCGCGGAAGACAAGGAGTAAATTGGATTTGGATTAGCCGTGCGTGTATAGAGTAATAGACGAAATGATGCTGCCGACGACTTAGACGAATATATTCTATTCGGCGCCGAAGATCTCGTCCCACTCAAGGAGCATGATGGAAACGGCCACTGGGCCGTGCGTGAACCGACGCTGCGCACACTCAATGGAGAAGAGTACAGCGTCAAACGATATCGGCCACGAGCCGAAGGACTCTTCTCGGTCATTGAGCACTGGACTAAGAACACCGGAGAAATTCACTGGCGGTCGATTTCGAAGCATAATGTAACTACCTTATATGGCACCAATAACGAATCCCGTGTTTTTGATCCAGAAGACCCCGACTCCTCGAAGCCCACCCGAATATTTAGCTGGCTCATTACCGAGAGCTTCGATGATAACCAGCCGTGTGAACATAACCGCACTGAGACAGCGCGATATGCCGCCTGGTATCTGAAGCGCATCAAATATGGAAACAGACAATCGCGCTTCGTCCAACCCATCCCTGCGGACACCAACTGGATGTTTGAAGTTGTCATAGACTATAGAGATCATGATTTTGACCGACCGACACCCACATCGCAGAACCCATGGTTATGCCGGAATGATCCTTTCTCCGTCTACCGCGCCGGCTTTGAGGTCAACGTTCGGCACTACCGCCTATGCCAGCGCGTTCTTATGTTCCACCGCTTTCCGGACGAAGTGGATATTGGCGTAAACTGCCTAGTGTCATTAACCGATTTCGAGTGCAGAAGCACACGAGGCGTGCCGAGCGACATCAAGTTGGGAAATCCCACAGCATCATTTATAAGTTCTGTCCACCAAAGTGGATATATTCGTACTGGTGATCTTGCATACGTAAAGCGATCCATGCCTCCGATACAGTTCGAATACAGTCAGGCAGTTATTAACAATGCGTATTAAGAACTCAGCCTCCAGAGCTTGGGCAATCTTCCCACCGGGCTGGGTTCGGACAAGTATCACTGGGTAAACTTGGACGGAGAAGGCATAGCATGCGTATTGACCGAGCAAGGAAACACTTGGTTCTATAAACGAAACTTTGGCGATGCCGAGCTGGGCCCCTTGGAAATCGTAGCTCAAAAGCCGTCCTCTATCCCGCTCAACGGGAAGTCGCAGCTCCTCGACCTCGGCGGAAATGGACAGCTTAGTCTCGTGGACTTTTTGGTAGTCACGCCAGGGTTCTTCAAGAAGATAGCAAATGAAGATTGGTCGTCATTTACGCCTTTCAAATTCCTCCCAAATATTCGCTGGGACGATCCGACGCTACTAGTTATAGATCTCACAGGTGATGGGCGCGCCGACATTATTACGAGTGATAATCAAGTATTCACTTGGTATTCTTTCTTGGCCGAAGACGGATTCGCACTTATAGAGCTCTAGTATATAAAGCTTTTATTTTTTAATTTTTAAATTTAAATTAATTTTTATATAATATTATTTATATTTTTTTTAAAAAAGTAAAACTATTAATATAAATTTATTTAATAGGTTTACTTTTAAGTTTAAGACTTCTTTTATTTTAGCTAAATTATTATATTAATATTATTTTTTTAATTATATTAATATTACTTATTTTTTATAAGTTAATTTTTTAGGTAAAGGTTTCTACTATAAAAAATTAATATAATCGGCGTATTAGTATTAGGAGATACTTAATGCTATTAGGTATATTGGCTTACTCGACTCTTGGCTACTATAACGTCGGATATTGGCCCCGGCAAGTCCGGAGATCTATCCCTCGTTGTTGTGGATACTAGATCAAACATGTGTCAAGGACAACGTCAACTTATTTGTATTGCTCCTGCTATTCTCAAAGGGTCAAGCTTTGTCATTTCAGACGAGGCCACGGCGTCAATCTACCACGAATTAAATGTCAGAATCCAGGCTTCCGTGAGACATGCAGGTGATCTTCATGACAATCGCGCATCGCCTTCGGACCGTTATTAATTATGATAGAATTATTGGACTGGCCGCTAGGCAAGTCAAAGAATACGACCATCATTGGCAGCTGCCGCAGCGACCAGACGGAATTTTTCAAGACATGTCTGGTTCGAGTCAGCAGTAGACAGGGATACGTTGGCGGCGTTGGCCAAAGCAGCATGGTACCGAATACACCAAGTCAAATGTGCTTGATGCAAAAACTGAAAACTGATGGGATAGAAAGAGCAGTGACCACACTGCTCGCCCGAAATCTTGACCCCTCCCTCCATGACAGAATTTCCTCCATTGCTCTACGCTCGCCCGCTTGGTATTATGTCTCTCGCTATAGCCACCACAGTCCTAGATGCGACGGCAAATTTCACGTCCTGGCTGGACTTGCCCCTACGGAAATACACCACGTTTCTGATATACCTCAGCGACCCAACTAAGCGCCTTATTCGAGCAATCTTGCGGTAACCGGGCCGATGGCGCAGCAGATGCTCCCGGTATGTCTCGGCCAAATCGACTCCTGCTACGCCAATCCAGCAATATCTCATCTATTGGATGGCCAAGGGCGATTGCCTGTCGAGTGGCTGTTGCACATTGGCCAGGATGAGATGCTCTTTGAAAAAGACGACACGTCTTGGCGGACGAACGGCCGGCCGGGACACGTCACCTTTACCAATCACGATGCCATGCCGCTGCAGCACGACACCCAAAACGCCCTTGTCGACTGCGTCTAGGTCCCGGTGATTCGGTGAATAGTCCAGATGCGGAGCCCTTCACGGCGTACGGAGTACAGAAACGGGAAAGGCGCTGTTCGGCTGAGCAAAGGCGTTGTGCCGGACGGCCCCCACTCACACTGCCTCGTTTAAGAGAGATCAACCAGACCGGACCACATGCAGACTTGACCAGACTCTTCTTTGTCACTTGGATCCCGACGGGTAAGTCTCTGCGGGCCACTATCGAGACGGACGCCAAGGTGCGACACAACGCCCCCTTTGCCCCCTTTACCCCGACAACATGCAAATAGATATAGAGGCCAACCTCTAACTCGCTCTTCTTGTGTATCTGAAGAGCCCAGAGACGCGTATATTACAAGTTTATTTGGCTCTTTGCATGGCAAGAAACCATGACAAATAATTGTATTAAGATAGAAAAGAATCAAGAGACCAATATATCCATCGAGCTATGTACACACTTTATAAGTCCCGTGGCCTTGTAACCTTAGTAGTTTGAATACGATATATCGGTGAAACAACTTGCCGGTAATACTAGTACTCTTGTCCTGCTCAAGTCGAGCTTTATTACACAAGCGCATGCACCAAATCTTGTGCAAAGGTTACTCACAGTTGTACGACTTGTGGTTGTAAACTTTGCCTGAGATCTTAGTTCTTGCTATACATAACATTCTTAGTACTCTAAAGCTCATCTTACAATGCTTCAGCGAAGAGGGGTGTTGCTTACCCGCATTAGAAATGCTGTTAAGGGTTTTTCTCTTGTCTTTTACTTCCCCCTTGTACTCGTACAATTCATGCCCACCTTTCACCTCAACATATGGTCCGGCGTAGTCGCTCACGGCGGCACCGTCACCGTTCGGCTTTTTTTGCCAACTGGGGTCGTTGAATTGGAGCCCGTACTCGTAGTAGCCGTTGCTGTTGCCGATAACAACGTCCTTGTGGCGACCGCCAGTATCTTTTATCAGTTGGTAGAGCCCATCGTGTTTCGCGCCGCTGCGGTCATCGTAGGTAGACGGACGCTTAATCCATACGTGAAGCCTCGTCGCGTCTTTGCCCGCGGGCACTGGAGGAGCAGAGAAGTTTGGAACTTCATTTTGGGAAAGATTTGACTTAAAATTTGGGGAGATAGTCTTGTAAAGAGACGAGAATTTAGATCTGGTAGTGTATACTCTAATGTTGTGCGGATTCAGCCAAGAACAGCGAGAACTCGGCATTCTTATAATTGTTAGTGTAGCTCGCAGGCACAGGTTCTGCCGAGAACATTACTCTCCCTGCTAGTACGACGGTGCTTATCTCACTCGTTTAGGCCAACAACGCGCCCTACTTTCAGAGCTGATATGGTATGATGTGGCAATTGTAGAGGTGCTGTATACAGCAGGGGTTGTAGCAGCAGGGGTTCAATGTTGGTGATACAGTTTGCACACCCTGTAGACTGCATTTGAAGGCTTACTGTACTCAAAGTACACAGCCACCCCGTTGTTCGCCCGAACACGCTTATAAGGCAACTCAAGTGGAAATCTTGAATTAAAATGCACTTCAGCGTCTGCTGTTACACGACCTTGGTCACTTTCGGTCTCCGCCTCGCTCATGGCACCGACTAGTAATTATAAGAAAAAGGTTAGATTGTAGTAAGCAGGGAGAATACTCTTGTCAGCAAACCCATATTTCACGAGCATTAGATTGACTATAATGTTTTGTAAAAGGTAGTAGTTTCTTGCGCTAGGACAATACAGCCGTCGCTAGTATAATAACATGTATTCCTGGCCGTCGTATAAATATATTATGCGAGATTGTGTAGGGACGTTTAATTGCAAAGGATGGAGGATTTATTACTAGGGATATAGGGTTGCCAAAAACGTGGGATTTCCATGGATTTCCAAGGACCAACACTTTACCAGAACCTTGTCCGTCACGTGACGGATTGCGCCTCTTTTTAACACGCTGCCTTTTGGCAGTTTTGGCCACCATCTACATTAGAAAACACAATTAACGGCCTCTACACCAGGTTATCAACGTCGCAATCATGGAGATAGAACCAGACTGCATTATTAGCTCTGAAAGTTTCGACAAGTATGCACTTGACGAACGCCGTCGAACCTCCAACGAAAGAGTTCAAGACTTCCTAGATCGAGGCCTTATGAGCCAAGGTGAGGTTCAAAGTAAGGCGTTATCTCAGCTCGTTCTAATCCAGTCTAGTTGTCGTTTACCAGAGGTTTACAGAGGAGTTATCTGAGAGACTTACCAGTTTTAAACGGTCTGATCAACCTGCCGTAATAGAAGACATCAGACATTTATTCCGTCGACTGTGCGACCCAAAGAACGGATGTAGGTTATGGCTGGTTATAGTGAGTTCCTCTGAATCTGAGGCTGACATGAGACGCAGACCTCTCTGAGGCGGCGTTCAAGCGCCTAGTTGCGGAGAGGCTCTCTGAATTTGGAGTCAATAAATCATCGAATGCACCCGCGCTGCTTTTCAAAGTTTGCAGCTCGCATGCATTCTACCCCTTTCCAGCATCAAACAGCGGCTCAGAACAGGCTGAGATCGATGAGGATAGTTTTGTGCGCGCAGTTTGTCTACTAACGCTAAGTCCTGCCCAACGACACGGCAACCAAGTTCCGGGAACTGTGCATCGCTGTTCTTCAGGAATCTGGGGCCCACATGATGGTTGGTATATTGCCATCCGCGGTAAAGACGCGAGCGACTTCCGCAGACGGTTGTTCCGGAGCATTGCTCTTCCTGCCAGCTCTGGCACCAGCACCAGCTACGACACAAAAATAACGGTCCCTCGGTTTATATGGTTCAAATCTGAAAACGAAGAAACTGATTTTGGGCCTGAACCCGACCAGCAGGTTGTTGTTACAGAGGACGAGAGCGAGTTATTGATCGATATTATAGACGTCCTTTCAGAGTGTCCGCCCGAAGCTGATAGGCTGACTGCAAACCCGTTTCGCGAAAGTTACTGTATCGTCCTACCATCGCTGCCAAAACGGATTGGCGACTTATCTATGCTTTTTATCCCTAGGATGGAGCTTGTGGCGTTATTAGAGCTGGTCCACCAAGTACAGGGGGAAAACTTGGTGGATTTAGCAGCGGCGATTAGAGGGCTTGGTAATGAGGAGAAAATTAGCTGGAAGAGGTTCGACTCTGCAATGTCGGAGCAATCCGTGAGTTGATTCGGATTAAGATATAAAAAACTCTCTTATCAGCTAATATAATGTTACAGGAATATATTGCCGCTAGTATTTCGAAGATTTTTAGCGCCCTTTTAATTACCTAAAAGAGAACTAGATCTTATAATTTTATTATTTTTATTTGAAATTTAGCTAGATACCTCATCCAGGCAGCACCCAACCAAGGCAAGAGATTCAGCTGGACACAATGGAGACCAAGCACTTACTTCCAATTACGATCCAGTCTACTGGTTCGAGGCTACCGTATTATTCGTCTTTCGCTTCTGGAAGTCCTAGTCAACGGCGCCATCGTCCCTAACAGCCGCGGCGCTGCCCTCACACGACTGGCCGCTCTCGGCCGGCGTATCTGTTGCCGCTTGGTCAGCCGCCGACGCGGTACGTGTGTAGTGTTAGTTAAATCTGGAGGTAATAATCCAGCGAGACGGGCGCCACACGAGGGGGTCGGGCACCCAGACCCATGGATAGGCACGTATGGCAGAATAACTCGGGAGCACCATGGCCTTTAGTGGGATGACGATGTTTTTTTTCGTCGACCTTGAGAGTCTGTGCATGTGATGGCGTCCATTTGGCGATGTGTATGGGAGTGTATAGACGCACAGTCTCCATCAAGACAGCCAGGCAGCGCTTAAGTCGAGGATGGTCGGCGTTGTAATCCCACTCAACCTCCCGTAAACGACGCTCACCAAAACCCTGCCAAACCTCGTCGTGGATTCAATCCTGTGCAGCGGGATTGGAAGCAGGGAAGGCAACCATGAATGTCAGGGTGTGCGCAGTCCTGTCGTGGCCCGCAAAGTTGAAAACAAATATGTTGCTGTAAATCTCCTTCTCGCTCCACCCTCCCGTGGTCGACGACGATGCTTTTTGCTCCTTTGTTGATGCCTGCACGAGGACTGTCATGAGGTTGCCATCCCTGGCCGTGCCGTCGACACTTTGGCAGTTTTGAAGGCGCTTTTCTTGCTCGTAAAGATCATTCATATACGGCTGGAATGAGACACAGGCCTCGTGAATTCGCCGCAATTTTTTGGGCAGCCAGGGCTTGGCCAGAAACTGGGCGCCGAGAGCCATGATGAGGACGCAGTTGTCAAGCACGGTCTGGATAGACGCCTTGTAGTCTGTTTCGGACCGTACCAGACATTCGTCGTTTGCTTCTCCAGGTGGCCATGAAAGGGGATAGACTAGCCGGATCCAGCTCGAGACAGAGCACGGAGCGACAAGGTGCGTGTATCATCGGTGGTGCTTCGAATTTCTGGTTTCGAGGCCCAGTAACGAACCATGTCTGCCGCCTGAGCAATAGTTTCGAGCCAGACCAGCTGGTTGTTGTTCTCGTTGAAGCATGTGGCCCTCACTTTTCGCTGCTTCTTCCATTGCTGGCCTTCAACCTACAGCGCAGTAGCGTGTCAAGTTAGTAAGCAGGCTCCGTACAAGGTCAAGAGGACACGGGGCAATAAACCGTCGAGAGATTTGGCCCAAAGACATTGAGAAACTCTAGCATGAGTCAACGCACGGGCAGGACAGAGGTCTCAAGCAGGACGCACCGAATAGATGCAGCGGCCGTGGCGGATCCGATCTGCGCTTGAAAATTTCCACCAGGCTGTCTGGATTGCAAATGTAGAGCGAATTACCGCCCGGTGTAACCTGCATGAAGACGTCGACCATTTCGACATGCGACCTACATCTCTTATCAACCTTCTAGCTGCGCCAGGAAATGTCGCGGGAGAGGATAGCCAGGGCAGAGTATTTGGGAAAATACAACATGGTGCGTACCTCGAATCCCGCACGTGCTCGTGCTCTCACGTCATACCAGTTGACATGTAGTTTGGCGGCTGATGGTTGGATGCCGTTGTGCCATGTTCTGTCAAGCCAGTTGGTCCATGTTAAACTTGACATTTGACACCTCCCAGCCGCTGCACTCGCGGGGCCGAGCTCCTCGCTTCGTGGTACATATGAGTATCTCAACATTGACCGCTGACCAACGCCGTGGGCTTTGTTGGCCCTGTCTGGTCCATGTCTGGTCTGGCTGCCTCGTTCAAATTAATAACTCCACCTCGGGCATGACGTTTATGTAGCTTCTATCTCTTTATTGATCTCTCTTAAAAGATCTGTATTACACAAGACGTGGGCAATAACCCAAAGGGAAGTATTATACACATCATAAAAATAGTCCAAAGTCAAGCCCTATTTAAGAGTGCTTTATTTGCCTAATCTAGCGTTTAATATATACTTGAAAGCTCTAGTAAGGGTAGCGCTCGCTCCCGGAAAATTCGTACTGGAGCCGGGTAGGTCACCAAGATATACTGGTCTCCCCATGTCAGGATTTCTAAAGCTAAGTATACCAAGCCGGGTAGCAAGAAAGTTAGTATTTATATCTGACCCTGATTGTATTGCTAGGTATTACCGCGGTTTCGAGGCTGTCCCCACGCGGTAAAGGGAGATTGTCTATTCTTAGTTTACTATAATATGCGCCAGGAAAGTAAGCAACACGGTACTATATATTAAGCAAGCTTAGCTGCGGTAGTAGTTGTTTATAAAAATCAATTCTATATTCCTAATACGCCTCGATAAAAGCTTCTAGAGTCGACCCGCTAGGGGAGAATCGCCGTTTATACGGCTTGACCTGTTAACAGACCGCTTATCCGGCCTTATTTGCTATTGACTTTCTTGGCCGCATTTTTCTTTTCCTCCTCACGAAATAACTTCTCTCTTTCCTCCTTGGTTATGTTCTTTGCGTCCTGCTCCTCCTTCTCCCCTTGCTTCTTCTTCTCTTTCTTTTTCTGGCTAATAAAGTCCTTACCCTCCCGGGTTGCGCAAAATTTCTTTCCCTTTCTACGATTATTGATATCCTCCTACTTCTGTTTGTTCTCCTTAAACTCCTTGTCTAATCCATTTTGAAACTCTTCTTCCTCCTGCTTGGTACGCTCCGGGACCGCTGGTGCAGGCTTTCCACCCGGAAACCCCGTGATACGGTCAGGGACTGACGAGCTAGTCTCCGCTGGATAGCCACCCAGCTCTGTCTGGTTTCTAACAGAGGTGCCGGCGGGAGCGGCCGCAATACCCTGGGCAGCCAAGGCCACTAGGTTTTTTTTTCAAGTTAGGTAGCTGTTTGATAAGTAATATGTGACGTGGGTAATATTAACTAACAAGATATAAAGAAGCTAATGCGAACCATAGTAACAGTAATAGCCTTTGCAAGAATACCGGTTTTAAGAGATTTGATAATAAGCTGAAGACTAAAATCTTAAATAATAAAGAAAGTTATATACTTGTAACTTAGTAATATAAGTAGAAAGAGCGTTTATATCGGCCTTACATATATAGCTCTACGGAGAACAGTCTAAGATTATTTTATAAGTCTCTTGCATAAAACCCGAGTCCTTAATAATTTAGTATACTCGTGTAGTCTACCTCTAGTCATATTATCTGGTCTTGTTTATTTAATACAGCGCTTGTTTTACTAGCAAGTTTCGATTGAGTAGGTATACCCACATCGGAGACTCGGCGCATAAATAAACTAGGGCCGCATAAAATTGTCTTGTAGCTGCTTCTTTGAATTATCAACTTCGAAATGCCAGTCTGTTGTTTTCTTGTGCCTTGGTCCATTTTTTTTGCTATATTATGCGTCGAGAGTTGACTAATTTAAACGACTAATTTCATGCCAACTTATGCGTCTCAAGTTAATTGCCTTTAGTGGTCCTGCCTTTTCGTTAGAAAGGTCCTTTAATACCTGGCTGCCTCCAGTCCCACAACCGACGCTAAGAAAAGGCCAGAAAAAACCTCCCCTTCGAAGGATTTCCAAAACAGGAGATATAAGCTAGTGTGACAAGGGTTCAATTATGAAGGCTTGGAGCGATAAAGGGCTCAATTCAATAATAATCTCGTAGGATGTCAAAGGTCCTGAGTTGCTACGAGAAAGGAAGAGAAGGGTGACCGCCTTATATACATGAAAGGAACGCCCGGGCCTATGGTCCTTGCCCGGGCACGTGTTCCAGCTGTGTAACTAACAAGTCCTGTATCGGCGAGGCCCCTTTGTTGGGCCTCACGATCTGTTGGGCCTTTTCCGTGTAACAGCTAGTCCGTCGGCTGAGTTCCTATTACAATAGCGTTATGACCCGGATATTCGCACTGCGGATATAACGTATAGTATGGAATAGGACACGAATTATATTTCCCCTGACACGAGTGTTTTATCCAACGCAGGGTCCGCTCAAGTTGACTCGTGTATGCTAGAGCTTCTCGAGTCAAGCATAGAGCCTTCAAATGAGAATAACGAAAAGCACCCCGAGTGGGGAGAGGGGCTGGTTAGAGACAATGCACTACCCACCAAATGACTCGAATACGTTGTGGAGATAATAAACTGCTTGGAATTAGACAGTGATAACGTCGGTGGTCTTTAATAAACTATGCCGGCCCCTGCTTCGGATTTGCTAATAGAGGCAGTATTTTGGTGACTCGAAGGAAGCTTCCAAGCCCTGTAGTACAAGTTGAAAGAAATGGGCAAACTTTCTTCGGGATGTAGCAAAATCACTCATGATAGAACAACAGCAGAATACTGTCAGAGATTTTGACTGCCTTGATAATCAAAGTAAATGTCGAGGTTGCCGAAACCGTCGACTTTCCCTGTTGTAGTAAACTGAGGCAGCTTGTATAGCCTGTTCTCTTGCACTCGCCAGTTGAAGCCAGTCTTCCGGTATTAAGAAAGCCGCCTTATCTCAGATGGAGAAACGCTATATTTGTCGACATCAGAAAAGGTAACAACATCAGGCCTCCTTTGTGACAAGCGCAGATGAATGGGCTTTGAACATGTGTTCAAATATCAATTTAATAATCGACTTTGAGGTATCAAAAGTCCTTGGTTTTGGGGGGGTCTTCAGGGACTAGAGGCCTTTATAAATGCAAGACGTCGGTGAGGGCTAGTGCCTGAGGCGGCCCTCGGTTTTGGTCCGGCTCCGGTTGCTTGCGATACCCTTCTTTGTTGTTATGTAACCTTTGTGATCTGATGTGACGTATTTCGCAAGAGCTCCGAGCCCGCTTTTATCTGACGCGGATGTTTAAACAGTCGGACGCTATGGCATATCATTGTCGCGACAAGTTACCATGTATCGACCCAACCAGCCGAGCGGTTCGAGCCGAGTGGCTTCAATCAACCAGGGTTGGCGAGTAGGGTCTGGTAGAAGCGGGACGCGGCATTTCGTTACTTTCCGCCCCGATCGAGGGTGTAGGCGAAGACGGAACCTAAACCTAAATAGCGGGAGCGTTGGCCCGAATAGTTTTTCTAATGGGTCAAGTGCTGGTTCCAGATTGATCCCCGATATGACCCCATGATAACTGCGCCACAACTGCGTGGACCTTTTCGCGGATGTTTGCAAAGCCTCTTTCAGATTACGTACCTCCAATATTGTATCCAGATAGACATCTGGGGGCGGAGACGGACTTTACAAAAGCGCGCTGCTACTTTGCAGTAAAGGAATTCCAAGTTACGTTTTATGCCTCACCCCGCCTATTTTCTTGCACAAATCAACGAACACTAAACCTGAACGGCCTGGAACGGTTAGCCGGAACCACAGGTCCAGCGAACTACTACTATGTGCTATGACGTAAGGAGAAAACACATCTTTATTCCTCGTAGGAAGAGCAGTATACACAAGACCACGCCTGGGATCTGTGTAAGGACATGGCGGGTTAACCTAGCCCGGCCGGAATCGGTGTTTTTGGCATCAAGGAGAATACCCGCCCCCCTCGGGCTTTATAGTCATCGCTACATGGGGCCCGGGTCTGCGCCGGTAGAGCTGTCGCCGTATACTCTGGGCGCTATTGTCTTCCTACAGCTTGAGCACTGCCAATAGTTCTTAATGAGCGGGCATATAAAATGAGCCCTGTTCCCCTTTCTTTCACTCAAAGGGCATATGCAAAAAAATATCTACTTCTGCTTTCTTTAGCTAAACTACAATTTGTTATCAACCTCAACTATGGCCGAAACGATATCTACAGATTATCTAGTTATCGGGGCCGGTGCCATGGGCATGGCGTTTGTGGACACCCTGCTTTCGGATACAAAAGCCACTGCGGTCATCGTGGACAGATATGACAGCCCCGGTGGTCACTGGAACGTGGCCTATCCTTTTGTCCATCTTCACCAGCCATCCTCTTTCTATGGCGTCAATTCCAAGAAGCTGGGAAACGACCAAATAGACAAGGTTGGCTTGAACAAAGGCCTGTTGGAGCTTGCCACCTCCCAAGAAGTAGTTGGCTACTATAGCCAGCTCATGTACCAGCACTTCTTGCCAAGCGGCAGAGTCACTTACTTTCCCAAATGCGAATACACTGGAGACGGCATGTTTCACCCTGTCGTCACAGGCAAATCGTTTCAAGTCGGAAAAGAAACTCGCATTGTTGACGCAACCTTTATGAAGGTCCGCGTTCCGGCCATGGGCCCCCCAGCCTACGAGGTCGCCTCTGGCGTGAATTTGATTACCCCCAACGACCTGGCCAACATCTCCCGAGCCTACGGCAACTACACTGTCGTTGGCGCCGGTAAAACCGGCATTGATACCTGTCTCTGGCTGCTCGGCAGGGGCATCGAGCCGTCCAATATTAGCTGGATTATGCCGCGTGACTCTTGGCTACTGGATCGCGAGGCGCTTCAGCCTGGGGCAATGTTCAGCGAAAGACGCAAACAAGATCAAATGGCACGCTTCCAGGCGGCCATGTCTGCAACGTCGGTGGACGATCTCTTCAAGCGGCTAGAGTCTGCTGGCCATTTGATGCGTCTGTCTGACAAGGTCTGGCCTACAATGTACCGATGTGCGACGGTATCTATCCCAGAATTCAAACAACTTGGAAAGATTGACAGCATAATCCGCATGGGTCGCGTTATCTGCGTTGGGAACGGCGAGGTCAAGCTGCAGGGGGGCACGTACAAGGCGAAACCAGATACTCTTTATATCAACTGCACCGCCGACGGAGCTGCCAAGCTTTTGCCCGTCCCTGTTTTTAACGGCAACAAGATTACGCTTCAGCCAGTCCGGACCTGCCAGCAGGTGTTTAGTTCCGCCTTCATCGCACACGTCGAAGCTACATATAATGACGAGAATTTGAAGAATGAAATGTGCCGGCCGATTCCTCTCCCCTACGAGACGGTGGACTGGATAAAAACTGCGATACTAAACACGGGGAATAGAAGAATATGGAACTCGAAGCCAGCAACCGTGGCGTGGCTGCTCCAGGCCCGCCTCAACTTGGATATGCACAATGCCCCTGAGGATCCGGCGGAGCGGGCGGCAGTCGAAAAACAAAAAGACGAAATGGGGGAGGCAGTGGCCCAAAGATTGATGGAGCTTGTTGGCACCAAGGGCCAAGATGCCGCCTAGGGCTCTGGGATTTGCAGGTAATGATGGGGTGTGCTCGATGAGGGATCTGCCTTTGAGCCATGGTAATTCTAGCCATGGATGGATGGGTCTGGTCTTTATCATGCTATCCAATAAAGTGGCAACCTGCTCTCTCTGTCCAAAACAAACAGGTCGGAAAATATCAACTTGTTGAATGCTGAGATGACATGACAACGTGATCCAAGTAGTAAACGTCCCAGCAGCAGTCCAATATTCGCTATTCATGGCGTGATTCGAGCGGCGACGTACCAGAGCGTGGGAGTTGCATCAGGTAGTCGAAGATGAAACCGAGAGGGCGTGGCACGAGTAGAGGACGCCTGTCTGATGTGTCAAGATTGAATTCTGCACGTCGATATAATTGCCGCCGGCTTCAACGAAAGGCACCAGACCGGACCGGACGGCCCCGCACAGTCTATTGACCAGACCATCGCTTACCTCGGTACATGTCTACTGGTCAAGTAGCACTTGAGGTGTGGACCGTGGTGTGGCCACCAATAGGCTGAACAGGACCGGCACGGAGCTTCTGATCCATTTACCAAATTAGTTACATACTGCGCCAAGAGTACCTCGGGATTTCAGAGCAGCACTGAGCTTCGTTGCACTTTTGCAACAAGCATGATGGCGTCTCAAAAGCCCGCCGAGCTGATTCGCCGTCATCGGTCAGTCATTGCCTGCCAAGGTTGTCGCCTGCGCAAAGTGCGCTGCAGCCTATCTGTCACCGGCGTGCCATGCACCACTTGTACCCAGGATGGTACTGATTGCCTTGTCAGCCCGCGACGACCAAGGCAAAGGAGGTGAGGCGAAGCCGTCTGGTGCCTGGAAACAAGAGACGACCCGAGGGCTGACTTGTAACAACGTGATAGAAATCAACGAGGCCGTACCTCGGCTCTTTACTCGCCACCTGGAGACGCGCCTCAAACCAACTTTGCCAATGTCGACCCCAGCTCTATTATCGAGCCATGCTCCAATATGAGAGTAGACGTTGCCGCTGCTGATGACGCGGAACAAACGGCGTCTTGCTTGGACTGCGAGAGTGCCAGCATATACAATGAGGAGCGCAGTGGCATTGAAATTGCAGAAGCCGCCTTGGGAGTACCACGGAGAGTCGGACAGCTGCCTTTTTATTCCGGTAACAAGATCCTTTCCATGGCAGAATATCCAGCCGAGACTAACCCGCTATGCAGGGGAACACCTCGGTTTACACGTCGGTTCGTCAGTACCGAGACACTTCCTGATCCCCTCGGATACTGAGGCGTTTCTTGAAGAAGAAGATCGAGAGTACTTGAAAGCAAAGGGAGTCTTTACGTTGCCCCAAAACGATACTTGTGCCGCCTTACTCCGTGTATACTTGTCCCATGTGCATCCCGTCTACCCAGTCATTGAGGTTGAGCAACTATGGGATTGCTACCATAATGGACGACTTGGCCAATATAATCTTCTGCTTTTATGGAGCATATTTTCCGTTGCGGTGAATGTAAAAAGGCTCTCCAAGACTCACCCTAGCTTGACTGACCAAAAGTCTGTAGTTTATCTCGTCTCAGGATTTCGAACGAGAGGGGTACAAGTCTCGACGGCATATGAAGGCTGTCATGTACTCTCGAGCAAAGGTACGCAACCTCCAAGGCTGGTGATTCATTTTGCCTCCATCTTTTGTTTTCTATCGACATCACATCTAACCCAATCGCTTGCGGCGACCAACTAGTGCATGTACAACAATGGTGGAGATAGAGATCTCGTGGTCCGCCTACAAGCTTCCTTCTTAATGGGCTTTTGGAGCGCAGAGCCATTTGAACACGTACGACCGTGGTATTGGACCGGCATTGCCATTAATTATTGCCAGATGCTAGGTTTGCACAGGAACCCGGACTCGGCGGAGCACAAGTCGTCCATTAGTGAACCGCAACGACGTTTGTGGCGTCGAATCTGGTGGAGTTGCGTTTTCCGCGATCGATGGCTTGGTCTATGCCTGGGAAGGCCGCAGCGGATCAACCTGGATGACTGCGACGTCCCAATGCCGACGGTAGATGACGTGATTCAAGAATTGGAAAAATTGCCTCAAGGTGCATATACCGCCTTTATGCCGGTTGAGATGCCGCGCCTGGCCACGTACTGGATCATATTGCTCAAGCTGAGTAGACTGCTCGGTACTGTGCTACACATGAACCACCAGGCGCGGGATCCCAGGGCATCATCCGTAGAGATACGTGCCATGGAGGATGAAGTCCTTCAATGTACCTTGCCGGATCAATATGAAGCCAATCAGACGCGCCTGGCCTCGTTTTATGTTCATCATATCCACTTGCACCATCAGTGAGTTCCTTGCTGTGCTCTGCAGGCATCACAAAGAATCAGTCTGACCATGGCAGAGCACTTTTGATTACATTTTACCGCCACAATGCCACAGAGTGTCCCGATGACATTCCGTCCGCTCAACGAGAGGATTGGAAACGCATGCTCTGTTTAAAGGCTAGTACTGCGGCACTACGAACAAACGATATTCTGGACCTTGTCGTTCGGGATGGGCTTCTTGGATTTGCAGGTCCCATGACGTGAGCCCTTCCATCATACATGAACCCTATTCACTCGACTGTTTGCATTTCCGATGGGCTCATGCTGCCCGCAGGCGTATGTTTGCACAGCTAAGAAGTAATCTAGACCCCCGCTCCTGATCCCCGCCATGCAAATGCACCTGTTGGATTGCAAATCTCCTGGCTCCCTCCCGAGGAGGCTTGGTCTTAAAAGATTGGAGGCATGCCTGTTGGTGCTGGAAGGGCTGCAGAAGACTTATGCCGGCGCCTCAATCCACCGTGGTATATTCTTGAAAGCCATACAACACATGTTCCCAGGCTATGCAACCGGCTCAGCTCCATCGAGCGAGACGATGCAGTCTGTAGTAAACGCTAGATCCGAGACGATAGGAGACGCTTCTGCGAGCGAAACATTTGTTGACAATGTTTCTGCAGAGGTGAGTGCACCTACAGATGACTTTCTGGATACGCTGTTGGACGATGGAGCGTTCTTCCCTCTCTGGCTGGATGAAAGCTACAGAACTGTCAATGTAGATTCCGATAGATAGTTGCCTCTTGCGCAAGGAAGAGCTGCTGGAAATTTTCACCATTGTCTCTAATTGGTGCCGTGGCCAAGGAAGAAATATACAGGGTGACAATACATCATGTTGCATTCATTCCGCCCGATCAGACACTACATTGTGTGATCAACTGTCCAGTTTGCCGCCCATGGACGGGAGCCACCAGACTGCATCTTGTCTGCAGATACCAGGGCTTGCCACCAATACCTCGGACCTGTGGTCCACAATTTGCAAGCAGGCCGTAACGGATCAGGCGTCTGTTTGGTTGGTATTACTTGACAACATTGAATGTTGGAAACCTCTAGACCTCGGACCTCGGACCCCTCACGACCCGCCATTCAGCAACGGTGAAGTGTATAACTGAGGAAACCACAACCACTCTCTCCTGGAATTCTCATTCCACGCATATTTACTTCGGTCAATCATCAAAATGCCAGAAAATACCAAAGCGGCGCAGAGGATACGCCAGGTTTCTACCCACCTCAGCCCTCAGAAACTGCCGGTGGACTACTCCGACGTGTTTGACGACATGAAGCTGCTGCGCTCCATGGCCTCAACCCCAGACACCTCGCGGCGCGGGTACATTCGTCAGAAGGAAGCTGGGAAGCTATGGGTCCGGGAACGCCTAGAACAACTCCTCGACCAAGGCAGCTTCACCGAGATTGGCTCCTTGTCAGGTACAGTCACATGGGAGAAGACGGGCCCGACGACTGATAAACCCGTATCATTCATCCCCAGCAACAACATCCAGGGAATGGGCCGCTTGAAGGGACGCAAGGTCCTCCTTACGGCTGATGATTTTACTATACGAGGCGGCCATCTCGATGGTTCCACAGCTGGCAAGACGATATACCTCGAAAAGTTGGCCTTGGCTCTGAAGCTTCCCATGATCAAGCTGGTGGACGGCAGTTCCGGCGGAGGCAGCGTCACCATTATTGGGACCCAAGGCTGGAGTTACTTGCCGAGCCTGCCCGCGTTTAGGCACATTGTGGACCAGCTAAATCAAGGGATTCCCAACCTGGGCGCGGTCGTGGGACCTGCGGTTTGTTTCGTCTACCCATGGTGTTGAGAACAACGAGGCGGCTAACAATTGCCTGGCTAGATTGGGCTCGGTGCGGCTCGCGTAGTCTCGTGTCACTTTTCCGTCATGGCTGCAGACATTGGCTCGCTCTTCAACGCCGGCCCCGAAGTTGTCAAAGGCGCCGCTCTTGGCAACGACTTGAACCCCCAGACCTTGGGAGGGCCGGCGATACATTGCACCAATGGTACTATTGACAATATGGCCAGGGATGAGGCGGAATGCTATGAGCAGCTTCGCACCATGCTAAGCTATCTGCCGAACTGCGGTGTAGAGGCACCACCCGTGATCCCGTCCACAGACCCCGAGAACCGCACAGATGAGTCCCTTCGCCGCGTCATCCCTCGCCGTCCGACGCGCATGTACAACCCTCGGACCATCATCTCGAGCGTGGTTGACCGAGAATCGTGGTTTGAAATTGGGCCACTTTGGGGCCGGACGGCAATCAGCGGTGTGGCTAGACTCGGCGGGCGACCTGTGGGAATCATCTCGCTGAACTGCGAGGTGAATGGAGGAACGTTGGATGCGGCAGGCAGTCAAAAGCTGACGAGGCTACTAAAGTTGTGTGATGTGATGAACTTGCCGGTGCTGCAGTTTATCGATGTCCGTAAGTGGCACCTACAATGCCGTCAATCTTCTTCTGATCGTAGTCAATGGCGTTCACCGTCCTCGCTGCGCTGACCAGGAACAACTACAGCCGGATATGCTATTGGCCCAGCTGCCGAAAAGGCTGCAACGATGCGCTGGGGTGTCGAACTGGCCAAGACATACTTTGACACCACGACGCCGCTATTCAACGTCATTACACGGCGCGTGTATGGCGTGGCAGGTGGCGTCATGATCAGTTCGCGAGATCCCGTCATGCAGGTTGCCTGGCCCTCCGGTCAATGGGGTTCTCTCCCGCTCGAGGGAGGCATCGAGGTCGCACACCGACATGAACTAGGCGAGGCAGCCAAAGTAGGTAAGAAGGCTGAGCGGTACAAGGAGCTGGATGATGAGTATCGTCGACTGATGAACCCTGTTCGAACGGCAAATGCGTTTGGAATAGAGGAGATTGTAGACCCCAAGGACACGAGGAGTATATGCTGTGCTTGGGTCAAGCATGTATACAAGACATTGCTGCCACAGAGGCTGTTGGACCGGGCTGCAGGAAAAATAGTGCCCAAGTTTTGCTAGCTTCTTCGTTATCAACTTTTGTATTCTTCGTGGACGTTTTGCTGCCTGAGAATCCCTTTGTAGCAATTTCAATTGCCCGCTGTAACCCGAAATATGTATGACGCAACTCAAGACTGCCATGACTTTCCGAGATTCAGCCCGAGAATCTTACGGCTTGCAAACCGGCAGCCAGTTTTGGTCGGTGTGTTCGTCCTGTTGCGAGCGAATGTTTGGATCCAGTGCGACGTAATACCTCTCTGCCATGCCGAGGTAGACGCGGTATTTTAGTTTCACGTAATCCGACTGGCTTCCAAAAAAACGGACATGAATCCGCACATCCGAGGTCCGAGGTGCCCTTCATTCAAAAGTATACAAAAGGCAGAACTAAGTCTGCCCATAACTTACAGGACAAGATGTCTAGACATGCCAACGACTCTGAAGCTCTACTGCAACCATGTCGACTCGCCTTTTCTCACGCCTCTTGGTTGCCAACAGGTATGTTATTACCGTGATGGTCTGCGGTCGGGATGAGTGGCTAACCAACGCAGAGGAGAGATTGCTGTACGGATTATCCAGGCCGCGCGAGAATTGTCACCACCAGTTGAGACTTTTGCACTGTACACCGACGATGACGCCTTTCACTGCAGTGTTGGCTGCCCAGACCACGCGATACGTCTGCCTTCGGCCGCTTCGTACCTTGAAATGCCGTTGCTAGTGAAGCTGGCAAAGGAGCATGACATTGGTGCTGTTCATCCTGGATATGGCTTTCTCAGTGAAAGTGCCGAGTTTGCCCGTCAGATGGAGGAGTCTGGTATTTTGGTGATTGGGCCTGGGCCGGAAATTTTGGCCCGCACGGGTGATAAGCTCCAAGCAAAACAATTGGCCTTGGAGTGCCACGTACCAGTCCTACCGGCAATGACACATCCGGTAGCCGATCTGGCGAGTGTGCGCGAATTCATTCAGCAAGTGGGCTACCCTGTTATGGTGAAGGCGGTTGACGGCGGCGGAGGGCGAGGGATCCGACTTGTGCGAAACGATGGTGAACTAGAGAATTCAGTTCGCGCAGCCACGAATGAGTCTCCGTCAAAGAGTGTGTTTGCAGAAAAAGCAGCAACCGACGGGTTTCACCATGTAGAAATTCAGGTAATAGGGGACGGGACCAACGCCGCCGTGTGTCATCTATGGGAGCGCGACTGCAGCGTGCAACGGAGGTTTCAAAAGATCGTCGAGGTCGCGCCAGCGCTGTTCTCAAATCGCGGTTTGATAGATGAGCTTGCAGGTGCTGCGGTGCGTATGGCCAGGGCTATTCGTTATCGGTCGCTGGGAACGGTTGAATTCCTGGTCAACGAAAAGGAGGACGCGTTTTATTTTCTCGAAATTAACCCTCGACTGCAAGTCGAACATACCATTACAGAGTCTGTGTCCGGTGTTGACCTTGTGCAAACGCAGCTTCGGGTAGCTCAAGGGTTTTCACTTGCGCAACTCGGTCTGGAGCAGGACCTGATTCCCTCGCCAAGAAATATGCACTCAATTCAGCTGCGGTTATGCGCTGAGGATGCGCACAACGGCTTTTCTTTGAGCGTGGGCAAGATTGATACTTTCCATATCCCTGGTGGTCATGGGGTCCGCGTTGACACGCATGTGCCAGAGTCTGGGATTGTAGTTGGGTCACAGTTTGATAATCTTTTGGCGAAAGTCATCGTTACCGCCTCGAGCTGGAAGGATACAGTTTTGAAAGCCCGTCGGGTCCTGGCAGATACAAGAGTGTCTGGTATTCAGACGAACCTTGTCCTGTTACGTGGAATTCTGTCCCATGAGGACTTCCTGGTTGGCAGGTTTGATACTCAGTGGCTTGGAAACAGGCTCGAGGATATTCTACGGGCAGGAAATGATGGAACTGAATCCACAATTCAAACGGCCCCCAAAATTGCTACCTCGTCAAGCGTCTCGTCGTCTAGTATTACGTTCCAGCCTGGGGATGCCTGGTCTGTCAATCTTGAGCCCTTGGACACTTCACACCAGAGAGAAAAACAACAGCATCATGGGCTTCAACTGACTAGAATTCTGCAAAACAATTTCCCGAATTCTCTCGTAGCAGAGATTAAATACACCACCCCGTCCTCGAGCACCGCATATCAGGTACAGTTGGCGTCGATTTCCGCAGACGAACTAGCTGTATCAAAGTCTCGGCGAAGCGGTGATCCGAAGAACCCAAATCATATTATACTCCCTATTTCTGGAACGTTAATAGAGGTTTTAGTGTCGCCAGGCGATCAGGTGGCGGAAAACCAGGCGGTGGCTTTTATTAAGCAAATGAAGATGGAACTGGAGGTTCGAAGTCCTCGTGCTGGAAAGGCCCGGTGGGTATACGAGATGGGAGCTGAGGAAGAGGACGTAAAGGAGGGTCTACTATTAGTAGAATTGGAGAATAAAATACAGGAAAAGCTATGAAGATGGACAACATGTACTAGATCATCCTGATCGTAAAGAGATAATATACTAGTATAGATAAATAGCTAGTAAAGTAGTTGTACTGTAGCGGTTGCTCGGGTCACAGATTCTGCATGTGAGCCTTTAGATGATTCTACCCCCTTGTGGCCGAACCATGTGTCTTCTGACCAGAATAGTAAGCCGACTTTTTTTGATATCACAAATAATAAGCGCGTACAGATGTTCAGCATTCAGCGTCCAAGTTGTCCCTCTTCCAGTTCTTCTTGCAAGCATGCAATGGCTTTTTATATTAAATTAACACGAAATCAGTCATGCTCTGGGCTAATCCAGAATTACTGATATTACTCCTAATACCAGGGGCTGTCTATAGTGAGTCCGTCCGTCCCTTCCAGATACGCGCTATCCTTGAACTTCAGTTATATAGCTGCATAATTTGTCGTTTATCTGCACAATCCTTTACCCGCCTAATATTATATTGTATTCAATACTATTAAGCTGACGAGAGGGAAAAAATTTTCTTTGTTTTTTCTCGTTGTGCTTTCTTGTGGAACTTGTCATGCATCTCGATCCCTCATCTATACAAAGGAAGTCATGGATTATTCTGGAAATTGAACCTGTACATTGACTTCCACTACTACAACCTAACTGGTAGGAGCACCAAAAAGCAGCTCCCAGTGCAACGGTGGTTCCAATCACATCCTTGTATATAGCAACGAGTTTGCCAAAAATGCGTCGAGTACTACGCAACAAGCCCCCCGATACCAACCAAATGTAGACCTGTGTCCACTTTTAGCATGGAATAATGTAACCACTTGTGCAGACTTTGGCTAGCTCTTGTCTCCAAGGATTGTGGCTAATACGACTTCATCCTGCTTAAGGCACTGAGAGCCATTACCGCGGCGATGCGTCCCGATTTGGTCCTTTCTCAAATAGAGACAATCTTTTACTTAATAATAGTCCGTTCGTATAGTCGTGATCAGCTAGATATCATTATCGTAGCATCTTGGTATAAACACGCCACATTTTCGTAGGGTCCACATACTATACAACTATGTTCTAATACTTTATAACTGCTTCTAGTGTGTTCTCTTTTGTGCCACTATCATACAAGAATGCGATTGGGTCAACATTGGATTTTCAGTCCCTGCTTGAGGGCTCGTTTAGCTCTCCCGTCGTAACATTGTGAGTTAAGGCTAGGGTCTCCTCCCGGATAGGATTCTCCATAACGGCACGCTCGTGCCCTCTTTTGTTCATCTTGTCTCCATAGGTTGGATTACCAGTTGAGAATTTCCCCTCCTTTCACGTTATGCAAGGCTAAGGCGATTTTTTGTTTTACCTATTCTCTGTATCCTTGAAAAGGGGGCGTGTCATTTATACCAAGTTTGGAAGACTTCCAGGTCACCCTGTCACAACTACTTATTTTCTCCCACGCCGTGATTGCATGGTATTTCAGTCAACAAATGCAACCTCATCCGACAGGTTCAGATTCCTTCCGACCCAGCTTCACTTACAGGCAATGTTGCTGGTGCGGACCCCGTCAGACTCTTTAGAGCAAATTAGACATAAGTGCTTGCAGCGAACTAAGTAGCGGACTCCTTACCGCGATTCAACGTAGTAAATAGGACATGGATGCACAGATGCAATCGTCAGGCATAGGAGCGAGGCTAGTGCCAAAATAGTAGCCTACATATATACTAATATGATGTGTGGGGACGTGTCAAATTAATTCTTGCCCGTCAACGGTCCTTCTACTCACCGGCCCATGGCAGGACGGGATACATATGTAGCCCACAACGGTCTTCTTTTTACTCCACCAGACTTGTTTAACACATGGGGCCGTAAATCAAAGTTGTAAGAGAGATACCAGCCCTGCTATAGCCCAGGATAAATGAGTCGCAGACCAACAGCAGGAGGAACGTTGTAAAATAGTTATTGTGACGTACCGTAGCCGCGCAGATATAGCCTCCTCCAGTTCTCTTATTACTTTCAATGTTTAGTCCTGGCAATAAATTTCTTTTATGAACTTGACTTTAGTACGCACACTAGAGGTCGTGTCGGCGCTGCGCTAAGGGTAGTTTGGCTGTCAAGGCTTTTTTCGACCTCCTGGACGGATTTGGTAAGTACGACGACTCTGCCAAGGAGCGGCAGAAAATGACTACCATGTTACAGAGATACCAAGTTACTTACCAGGCCGCCGACATACTCAGAAATCGTGACTTGTCTTTTATATAAGATACCGGGTGTCATGGTAGAAACGGATAGGGACAGCTTCCTTCTCGTTCCCCGGTTTTGTGGTTTTTTCCCCTCCTAATTTGTCTACCAAATAATGACAGTTCGCCTCGATTTACATTAGCATTCCACTGCAACTTCGAGATACAAATATGAGAACTTCATTAGTTTACCTATTAACTCTAATAGGACTAAGCACTGCCATCTCTATCAGTTGGGGTAGTGCGTCGCAAAGCTGTTGCGTTTATGGGAAGCTGTCTCGAGGTACCCAGGCTCTCGGCGCAATTACAAAGAATATCGGGAGCCAAAAGCTATGGGGATCACAAGAAAGCGTTTGCGGGTCGGGCAAGAGGGATAAGGAACTCCTTCAAAGCCCAAAGACTATTTTAAAAGCCCCGAAAGACATGCCGAAAGCACGTACAACTCGATTGCAGCCTAACGTAAGTGCGTGCTTCTTGAATAATAGCTCTTTGTTTTTCATTTCAACCTTGCAAGGTTCGGGGAGTATAAATCATAAACTGATGGGAGGCAATAGTCAATTCTACGACGCCAATATAAAAAGGAGACCCAAATTATACCTGACTGGGAACAAACAAACGACAAGTTTAGGCGAGCCGAAAAGCGTCTCCCAGAGCTTGCTGCAGAAGCTTTGCTAAAACTTCAAAAAGTCTCTGCGTACAAACAAACACGATCGCTAGTAACAATCGACATCTTGCTTCCTCTCTCGAAATCTTCTTTGGATAAACTCAAGGAGTGGGATAGCCCAATTGGACGTGCTGCAAAGGCATTTGATGATTCAATAACGTCTGTTCAAAAGAAAATTGGAGGGGAGCAAGTACCTGAAATTTTTGGTAATGAGCTTAAGTTAAGAATAATTTGCTATTTGAGAGGAGAACAACGACATAAAAACGCTGTGAGTGAGGCGTGCCAGCGACTCCACGGGCATAATGAGCAGCAAGCTGTTCAAGAAGAAAACGAGATGCGAAACTCGCTTATTCAACTCTTTGAGGATTGTGGAAATCCGACCAAGACTAATCAACAAAGCCATCTGCTCCAAATTTGTGACGAGCTTAGCAGAAAGACGTTAGATCTCGAGGAGGCAACACAGGATTTAATTACATTTCGAGAGCAACTCCAACAAAGATTACAAGATGGCGGCAAAGTTGAGCAACAAGACATTGACAAGGCTGCAAAAATAATCCGTAAAGGAGGTCTCGGTATGCCTAGGAGCAGTGATGAGGATTGGGCTACCGAAATGGCCGCATGGTATCTCGGTGCTGTAATAACTTCGGCTGAGCCAAACGAAAACAACCAGCCAGAGTGTCAAGCTATGCCGACGTGGGCTACTGAAACATGGGTTACGGCGCAGGACATTCCAAAAGACAGGATAGCCTCGCTGGAGGCATTTTATATTATTTCGAATGGACCGTATAAAGATACTTACGGTGCTGAAGATCAACTGAGGGGAAACGAGAAGTGTTGGTCGGCTTCGGGCCTTCGGGCATCCAAACCAATTGATTGGGATAAACTATCTGCCGCGCTGGTCTATGTCAACAAAAGTATTGGAACTTGGCGAGTCACATGTAAAGCATGCGAGTCTGAAAGGATTCAAGAATGGCAGCTCAGATGCGGTTCTACCAAAGCTTCAAGCGCGGTCTAAGTCGGTCACGGGCAAAATGTGGCATGGCTTGGTATAACGAGGCCTGAGGCCTAAGGCTCTCACCGACTTGTTATATAATAGAAGACCTATAATACCAAAGGCGGTTCGTGGATAAATTGAGTTGTTCTCCACACCCGCCAAGGTCTTGTCATGAAATATATCTCACCTAACTATAGCAAAATATTTATACCAGACTCGCGCGAGATTCACTGCGACATGATCTAGGAGCATTTCGTCTAGCACAGCCCAAGACACAGACTCCACTTGTGTCGGAGCTGCAGCCGAACGTCTACTTTCGCCGTTGCTCGGCCGTCCTTCGCCCAGTATTGAGCACGCCCACAGACTTTACAAAGCCCGTAGTTCATCACAGCTTGGCACATGGCCATGGATGATGCTGCAGGTTGGCTAGCAGGGTAGGCAGCTCGGACTGGGCAGTTGCATAAAGTGCGTAATAAAATGCAAGACTTGAACGCTTACTATTGAAGATTGGGCCGTTGAACTGTCGCGTCAATGAATATCTGAGCGGCTGCCGATCAATGGCTCTATGTGACAGTACATTCAATACAGTCTCCATTTGTACGAGGCTTCCACTTTTGGTGGCGTAGACATATAACAGGGACAGGCTGGTGAGCGGAATATCGGCAGTTCGGCAGAATTCTGGAATAGCAGTGGACGTCGGGTTGGCGTGGCCGGCCGGTTAGACTTTGCGACTGGGTTATTAAATTGCAAGGGACCGCATAAGAGACATCGGAGTGTAATTCGTTGCCATCTGAAAGACAATTTACCCAGTTGGCCCATGATCTCGGCAGAAGCATATGTCGGCGCACCTGTCCCCTGTATTAAACCTGCTACTGGTATTGGCATATTGCAATCGTATGATTCCAGCAGAATGAAGCAAAAGCTTAGCCACGCTTCTGCAAAGTGCATAACTGTAGCAAGTTAACTAGGTATAAATGCTATGAAAAGTCTCAAGCTTCTCGCAGTAATTTACTTTTCTCAACTATGCAATACTGCTCATACTCGCTTCTTTACTATTACCTTTACATTATGAAGCATCTAGCTATCATTGCGGCCCTTTGCTGTCTGGCTTCGTCTAGGAAGATTGAGGCTAGAATTCCCCAAACGATTGAGCTGGAAGTTGCAGAACCCCTGGACAACAATGACATGATACCTACAATTATGTCATATAATCGGTATTTCGGGATTTTCCTATGTTATAAGACAGTTCGTACCCCTCGATATATAAGTTATGCAAGAGAATATGCAGAGTACTAATAAAGGGGACATGGCTAGTTACAAACATTGAATACATCTGTTTTCAAAGATGAAAGCCTTCAAACCGAGGAGGAGAAACAACCGACGAATGAGGGCAACCTTTGGAGGCACTGTGCGAAAGAAGTCAACTTCATAGCAGATCTGGTGGCAGAAAGAACGCCCGCGCAAGTCGCAACCCAACTTCGCGATTAGAGGTATTTGCAATAAGCAAGGTCGTTGATATGACGGGCTAGGCCCGGTGGTGACTCGACTTGCACTCTCACTGCTGCCCCGGCGTCCTTGGCCGGGAATCTACCAATAAGAAATATTAGCAGTAGCAAGCTCAGGAACTGAAGAGCTTCACAGGCTTTTCGGTTCTTTATTCTTCTTCTTCTTTCCCAACCTTGAATATTCAGAACAATGATCTAGTCAGTTATTAATATACTCGCTGGATCATTATATTATCCCAGGCTTCTTTGTAACGCATGCAGTCAATTCGTCGCGTTTATCGGTACGATGCTGTGTTCGTCCCTTGCAGTAGGGAACAGCAGTTTCCGGGCTCTCGCGTGCGTTGAGCCGGGAGTAGCAAGTAGTCCAACAGAAGTTAATGGATTGTGTCTGGTTTAATTGACAGAAACTTGGTCGTACCGCGGTTGAAGCAAAATACATCAGCCCTCGCTGTGATGTGATTTATCTTCAGGAGACTACTAAACCTTGATGGCAAGACAAGTCCAAAAATGGACGCGACAGTAGAGGGTTTTCAGATCATTGAATTAAGTGCAATGACTGGCATTGAGTCTCTAGTCCATGCCATGTCAGAGAAAATCCATCCCAACATTTCGAGTGTTTCTCTTAGTAGTGCCAACTCTGAGGATGACCATTGACGACACTTCACAAAAAGATGCCTCCTCTACCGACAGCAAACCAACTGCCGGGTTATTCGAAACTGACAAGTCATCCAATCTGGGAAACACATGATATTTTCCAGCCCCAATACTAAACCGGGAAAAGAGTTTGACGGTACACTGAATGTAATCCGACGGCCACCAATGTCCCAAGCCCAATCCCGCATTTTGTTCCTGTCGAAGCAAATGGCGGAGTCAGACGCCTACAATAGGTTTTTTTAATTGCTGAGTCTAGGATTCTCCAAGTATGAGGCGGCTGCATCACGCTATGCAATCCGTGACACAATGGCTATCCTCCACATTGGTGCCGTTTATGCATCCCTAGATTCAAGTTTGCACACGGCTCAATAGGGAATCCTAAGGGCCTACGGCTTTGAAATGTCAACTGGTGCTTGGCATAGACTATTTGCACTCCAGCCAGCGGGGGCCAGATACGCTGTCGGTAAAGCGCTTCCAAATTATTCCGTACGAATTCTGGGTCCTCCTCGCCTGCCTCTGCCTGTAAATCATACCGGTGAAATCTGTATCGGTGGCTCTGGCTTGGCTCTTGTTGGAGGACTTGGATTCGTCAGAGGAGACTTTGAGCAAGTTTCTTCTAGACGTAGGCCAGCGGTTTCACTGCACCGGCGACAAATGTGCAAGCGGTTTTGCTAGTGACAGTTTATAGGAATTGACATGAGCAGGCCCCGTCCCAGATAAATCGAAACACTCATATTTCTATTGCGATGTATTCACGCTTTACCCTCGTGCATTATCTTTCTATTCAGGATTATACCGCCATCTCTCGTGGTTTTCTGTCACCCACCACCGTGTCACAAAGGCCGCTTCTTCAGCCCACTTGGCGGCCTCTATACCATGCTTCTCTTCCACAGTTTGTAATAGTTTCGCAAAGCCAAAGGATCCGGTAGGATCCTCCTCATGTGGATCCTTATCAAGATCACTGAACCACCACTCCAAGTCTTCAATTAGAGGAACTACTAAGCGCCAGCGAGGCTCATCCATGCTACGCACCGAGACTCCTTGACCACCAGGGCTTACAGCTGTGAACTGCCATCGCTGTTCTGAAGCGATGTCCGGCGCCTTGAGTGATCGGATAAGTGACTGGCCTTCGTAGTTTCGCAGAAGATCGTGCGCGGCCTGCAGTTCCGACGACGAGAGTGAGCCGGTTTCGATGAGCAAATCCAGTATAGTTGGTACGACAGATATGGCCGTGACCGACTCCTGGATCTCAATGGTGGGTAAATTGGGGTGAGAGAAGGCGAGGGGCACCCGGAACCCTCCAATGTTTGGGACTCCCCATGGTGAAATTCCGCCCGTCTCTGCTAGGGGGACACCGTGATCGCCGACAAATACGACGAGTGTTTCGTTGGTGGCATCTTGCTCTTCGATGATATCCAGGACTCTACCAACCCAGCGGTCGACGTAGCCCACAGCGTTGAGATACATGGACATGTCATACGCCCAATTACCACTACCCTCTGGTGTAAGGGCAACGTATGTTGCGGTCTCGGGAATTTCGTATGGGTAGTGTGCCGTGCTAGTGAGGTGAGTGAGAAACAGTCGTGTGTTATTCTCCCTTGCTGATCTAAATGCGTCAACGATATACTCGTCCAGAGCTTCCTCTTCCCAGCCCATGTAGTTCACATATGACCGGTTGGGGGGAGGGAAAATGGCTCTGTCACTCTCCAAGTATTCCACGTCGATAAGCTCATCGTCTGTGTAGCCGATGCCCTCCATCAACTCATACTGGCTGTCAAATTGGCCAGTCACTGACATGAGGAAAGAGTTGTTCCAACTGTATGCAGTATACGGTCTATTTACAGGGCTGTGGGCCGAGGTGTGGTCCATGTCGTTGAAGAGCTTGAAGATGTGTGGGAGACATGGCTGGTAAATATGGCTATAATATTCCTGATTGCCATCAACTGCTAGTGGGCTGATGCCACAAAGTGTTCCCGCACAACTTTTCAGTGTGTATGTCGCAGACGGGGTGCCGTGGATCGCATGGATACCACCACGGCGCCTCGTCTCAGGATGGTCAAAGCCGTCGTTATAGTCGCCCGTAATATAGTTGGCGGTTTTTGTGAGAGTTGCAAGTCGCTCTTGGACGTCGCTTGGTATTGTTTGGTCGTCCCAAGTTTCCTCTAGCTTCTTCCACATATACCCATCCTTCTTAAAGGGGAATACATCCTGGCGGGTGCTTTCTAGTAGAATAATCACAACATGTCGGATATTAACGTCACTGAGCTTCCCACGTAGGGAGGGAAGCAGATCACCCTCAAAGTTGGTTTGGTTTAATGGGTCCAAAGCCGAGCTATAGTGTGTTTGTTCCGGCTCATACCAGTCACTGAAACCCGACGGAGCGTCGTCAGTGTTTGGCAGCCAAGCCCATCGACTGGGTTCTCCCAGCGCCGTTTTCCCATCCCATTTCTCCGTTAGATCGAGATCATATACCGGTAGTAACAGTGTCAGCGGTGAGTTGGTGCTGAGAATGTCGGCGATGGGAAGGGCAATCGAAGTCCACGATAAAAAGACGAAGGCGTGTTCATTGGGCCTCAAAATAAACGTAATAGCCTGCGCCATGAGAAATACGCCGGTCGTAATAGACAAGAGCCAGGAAAGCCGACTTTTTTGTTTTCTAGGCCTTTGCATAGTGTCCTTGTGCTCCAACTCGTAGAGCTCTTCCTCATCTCGAGCCAGTTTTCCATATTTTGAGCTGGCTGAAACACGACCACAACTTTTCAACCTACTAAAAATCGCGGCTGCAAGAGTCTTGATCACATCGAGTGCTATGCTTGCGAGGAAATAAGGGATACCCATAAGCACAAATGATGTAAATACGAGGCCTGCGAATGTTATCAGGCAGGTTGGGAGGCCCTCGGCAAATGTCGACCACGATGAGGAATCTGCGACTATGCCGACATTTCTCCAACGAGGCTCTGACCCAATCACGAGGAAAAAAGTCGTGTTGATCGTTGCAATTGCTAGTTGTATCGACGTGATAATTGAAGCAATGGTGAATGACAGAATGCGAACCCTGCGGCCGGTAGTGCGGGTGACTGGCTCTGAATCAAGAAGTAGCCTCAGCAAAAGCAAAATCGCTGTGTCTTGTGCAAAGAAACTGAGTGACCACTTGGAGAGTTCGGTCGACGTGAGAGCCTGTAAATGGACGTGTATGTGGAGGCATTTGGTGATCAACACCGAAGTAGCTGCGATCGAGAATACGAATCTTGCATCAATGAGTCGGCAGAAGGGGGTTGCAATGACGGATAACATGCCGCGAGGACTACATAAACATCTTCGACAACCAAAACGAGCTGCGCGGGAGGCAGTAGGACATTTCGGAGACTCCATGGTAGTTGCTCCAGGTTTGAAATGCTGGCTTCGTCAAGGCAGGGAACCTGAGGAAGATGACAAGAAGCACACTGAAGCATCGCGCTCATAGCAACTATGTAGAGTAAGGAAATTCACTTCGTCCTAGGTACAAGGTAAATTCGCAATGCATGCTGGGCGAGTAGGGTGTTGGACCGACACTGAATGCGATGTCAGGGTGTGGAGGAAGATGGGTGTGGCGCAGAATACGAGTTGACAACGAATGCAGTTCCAGGTCCCGTCAGAGTATAACGCCATCTTGTGGATGCACGTTGAATTGTGACGAATGAATCCGGATCCGTTTCGTGTTCGCCTGGTTTGGGTCTGGAATGCAAATCGCCGGGAAGGTGTGGATCTGGACGCGGAATTCACGAACTGGTTCTCACTGTGGCGTGATGCAAATCACACACCCCGATTCGCTGGCAGGCCGTGTATACTGATTGGCATTTTATAGCTCCAGCTATCGCCCTTGATGCTATGAGGCTGGACAGCCACGAACTTCCTTGTTGTCTTTGGTGTTGATGACTTGTCCACGGGCGACGTGGAGCCAGCTCTATTGTATCGACTTGACATTATCACCACAACACGAGTGTGTTATATATCTTGGCTTAACGATATTTGGCCTGATGCAGTCTCAAGAAGCCAACGATGTAGTGAGTTATCTATTCATTATCCCATCCTTGTACCTCTCTAGAGGCTGGAGACCGGCGACTGGAAGGGCAACCCTCCTGGTGTAGGAGGCATATTGAAATTAAAAATATAGTCACCGGGTGCAGTTCGAGACTCTATTACAAAAAGCTTTCGGGTTTTCTTTGGTTGCCCTGATATTCGCTGACCACTGGTTGCATTCTTGCACGGATTCAGACCCAAATACCCTACACATGCTACTACTGCGTATTCGTCGCTGTCAATACTACAATCGAACAGAGTGAGTGGGCAAGGCATTGCGGACGGCAGGAGCACTATCCCGTCTTTGCCTTGTGGGCGGCTATGTAGCTTTCGGCAACTGAGATTTACGACGCTCTACATATAGTGTTATGGTAGGCTAAACACCTCATGCTTTTACCTGACTAGGCGGCATTTGTAAGCAGAAGAGATTCATCATCGAATTGCTTATCGATCCGCAGAGGGGCATTTCCGGGCACGGATCGTAGCTCCGCAAAAGCTACTGTAGTGAAGTCCATCGGAGAATAAATCCGCCACATGGGACACAGCTATCCCGTTTCTGAATCGGGCGAAGGGCATATTTTAACCCTGGGCTTGTTAATGGAGGTGGCTACGCATCTCCTTTTCTTTATCCCACGTGAAATTAGTTTTGACATCTTCGGCTTTGCTCCGAATTTGGCAATTAATTGAGACAACAACGGCACCCGTTGCCGGAGAAAGTTGTGGCATATCTACAGCAAACTGAAGCATATATACCACGATTTGACCACCCTTGGATTCCACCCAAATCTCAAAACCATCAAAGTTGGACGGCATCATCATATGGACCCAAGAGAAGTGTTGAGTCCAATTTTCATCTTCTGCCCAATGCTTATGGGATTCGAGGAGGTGTGCTATGCTTCCGCGCATCCCGCGTGGCCCACGCGCATCAAAGTCCGCAAGCGGCCCGCTCACAAACCACTGTCTGACAGTAATATAATGAGGACGATGGCTGAAAATATTTAAAGACACTAAGTAGAATTAACAAGAGGTGTAACAAGACCCAAACAAGTGTTCATTCTTAGACAAGCCTTGTTATTTCTTACTCACTCCTCACACCGACCCTACAAGTTGCAGTTTTACAAAATGGCCAACTTCAAGTATATCCACAAACTCCGCAACGCGCGCATTGTCATATTTGGGGCCACTTCAGGATTTGGCTTCGCTGTTGCAGAGGCTGCTATTGAACATGGTGCCAATGTCATCTTATGCGGCTCTAATCAGCAGCGACTCGACGGGGCTACAAAGCGACTCGAGGCCTCATACTCTGAGTGTACTCGAGGTCAAATCACAACAGCTGTTTGTGATCTCGCTGATGTGGACAATCTGGAAGCCCAACTTCAGGACATGTTCAACACCATCACCGATAATGCCGTATCCAAGATAGATCACATTGTTTTCACTGCCGACGACTCCCATGCAGCTCCGCCTGTGTCCAAGACTACACCCAACGACATTTATCTTTCATTGCGATTGCGAGTGTACTCGTCCACCATCTTGGCCAAAGTTGTGGCGGCAAACGACTTTCTTCAGCACTCGCCGGATGCATCAGTCACGCTTACAAACGGGGTAAACGGCCACAAACCGGTAAAGGGCTGGGTCGTCCCTGGCATGGCCTCTACGGCCCTGGAAGGATTAGTACGTGGTTTGGCTGTTGACCTCGCTCCTGTGCGCGTCAATCTGGTTTCCGCTGGACCCGTGGCCACTGAACTGCTTGCCAAGTTGCCACAGGAGTATATTGACATGTATGAAGCGGAAACTCTTACCAAGAGGCTGGGTCGTCCGGAAGATGTCGCCGAGGCCTACTTGTACGCGATGAAGGACGGGTCTGCGACCGGCTCTATTATCTTCTCCGACGGAGGCAGGAGGCTGGTTTAGTAGCTTGGTAGGTCCTACAGCCATTTTCAACTACATGACTACGACTGGAGGCAGAATTCATAAGGCTGGATCAAGTATCAAGATGTCGGCAAGAAAGCTACAATATACTTTGATGCCTCAGTGTGTATGATTATTAGGCAAGCATATTCCGCCATAGACTATAGATTCATGCCAACGAGGGTTATATTTACTAGCCGTTTCGTGGGTGTTTGATCGAAGCCAAGCGGTTCATGTCAACTGGATCACAAATTTTTGACCATCACAATAATAACGGTGTTATGCTGACAGCAGAAGCTATATTCGTGAATTTCCACCGGATCTCTGCTGAAGCTAGCAACTCCCGGTCGGCCGTCCGGGAAATTGCCTATATCACCGCTCTGCCCTTGAACGAACCCAACAGTTTCATGGTTGTCAGTATTGCGTCATTGACTTTTCACCTTCTTCAATAGATTGGCACAAGGCAACAATGTCGTCTTGTTTTGTGTGTGGTCAGTTTGGTTTACTAGTGTTCCCTGGCTGAGACTTCCGGCAAGCAAACCCATTCGCATCTCCAGTAGGGGATAGAGCCTTGGTTAGATGGTCAAGTGTCCGTATGCATCGCCCAGCTAGCGTGCAGATGATGTTCCAACCCACCCAGGGGCCTGGCTGGCCGCGACCACGCCACATGGCTCTGGGGCGGAACGAGATGGCTTGACGCCATCGACTGGATCCTCGTGTAAGGATGTTAAGTATGTCATCTGAGGCCTACTAAATTGGTACGGGCTTGGTCTCGTCGAGTCCAAAGGCATTGTACTATAACAGGCGGACGCAGTGCATTCCTGTCCTCGTATTGTCGCTACTTGTCCCCATGCTCTGGTACTTGTTCTCGGCCCTAAATAATCTGAAATAAAGCCGTGCATTTTTGGTAGGTCAATCGCTCTTGCTGACAGAACAAATGCCTTCGATTTATCGCTGCTGTGGTTACTTTTCATTGAATTGCAAACGCAATTGCACTACGGTATGGCCGCATCTACAGGACAATATTTCACGTCCAGTGCAAATTATGTTCTCAAGACACACGCCAGTCCTCAGATGATAGCATGTCCAGGCAGGAAGACCATTCGCACCGCTGTGTGCATTTCGTATGTGAACCCCTACTCATTGACTCTTCTTATGACAACAAACTCCAAGATCGTATACTGACGCCATAATCCTTTGGCCATGAAAGCTCATGGATTATCATTTCTAATAGCACTATTTTATTTAATAAGTGGCTTATAGACACAAGGAGGCTCCGTATGGCTCCCTGAAATGATATTGATTCAGCAAATACTTGTTGTGTAAGCAAAGAGCATACACTAACTACTTCTCTAGATTTCCGTAAGGCTAGACCCCTGGTTCCTGGGCGAATGAGACTCACTTTGTTTCCAATCGACATGAAAGAAACTCGCATAGTGTATGCGGAATATACCAGCTAACAACAAACTACGTAGCAATTCTACTGACATGTTGGCACCTATTTTTTGCAACCATCGCAACCCAAGTCCTAGCACACACCACCAAACTTCTAGATTCGCGGAAGGACATATGCCTTTCGCCACATCTTTATGCTCGAGCTATTTTGCCCATCAGCATCTTTTACTCTCTATCTCTTATAACCTCGAATATAGCTTACCTATACCTCTCTATTCCATTTATACAAATCTTAAAGACCACAGCGCCAGCGGTGATGCTATTCGTTGCCTGGGTAGCCGGCACCGCAAACCCTACCTTGACCACGGTTCTGAATATTCTATGGGTTGTCGGCAGTGTTATACTTGCCTCTACAGGCGAGATACAGTTTTCACTCGTAGGATTTCTATGTCAGACGGGTGGCACTGTTGCTGAGTCGATTCGCCTCATTATGATTCAACTTCTGTTGAGCAACGACGGGCTGAAGATGGATCCTCTAGTTGGGCTGTACTACTTTGCCCCTGCCTGCTGCTTGATGAACATTCTCATTGCCTTGTCTACCAACGAGGCGGCGAATATCTCATGGCATGTCGTGCAGGATATAGGCGCTGGCCTATTATTCCTTAACGCGCTAATTGCGTTCATGTTGAATATTGCCAGTGTTTGTCTGGTAAACTCTTCACATTACTTGCTCCCGACAAACATGTCAGCTAACAAATGGCAGATAGGACAGACATCTGGCTCAGTAATGACACTCTCCGGAATTTTGAAGAATATCCTGCTTGTCATTGTGTCAGTCATGATCTGGCATACGCAAATTACAGTTCTCCAGGCTGCAGGCTACACGAGTGCCCTTGCTGGCTTGATATGCTATTCGCTAGGGTACAATCAGTTGCCCAGGGCAAGCCAAGCTGGTTCACCATGGATATTCAGTTGGTGGAAAGGCACATCAGTATACGAAGCAGGCTCCATGCGTCTCAAAACACGACGGGCTATTCTTGTGGCCTTGATTATTATGATAGTACTTGTAGTTCTCTCGCCTAGAATGTGGAGCTCTTATAAGGAAGATCAAAGAATTATGCAGGCTGTCAAGGAGTGACGTATCGAGTCATCAATTAACCCCCCTAGCTACTGTTTAGCTATAATCAAATAAAGCGAGTCAGTAAACTGAGTAGCTAATTCCTCATTTATTCTTTCCGGGGGCGGGATTAAGGAGCATCGAACAAATCGCCCCTTGCATGACAGTACTCGAACGACTTCCGCAATAGAAGGCAAGCCGCCCTCCCAAATTGGCAATTGTGATATTTTAGCAGAAAATATGTACCTCGATTATGCAACGGCGACTTTCAATATATAGATTGTATGATAATCCCCGCTGGGGATAGCAGAAACAATTCAACGTAGCATTTTAACACATGACACGGGTCCTGCAGCGGTTGGTTAGGCTTAGTTAAACAAGCAGACTTGATGTAATAGCTCAGTGTAGTGAAATCATTGATGTCTGTACATATGTAGTTTAAAAGACTAGACAGCCACCCGATTTATCCACTGTTTTGTAAACTGGTGCTTATTACTAAGTGACAGTGTATCTGTTAGACAGTCAGAGGCCTGCTTGGCTAATTTGAAGCTATTGAATATGATTTCCAACTATATCAAACTCGATTTTTTAACGGCTCGTATTTTCAGAAACGAAAATGAGGAACAACAAGGAGTTCATAGTGTAATACATTGTGGTTTCGATTCATGGATCATGAGGGAATAACGTTTCAACTCCCTTACTCATTGTAAAAATGAGCTCGCTTGTTAACAAGTACATGATGAGATTTCACGGAATAGTGCTACGTATTGCCACGTTTAAAAGCTAAGTGTGCTACTCCAATAGACCGGACATATAGGTCATTTGCTAGTAGCATTGCTAGTGTTGCGCCACGTGAGCATTATGGCGGAGGCGGCCCAATACGAAGCCATCGACTACAAGTTGAAAGCGTAATTGGTTGTGAGTCACGCTGTTCTTTTGTGGCTACTTGTAGTTTCTTGTTAGTTGTACTCGTATTACTGCCAACAATCGGAGCCAAGGCTCAAAAGCCGACGCATCGAGAGCCAAACTGACTTCCTCTGTCCTTTGAGCCATCCACGCCAGGAGGCCTTGTCCCTGGCCACTCTCATCTCCGTGCTACAGCAGATATCTTCTTGCAATGACAAAGGACGCGACTAGTAGCGCGCTACAAACTAAAAATACACTATTGCGATGTTCACTCCCTGTTTTGCTTGTTAGACGACAGACAACTCAATGGGCTTTGTGCGTCCGGCAGTAACATACCTTCTTTGTCTAGACTGTGCCCAACCACGACGAAGACGTTGAGGGGAAAACGCAGAATGCTGTAAATCGTTCCACGGGCGTTGTCCTCGACCAATTCACTCTTCAAGCTCGCCATGGCGGGCAAGTAAGCGCCGATGCAAGCTTCAAGAAGACAAAAGGTCCAGAATACTGGTATTTCACTCCGGAGCCCAGCAGCCATGGCCAAGGAGCAAGCAGCTAGCAATACCACAACAAGGAGAACATCTGTTGAGCCTCGCAATCCGTTTGAGCGCTGAATAAGGCGGGCAACCAATGCGGACCCGGCCATCATGGCGCACATGAAATTGGAGAAGATGAGTCCAAAGGGCAGATCCTCGGTTGAGTCTGCTGCTATCCTGGAACTCTGCAAGGCAGCGGACCAGAAGAAAATAAAGAGGTACATGGTGCCTTCGAATACGCATGAGATGAGGCCAACCGACACAACGCGAGCATCACGAGTGATGGCTCGAACCCCAGATCGAATGCTGTCTATCGATTCATGGCCCAGCGAACAGAGACCGAAATTATCGCGCTGTACCTCTATTAGCAGCAGCAGTGTTGATGCAGGCTCGGATATAACCTACCCAGTTCAGCCATATCAGCGCACTGGAACCACAGCAACAGGCTATAGCAACCATGAAGGGCCAAATTCTTGTGCCAGATGCTGAAACAAGCACGTCGCCTAGAACACCAGATACTATGGCAACGAGGCAGCTAATGGTAGTCATGGCACTGAATATAGGAGCAAGCTCCAATCTGAAAGCCTGTAAGCCTCGCTCGTGATAGTCGGAGATCATCCAAGCCTCGAAAACACTGTAGAGAAGCGTCGTGCCAACCCCGCCGGTCAATCGTCCCAGGAATAATATCGGCAAGCTGTCGCTAATCATGGTCAAGCATGTGATGATATAAAGAATGCAATACAATAGACAAGCCTTCTTCCGCCCAAATCTATCCGCTGCGCCGCCGACGAAGGATGCACTGATGGCACCCGAGATAAACCCTGCAGAGTACAGGGCAGCAACCATCCTCTCGGAGAGATGTTTATCATACTTGTATAAAGCATATATATGCGGACCCTACCACGTATTAACTCAACGGTCACCGCAGTACATGATGTTTGTGTTACTGACCTGCAGCCAGTCTGCTGCTGTAGCTAGTGTATATGGAAGAAAGAAGTCGAGTTGAAACTTGTGAATCTCGGCGCTTGGCTTTGTGTCTTGGTGGCCTTCGATGGCGGCGACATCGCAAGGTGTTGTCGCATCATGTTTCGTGCTCGACCGTCTGTGCTGCGACCATACAAGGTAGGTGGTTGCTGCTGCAAATATTCCCAAATGCGCTTGATAAAAGGTCATGATATCGAGGCAGAAAGGGTATACTTGGTAAAGATTCAATCGCACGGTGAGTAGGTAGGCACCTTGCCCACTCAAGTTTTGTCAGCTCAAGAGGCCAGGATTGACCAATTTGATGTCAACAACTATAGGATCTGGCATGAAAGCGCCCAGTCACTGGTCCATTCTTTTCGGCGGTTTCTTTAGGGCTAAGCCATCATGTCAGATTTGTGGGTAGAGAAATAGAGCATGACTGAGTAGTTGACATCCAGCTATGGGGAGCTGTGGGCATGAGCGCTGTAGCCCACATCGCGCCCGCCTGGCCTTTGATACACACACATCCAGGCTGCCACACCCTTGCATGTAAGTTCCGTCTGGTGTAATTGAGTGGAAATCGAGATACGTATTTACTTAAAAATCAAAGGATAAAGTTAAGGGTCAAATTTAAAGGTCAAAATTAAAGGCTACTAGGCGCGTAGTGGAAAATGATTGACATCTTCCCATTTTTTTATGTCAATGTGAAACACACCAAGGGGTGTGGGTTATGGAGTCCCCAGCCCCATCGGGTTACATGTAGTAATGTCAAGTCTGGTGGGCTACAGCGCTCATCCATACAGCTCCCCATCAATAGATGTACTCGCATGACTTCGTATCCATGAGCAAGACACGAAACGTCAAGTGCTTTCCCAGCAGTCCCTGTTCTGGCTGAAGCTTCTTTTTTTTCAACACAGAAGTGGGGTAAAGACAATCTGTCAAGTACATGGCGCATGTTAGTGTGCTCGAAAACAGACAAGCTGTTGCTGCTATTGATGTTAAGGTTCCATGTCCGACACGGCGTGTCACTAACCGAAGCCATCTGGAATGCCAAGCTCTAAATGGGAAGCCTGGTTCGCACAGACCTGGTCATTTTGATCTGGGTATTTCGTCATTTGCCGCGCCGAAGACCCTGACCTAAAATTAGTTGTTGGATTGCTCGACTACTTCACGGCGTCTCCTTGTGACCCTGATATTTCCTTTGCCCTTTCTCTCTCGCCACGGATCCATCCATCGCCGTCAAAATGGGCATCAAAAGATCAAGCCAACACCTTGTTCTGGTTGCAATTTGGGCTGTGCTCTTTCTTATAGGATATTTAAGCCTCTCGCCATCACGCGAAGGCGTGGGCTTTATCAAAAGCCCCTTTAGGCGCAGCAGCAGCATTCGACCTCGGTATATTTTTGTCGATCTTGGTGCCAACATTGGTGACTCACTCGATGCCTTTCTGGGGAAAGAAGACGCCAAGTTTCAGTACGAATTTCCTCGTCCAGACTGGGCACGGTACGAGGAGGCCGGTAAGTTTGCCGGCATTGCACAAGTTCCCAAGAGAATGCTGGCTCATTTTCCATTCTGCAAAATAGATATTTACCTTTTCGAGGGCAACCCGACATTCAACCCGGCGCTTGTTGAGGCAAAGCAGCGACATCGCTCTCGAGGAGTCAACGTCAACATCTTTCCCTCCACGGTTGTAGATGTCAGAGACGGAACTCGTATGTTTTACTTGGATACCATAAATGATGAGCACGACTACTGGGGATCTTCGATTTACGCCAACCACCCCGACGCTGTGGACTCGGGCTCAAACGGAACCGAGCTCACTGCCATTAATATCTCGAGATGGCTCTTAATGAACACTCTACCCCACGACTTTGTTGTGGTCAAGATGGACATTGAAGGAAGCGAGTACGATGTTATTCCGCACATGGCAGAGATGCGGGTGTGGACGGTCATTGATCATCTCCTTGTTGAATGGCATAGCGGATTACACGATGAGGATGCCGTTCGAAGAGCCGAAATGGGGATGAAAAAGTTGGTTGCCGAGGGAGTAAACATGCCTGAATACGATTCCCCTGCTTAGGATGTGAGTTTTTTGAGATGGAGGTTTTGTTGCAACCATGAGTCATTGTTAATTTTACTGCATTCACAATATCGCCTCTGTGGCCAATATGGTGCCTTTTGTGTCGGTCTACTTACCTGCCTAAATAGTCTACTTTCCACGGAGCCATACCATGATGTTTCCACATGCAATTGTCTTTATACTTGGCATGATGTGGGCTGTGGTAAGTGAATGTATGCGTCTTCTGCAACCTCATCCAGAACGAGACTTCTGTGCTCGTTCAAGTATAATTAATTGATCATTATAGATGCAACATCTCCTTCCCAATTGAGCAGCCCTTTCTCTGTTAACAGGGGCCACAAGTACTAATTTAAGTCAATAATAGTGTATTTGGAACTAATGTCGCGAAATACCCGTTTCACTGCTGGGCTTTGGATCAAGCACGCCTGCAAATGTGGTTGGACTTTTTCACATAGACTCGGGTTTCCTCTGACCATTCAGCTGAGACAAATGCTTAGTGACCCTATTGAATACCCCTACAGGTACGGAGTACAAAGTGCAAGTGCGGCTTGCAGCCGCCCAAGGTGCTGAAATCGGAAATTTGATTGTTTGTGGTGAGATTCAAGATGGCCGAAAGGGGGAAAGAAAGGAATGCAATGTGTGCCACCACGGCGCTATTGTCTGCAATCACTACGGAATGATATATACGAGGCACGCGACCCACAAGGTCGGCGACGCCTCCCAAAGTCCAGACTCTTTGCTGTCCGAAGGCGTTGCATGTTGATGGCTGTGGCTTGAGGGCCGTTATCATGAACGGGTTTCGTTTTCCTTTTGGGCCGGGGAATTTGCTCTTATTCTTGCCCGGCAACGACACTTTATTCAGCCATTATGTGCTTTTTTGTCAAAAAATGCCAGCAATATTAGCGAAACAGGGTTCACCGTTCCTGCTGCGCCGCAAGACTATATCGTCAAGATGGCGAAGAGCAATTCTCTTTACACTCATGATCGGCGCCATCATGTCGGCACTGATGCTCACATCGAAACAAGTCGGTCGAATATGTCATGGCAGCTCTTGCGGTTTCTCCAGTCTACGAGGACTATTGGCAAAATGTAAACACGGCCCAGCAAGCAGCCCCCAAAATGATAATATTGTCGACAACGCTTTCGTAGGACATGCGGCACCTAATCTCCCCCTCTCCAAAGACAATGACTGTAACGGGTTCCCAGATACTTCTAAAGTTTTGATACTCATAAAGACTGGAGCATCAGAGGCATATTCAAAGCTTCCGGTTCATCTTCTAACAACGTTGAAGTGTCTTTCGCACAATTTTCTTCTCTTTAGCGACATGGCTGAGAATATTGCCGGCTATACAGTTCATGATAGCCTTGAAACCGTACTGTCGACGGTGAAGGGGACAAATGGAGATTTCGACATCTATCACCGGCAAAACGACTGTCCTATTGCACATGAGCAATGCAACGAGGATCATGATGTTGGTTTCGAAGGCTGGAACCTAGACAAATATAAGAACGTTCATATAGCAGAGCAAGCCTACAAGATGCGACCGGACTATGACTGGTACTTTTTCATCGACGCCGATACCTACGTCAGCTTTCCAACATTGATGGAGTGGCTCCCGGCCGTTGATCCCAACAAGCTTCATTACATTGGTCACGAGAAACATTCCGGATCCTTTCCGTTCGCACATGGCGGTAGTGGATATCTCATGTCAAAAGCAACTATGCGACGCATGTTTTTTGGCAAAACCAGAGTGGGAAACAAGTATGATGAAGCAACGCAGGACGGCTGTTGCGGTGACATTATGTGGAGCGAGATTGTGCTCAACGAGACGGGACTAACTCCTGAGAACATGGTGTGTGAAGCCCCAAGATTCCAACACGGAGCAAAGGGAACAAGTTCTGACTCAAAATGGGGGTAGTGGCCGGTTATCAACGAGTTCAAGCCTCGCACGTTCAATTACTACGAGGACCAATGGTGCCAGCCTCTGATTACGTTGCATCACGTCAATGGAGAGGAGATCAACGACTTGTACGCTTTCGAACGAGGGCAAAACTTTGCCAAGAGGATCACAATCAAGGACATGTACTACCGGTTTGTGGCTACCCATCTGGTCGAATCACGTTCAGACTGGGACAATGGGGGTGAGGACGTCTACTACTTGGATCGCGAGGCTAGAACGTACGAAGAGTCCGAGCTGGAGAAGGCCAAGACGGACGAGCTATCGGAAAAGGAGCTCGTGGCGCATAAGAACTCGTCGAGCTGCAAAGACGTTTGTTATTCTCAGGAGGACTGCTTCCAGTGGAGGTATCGGGATGGTATCTGCGGCCTGGGATATAACAAGATGCGGCTCGGCAATGCCGTAAAGAAAGACGACGATGAAGCCAAACGATCGTTTAGTGGATGGCATATGAATCGGATCAAGAAGTGGATTGATGAGCAAGGTAATTGCAGTGAAACATATCAATGGCGGGTAACGGACGAGCAGAGAAATAGGGATGCAGGAGCACAAAAGTAGATTGTTTAGCCAGCAAATTGATTTTCCCCTTTCCTTTTCTTTCGTCTTGTTGTCTTTATGCTGATGGGTCTCGCCGCGACAGTCCTGCTAGAATGCAGGATAACCGAACCAGAGCAGAGCTCGGTGGTGATGAAACCGATAACATTGAATCGACTGCCAAGTAGGGCTGTGTTCTATGCAAGTAGCAATTGCGGCTGCCAAGTTGCTGCTATTGCCGCCTCGAAGTTGGTTGCGTCAGGATCAGCATCATCTAGTTGCAAGCTACGACGTACATGGCGTCCAGCCAAACTCGCCAGCGCGCATATCCAGGTAGGTGTCAGGAATCCGCGGGAAGTCGGGCCCCAGGCGGGAAGCAGCCGTCAAGTATCAATTGATTGTCTACATATGTACCCACCTTGAGTGTGTGCTCTGGTGCGTTGGGCGGCTCGACTTCCTGGACGCTGCGGCGTTGGGCTAGATGGAGTCGTCGTGCCGGTGGCGCTTGCAAAGAACAAACAATGGTCCATTTGTCTGGGAGTAAGATTCGTGTTTACCGGTTCATGATTTGCCACCGGCTGCCAAACGGTTTCAATATTTCCTGGCTGACGGCATGTTCCAGCCGTCCCCGGTGTCATCGTCAGCCTCGTTCGTGTCTCATGGACCGAGGGGCTGAACATGGATCACTCCTCGTCGAATCCGGCTCCATGTCTTTCCCCGCAAATTGCCACTCGACCTGTTTGCGGTCGCGACTTCTGGCAGCACCTTATGTTACCATGGAATGCGCACCCGATGCAGCATTTTGTTCTTGATCTCTTTCCCGGATCCCGTGCCGCCGTTGCGCCCGCATCTCGTAACGCTGAGTCGCCCAACATCCATCGTCTGCTTGATGTGCCGTCCATCGCTCCCAACTCCGATTTACGCTCCTAGGCAGCATTCCATATCAGGACAGACACAATCCGCCGCCAAAGTGTCGTCATGAATATCCCAAGATGGGCCAAAATCAGCCTTTGCATAACGGGCGCACTCATGATTTACCACGCCAGTACATTCGCTCATAAGCGATATGGCAAGGTCAAATATCTCGAAACGCATCCCTTGCGTGTTTATGGCGATGGAACTTGTGCCGATAGCATCAGGATCTCCCAAGGCCTCATTGAAAAGGCAAAGACGATGCGACAGCAATGCCAAGATTCGGCCTCGCCGCTGCGGACGTATGGCTCCTGGGGCGCGCGGATTGCGACCGTAACGACTCACTTCTCCAGCCCCGATGATCCCCAGAGATTTTATCAAAAGGCCATCGAGACTCACATTCTTCATAACCTCGTACATGGCTCACAGTTGCACGTCCTGTGTACGCCGATTATCGACCACATGTGGAACAAGCAGGCATTTGTTCAGTTCGTGTTGCTGAGCGAGCTGGCAAAACCGCCGCAAGAACGTCTTGAATGGATTTTTTGGGCTGATCGGGACACTATCGTGCTGGACTATTGCCGCCATCCGGCCAGCTATATTCCGGCAAAACTACATCGGAGCTACAATCCAGGCACAGAACCAAGCAAGGAACAAAACATAAACCTGCTCATAACACAGGATACTAGAGGCCTCAATGCAGGCGTCTTCATGATCCGCGTAAGCGAATGGAGTGTCAATTTTCTTAGTGATGTTATTGCCTTTAGGCATTTCAAGCCCGACGTTGAGCTCCCGTTCGACGAACAAACAGCCATGGAGCAACTTCTCTTGGAAGACCGGTACAAAAATAACGTCGTCTACATCCCGCAGCCCTGGCTTAATACGTATGCCTGGGACAATGCGCAGGACTTTATGAGCCGAAAGGATGTGGAAGGCCTAGATGACTGGGCCTCGAGGCGAGGCGACTTTCTCATTCACTTTGCGGGAAACGGGGACAAGGAACTAAACATTGTAGAATATTCACAAGTGGGGGACAAGATTTTTAATATTTGGGAAACGCGCGATATGCTGCGGGATGTAAGCTTGGATATTGAGCGTTTCTGGGGAAATCGCAGCAATGGGCCAGGCTGAACGCCCTTCATGTAAGTCGCTGGACGCCAAACAGCTTGAAATGTAAAAACATATATCCGCCATCACGTTGCACCATTTCTCGAGTCCATGTTCTACCCCCTACCTGTAGGATTTTGGCTGAAGATGATGACATAAAGAAAGCAACAGAATGGTTTCCACGTCATCTTTTCACGTGTGGCCTATCAGCAATCCCCCAAGACCCGGGGCTTTCAATTTATTTGTGGCCTAATCAACAGAGATTGCCAGTGTGTAACATCTTGAGTGGGAGTTGCCTTCACATCGACACCGCGACGGTCGCAGTGACTAGAGCCCGCAGCAACAATGATGTTGAAAAGCCTCCAATACCGGTTGCAGGTTATACCTGTTGGACTCATGATCCCTATGACTTTTTATCTGTTAAAGGAGAATAACATGGGCAATTTAAACAAATCTCTTGCAGCTTCCATCGCTCCCCAGCTGCGAGCACACGCCGCGAGTCGTGAAAGCTGAGGGTGGACGGAGAGCTCCTAGCACCAGACAGTACATGCAGCAAGTGCCATTGACACGCTTGGTCAAACCAGCAAATCATGACCTCGAAAGCGTCATGTGTCCAAGGGAATGTCACCACCACCAGCAGCTCAGGCGCCGGGGCTGAATTCAAGGCTTGCACTGGCCAGTTGCTGTTTCAGCCAAGGATTCGATAGCACATGCAGGGCATTGATGCGACTCCCTCTATTATTGCCAAGGACCTTTAGATTCGCAACACGGCTTGCATTATCAGGATGTGATTTTACGTGCTGTCCATGTCAGGGAATGCAATCATGTGGCAATGATAAAAGTGATATCGTAATCAGATCCTACTTTACAAGATGACTACAATTCCATCCCGAACCCGTCTTGGCCGCTCGTGTCAAAACTCTCGCAATATTGCAGCCAGACTGCGTCTCTAACCAGCTTCCACAGCGCACATGGCATCCAAGAGAAGCATCAATGATAAAATATTCAAGTCGCCCCAATGGCATGTAGCCACTATTGGCCCACCAAAATACGCAACAGCAAACAGCGCGAGCCTACCAAATCTTTTTTTTGTTGGCTCAATATTCCCACCCATGCAAGTCTAATTAATACGTACGTATCGCACAGACTGCAGTCCTTCCACGCCTCAAATTGCGTGTCTCCTATAAACATCGTTCGTATTCGATCGTATCCGGGGCCTGTCAATTCTGTGTCGCAACATTACCATGTCGATGTTGTTATTCCTCGGCGTCGTCAGTCGACTCGGTATCGTCGGCGTCGCCATCTTCATCTGTCTCCTCAAGGCGCGGTTCGTCTGAGCTAATACTCGCGGCACTCTCATAGTTGGCCTCATGACTCAGAAAGAAGAAATGGCCCTCATGTAGATGTTGACGCTGGCACACAAATCCAACAGGGGTATTCAAAATGTCGTCTGTCTGGCGCCTATACGTAACCCACTCCTGAAGAAATTGAAGAGGTTCACTGATCCGAATGCCCATAGAAGATGCAGATTGTTGCTCGTCCGGGTGAACGCCTAACCAGCTGAGAAGAGCGTTGTATTCTAAAAACTTAAAGTACAATCTGCCGCTCAAAATACCGACCTCGATGCTAAGCCAGGTAGGCAGTGTGGAATTTCTTGGCCAGTTCGGAACGGCCAGGTAGCTAAGGCAATTGAAGACCTGCATTGACTTTGTCACCGGAGCCGTATAGCCAAGTAACCAGACGAGAGGCGTATCCATGTTTCGAAGCACCGGCATGATGGCATCGGCCTCCTCCGGGATGATGAGCAGTGCTGTTTCTGACGATGGATTCCACAGGATCCAATGGACGGGTCGCTAACTACAGTTAGAATGCGGATGATGTGGCATACAAGGGCAACGTTCTCAAACTCACCAAGATCTCGTGTCTCGCCATACCGCGACCAACTTTAATTGTACGAGTATACTCCCAAGAGACGTAGAAACGGGAGCTGGTAGACTTGACACCAAATTGCTTCCCAATCTTTGTACTTCCCACGTAGTCAAAAGCCTGCATCAAAGGCCCTCGTTGGCCAGCAGCCTTGGTATCTAGCTGACCCGTTGTGATGAAAACCATGATGGCATGGTCAACCCCAGGAAATTCATGTGCAGTATGTTCCGTCCTCTTCTGTTTCTCACGTACTTGTTCAACTTCAAAGACAACTTCTCTCTCCTGCTCCACCTCCATTAATGCAGAGGAACAGCTCGACTGCCCGTGCCGGGCCATATCCGCAACATTGAGAGCAAATGTCTGAAGCCGTCGAGAAGCCACTTCGACGAGGCCAACCTGCTCGGACTGCGTCCTTGGCCCGTACATAAGCTGCAGCGTTTGCTGCTCTTCGTTTCGGATCACTTCGAGGACTTTCTCCAGGTGCGTTTTGTTCGTGGCAAAGTTAGGATGCTTCCACACAATGTCGGTGCGACGGCAGAAATCTTGGCACTGTGAAAAATGGAGAGCCATCATCTGTTCATTGGCTTTGCAACTCTGCTCGAGGAGCCAGCGTACTACATCCACCGAAGTAGGTATTACATGGCGTGGCGGCTCATGAGTGTGTGCTCTACGCACGTCGAGTATGCTGCGATACACCTCTGGTGGTGCCAAGAATGCCACTGACTGGGTTGTTCCGAGCTGCCTGAGTCTCATGGCGGCTGTCAACGTGTTAATCAAATACCCTCAAGAAATTTTTTCGTTGCTACTGTGCTTGGAAACCCCACCTTGAACGGTTTGATCCTTTGTTTGTCCCGAGCCCAATGTAACCGCCCCCTTTGCTTCGACAGGCAACTTCAAGTCTGTCCCACGAGTGTGACCTTCGTCAATGTACACCACACAGGTTTTGAGATCGTTGGCGAAGGGGCTTGCAATGAGAGGCATTGGTTGACTCCGAAACCGTGATCGAACCATGATCTGACCATTTGGCCCAAAATATACCGCGCCCTGTGCCTGAGTGTCAATATCCAGCCATGTTTTCGCGACGTCCTCATTTTGCATTTCCAGAATGTGAGCCCCCGCATCTATGAGTATTCGTATTCCTTTATCGCAAAGAAATTTTAGTGTTTCTTTTTCGTCAAATCTTATCCCAGCTTTTGCAGCAAGGTGGCAGTCTTTGTTTCTGCTCTCCAACAGATGACACAGCACTTCCGCATTTGTGCAAAGTAACTTGGGTAGGTCATCTTGCTTGATAGTTTGCGGCAACATCCTTTTATTATCATTAGTCCCACTAAAGCCGGTTGTGAGGCTATCATGGCCGTCCCGCTTGATTGGTTGTAACAGGTCTGATTGCAGCAGAGGAATGTCCCAGCCCGATGCTTGAATCTTCACCGAGAACTGCTTGGCATGGACAGGGAAAACGTAGGTGTTAAGATGATGATTTATCACAGTGCGGTCAAACCTCAGATATCCCCAAAGTGTTTCCACTTGTAGGTCATTCCCTAGATCAACACTATTCCAATACCGAAGAGACGAGGGCAGGGAGGCACATGAGCAAATCCATCGATCGTAGTGAGCTACTGGGTCGTCTGATTGCATAATTCCTTGCAACCCTTGCTTGACCTGTTCCTTGGATAAGCCTTGTTGATAGAAGGCCAGGCAAGTAAGAATAAGTGCGGTATCTGGATGTCCATACTCGGCCGCTTGCGAGGGGACACCCTTGGCTTCAAAAGGCACCGCAATGGGTTGCCTTTCTGGGTGTAATCCATACTGAATGTTCCACTTCTTCTTGAGACAGAGCAGAAGAATGCGTTCTGAGATAAGTCCTCGAAGGAGGTAAAGAATCTTTGGTCCAAAAGCTTCATCTTTGAGGGACTTGATTGCGTTGTCCCAAACTGCAGAAGACACCTGAGCCCCGCTGATAATCTGCCTGAGACATCTGACATTATCTGAGCTCGATTCTTGTATTTGGAGTCGTGGCAGCCGGCCGTTGCAGACATCGTCGATAAGCAGCTCATTCAGTGCATCTTCCGGTTTGGTGGTCAGAAAGTGGATGATGGGATATCGGTGTCTCTGAACGACAACAATCTTGCCATCGAATTGGTCCTGGAGACTTGAAGCGTGCTTCTCGACCAAGCTCAGCAGTTCCTCCACAACAAGCCAGCGATACGGATGGCCGTCAACGACAGTAAAGTCCCCGCTGGGGTAGATCAATTGCGTTTGGACGGACAAGGTCAAATCAGACTCATCCAAAATGTCGCGGCAAGTGATATCTAGCCAGCGCTGAATCTCCACCATTTCTTTGCCAACTTTCTGCTGTCCATCTGTAAGGCGCTGCATCCCACTCAGCTTGAAGGAAAGAATATGCGCCGGGAGGCAAATCATCACCCCTCCCGTCACCTGCATCTCTTCGTGAATGGCCCGATATCGAGACAATGTGGCTGCGTCGGAAGGTGATCGCCTCGCAAAGGGGACGTGACGAACCTGGCGTCCGACGAGGCCCCCAATACGGCTTTGGATGACCTGTGCTGTTTGAAGTAAGAGTGCTTTTGGGACTACAATTCTGCAGAGTTTGGTCTTGTCTGCCAAAATCAGCGCAGCCATTGGCATCACAACAGATGTTTTCCCTGGAAACGTAGTCAGTCATACAGCTATAGTCGAAGAAAGCGCGAGGAATCACGCCTCTCACCTTTGCCCATATTCATTTGCAGAACGGAGTTTTCTTCGGATTGCGGTGAAATGATAGCCTTTGCTACTTCCACCTGAAGAGGCCTGATCAGGATATTGTTGTCAATTTCAAGCAACAGCCATTCTGGATAGATCATTGGAGTCCAGTTGGAATGACCTGTGCTATTCTTCTCCTCGAGGAGCTTCTTTTTGTCGCCACACCGTTCTGCATCCTGCATTCGCAGAAGTTGCTGCAGTTTGGTAACCAAGATTCCAAGCTGGACCAAGGATTTTTTCAGCGGCAAAGAAAGGTGCTTGAAGTTATCGAGACGGAGCTGCTCAAGGATGGCAGCAAGAGAGTCACCCGGCCACAAGTGACCTGCTTCAAGCCAGAAATAGCATGCGTCCTGGCTGGACAAATGATTTTCAACGAGAATTATTTTTTCACGTAGATCCTTTTCGACTGCGGCAATTTCGGCTTCTAAGCTTCCTGTGGTCAACGCAAGCCCGGCCATAGCAAGCTCCAGAGTTTGCAGCTGAGGCTGCTCAAGATCCCATGCCATCGCTGCGATTGAATCCTTAAGGTCTTGGCCATACTGCTGCTTAATTAAATTTTTAGCCGCCTTAAAAGGTTGAACTATTTGATGCAGCATCGACAGTTCTTCCGAAATGCGCGGGAGTCTGTTGAGAATACTATGGTCCTTGGAGTGGCCAGAGGCGTCTAATCGCGAGGGCTTTGGCAGCCGAGAATCCTTGGCAAAGATCTCAATTTTTCCACGGCTATTCCGAAACACCTTGGTAAGACATGGAACGTGGTACACAACCCTGGGGAAGCTTGAAGTTTGAGGAGGTATCCGTGAATCTTGAAGAGTTGCCCATGAAGCTTGAAAAGTTGTCCATGAAACTTGAGCAGCTGTCCTTGTCGTTGAGAAGCTGGGCTGCGCAGTATGCAAAGCTCTTTGAGAGGCCAAGTTGGCATTGCTACACTCGTTGCGGAGTTTTTCCGCCTCATCTTCGAGAGACTGGACATAATCTGACAAGACAAGATTTTGCGACAGCCTTTGCAACTCTGGCCCCAGGCATTCCCAGACCTTTGCCACATCCGTATACTTGAATTCTAACTCAGTCCAAGATTCCACAAACTGGGCGAATGTGAGTGGAACATCGGGCCACGCCTTTTCCAGCCAAGATGCCACTGAGTCTGCCTCTTGCGCGATGCAGATCTCGTACTTGTACTTCATCCTGGCGCGAGGTTTGGGCCCCTTGTCGCAATTGACGCGAGCGGATACGTAAGCCGAATAAGAATCCTGGGCATACGAGAGCAAATCCTCGATGTGTGACTTGTTGAACTTCGGGAAATGGCTGAAATCCGTAAATCTGTGTATATTGGGCGGTTCAATATCCCGCATGGTGCCGTTATTTGCGACAGCCACCAGCCAGGCAATGGCTTCCGCGTCGGCCTGTTCGCCAAAAGCGTACAGTGCAAGAGTCATTTGAGCAATGTAGTATGTCGCGCCATCCGGACATCTCAACATTGTTATCAACGGGCCAAACGCCTGGGATGCATGGGCATTCAAATTTCGTTGAATGTCCAGTGTACTCAAGTTGCCGTTGAAGCCATCGATATTCCGCCACTCCTCCAAGATGGGGCTTAGTTCAGGAAGCTCCGAAATTGCGCCAGATCCTTCCCGGAGTTCCTTGATGACGCGATAAACTCGAGTACTTTCTTTGGACTGATAACTGGAGCCACGCGGTATGTACAACCTATCGTCATTGGCCTGCGATAGTACTCCTAGAACCCAAGGATACTTGTTCCGTTCATAAACCTGCCGGCGAATAATGCCCCGAAGAGCGAGATGATGTAGGTCTGGAAGGTCCATCTCAAGTAGGCCTTGTTCATCTGTGGCCTTCTCGGGGATATCCAGCGCCTGGGATTGCCGAAGTATATCTCCTGCGTGAATCGCTAGATACTCATGTTGGATTGTGGCTGTCAAGCTCTTGTCCCAAAAAGCTTTTTGGTAAAGTCTCTTGTATTCTGGATAGTATATCCGCCTCGGGCTGAGGGCAATGATCGCGGACAATATTGTCTTTGGAAGAACCCCTAGTGGTTTCCATGGCTGGCTTTGGGCAGCGGTTAAGCATAGGCAAGCCTCTTCGGTTCCTGTCCGCCCAGTAAGCTCGTCTGGTATAGGGAAGGATGTTATGGCATGAATCAAAGCTTTCATGTATAACAGGGAAGGCTCGGGGGCACAGTTGAGTCTCCCTAGGAGAGGATCAACAGTGAACAGAGCATAGGTGCCCTCATTCGAGATCTTGACTGAAACATGTGGCCCCTGTCTTTCCCAGGAAAGGGGTCCAATAGGAACCATGACGCTTTTGCGACGAGAGTTCGAGGCATTGCGCAGCACGAGCTTGCTTTCAAGACCATAAAGTGTACCTATATCTTGCACTGGATCAATTTCAGATTGAAGCTGCTGAGAGTATAGCAAGCCTCTAGTCTTGACGAAGAAACGCATTTCGAGACGCTTAATCTCAACAGAAAGACGGCCATTGTCGCTTAGTGGTTGATAGATGGTCAAGTTCCCTGGATTCTCAAAGTTTTCAAAGATGTGCATGATCTTCTTCCCTACCTCCGACTGCGGCTCGACGAGACACGTGCCGTCTTTGGCCGTCGTTGCACCTGGCACCAGGCCCATTTTCTGTTGGCGGGTGGCCATTCGTGTTCGAACATTCAAGACCCAGTTGGAAGACTTTGATGACCATATGTTAGGCTTTCGACGCATCTCAAGCGTACCCGTGCGCAAGTTCAACCAGTGCACGCAGCCATCAACTAGCCCAGAAGGAAGGTCCGGCACTGTGTCGCCCTTGAAGATCTCTCGAGGAACGTGCTCCATGATGTAGCCCCTGAATTTGGCACGAATGACCACTTTGCCTTTCCTGATCCCAACGTGGACGTCGTGGTTGCTGACACTGTTGACGATCTGATATTCCATTCCAGCCATACCCGAGGGTCTTGTAAGTAGGTGTTGCCCCTGGAAAAGCTCCAAGACATTCTTGTCATCTCTGATCTTGAGGGGTAGTCTGCCCAACGGCTTACCATCTATCAAGAGATGTCCCTGGAGAGCATGATAGTGAACGGTCTGGGAGGCGACCAGTCCCGTTCCAACGGTTCTTGATGCCATCCAATGCCCCTTATTGAGGAAGCTCCATTCTGAAAATGAACGAGACTCCGTGCTCCCCGCATCTGTCCAAGTCTCATTGATGACTGTCTCTAATGCCGAAAAATTTGAAAGCGTCCATGCTCTGATCTTGTCGCTCATGGAGTAAGCCCTTGTCATGTCCTGAACCAGTAGTTGCTTTATTTGGGGGGGGACGTCGTCTAGGTTTACAATGAGATTCTCCGAGAGCGCGATGGATGCCCGGAAAAAATGGAGGGCTTCTTCCTCTCCAAACCGAGGCTCATTGTCGGGGGCCAGAAAAATGTCAAAAGTTTGGCGGTAAAGCATTGCGGCGCCAAATGCACTGTGGGCTGCTTTCCGCGCCGTCTCCCCGTTGTCTGTGTGCCTCAATTCATCACGAAGCTGAGATATCCAGAGAGACAGAACCTCCCGGGTTTGACGGAGCAACTTGGCCACGTTTGACCTGAAATTACTGGGGCACAAGTTGTGCAATCGTAGGCTGAGAGTTGTGAGAGTGCTCATGCAGATTAGGTCTTTTCGGCCAGAACGCAGGGCATTTAGACGTAGTCGAATCTGGTGCTCTAATCTTTCGCAGAATGCCGCATCGTGGAAAATATAATGGACTTTGCCCAAGATTTCCGACGTCTGATCTGGACCAGACTGTAATGCCAATCGTGTAAAGAACTTGAACGTCGTGTCGCTGCTGGGATTCAGATTTGTCGATCCAAGCTCAGAGACAAGCACAATCCATCGTCTGTATACGCCCGAGATGGCTCGCTGATATGCTGTGTACTCATGGGGAGACATGTCTCGGGGGCATGCATCTTGGTGAGCCGCAATCTCATAGGAGCTCGGGTGCTCTGAGTTGTCCATGTATAACGAAGCGTCGGCAAATGGATCTAAAATACTTTCAGGAAGCCAAGAACCGAGTAAATGATGATACCAGGGTGCCTCGTCATGCTCGTGCGGCCATATGCAGTTTTCTTGGTCATAGTATGCAAAATCCGGACCAAAGGGCAATAGCACTTGATCTTCGGACTTGGGCATCTTTTGCTTACGATAATGTGTTTGCAAAAAAGACTTCTGATGAGATGCCAAAGTTATCGAGGTTGACACATTTTTGTGCTCAAATTCCCGCAGAGGTTTCAAGTCCTCTAAATAGGTATTCGCACAACTTTCCTCAAATTCCTTCACTCCCAACATCCTCAATGCCCAGGTCGCATCCCGATACAAGCAGAGATATTCGGGCATGTTGAGTTCGAGCAAAATGGCCGCTTTGGCCGATTCTTCTTCGGGAAGGAATGCCTCATGAACCATGATTTTAAGGCGCTTACGACGACGCGCCTGCCGGCATCTTTCACAGCGGTCCCCAAAGAGACGGCCGTCCTGCATGCGACTGCAACAACAGACCCCCTGCTGAATTTGGTCTGATAATTCCTCGTATCTGGCCATGAGTTGATCTAGTTCTATTTTCTTGGCCTGCGCGGACTTTGCATACGCATTTCCAATCTGTGAACTGAGAGGTTGCAGGCCAAAGCTGTCATCGTTGTCTCGGAAAAGTGTTGCAGGGAAAGCCGCGGTACAACCGGGGTGACTGAAGATGGTCCCATGGCCGGTCTTGCAGCGCTTGATGCGGTCAGATATATATCGCTGCACATGGCGGAGTCGCTCCATGTCGTTTCTTGTCATGAGACAAAGCATGTCTATAGCCTCGGGAACAAATACGGGGTGATAGTCTCGGAGAAGGGGACAAATCGTGGTTGCTAGAGAGTCGATAGCAACCCAAAGCTCAAAAAGATTGAGCAGATACTGGCTCATGAGGATCTCATTGTTGCGGTAGTAGTAACCAACCTTTTTCATGTAATTGAGCATTGTCGAAGAAAGCTTGATACATTTAGCTTCGGGCGAAGGAAATGAACCACGTAGCACCGACATTGTTACGCTGTCCCAGACGATGAGCTTGCAGCATTGGGTTGCGAGCTTGTCGACCTGAGACACTGTTCCTTCAGCGAGCGAGGGAGGGCCGAGGAGACCCTGTCGTTTGGGTGGTTCTACCCCGGTAGTCAAAAGGCTCTGTAGCTTACTGCGGCTGTTTTGTAATTTCAAGACCAGATCGCTGCTGGGAGCGCGCACGGGAAGAAGTGGTATGGGACGAGTTGCCCTTCTCTTGTGGGCGTGCCAGAGGGTTGTCATGGCCCGCTTGGCGTTGGCTACAGTGGATTCGAAAAAGGATCTTGTCTTGGAGAACTCTCTTTCGTACAGCTGACGGAGGGCAACAGGAGCTTCAGACATGGCAGTTTGCAGCTTGGCGAGCCGACGGCACAGTTTGGCCTGCAACATGAGAGTCTTTTCGGGATGTAGAGCGGGCTGGCAGTCGGTCAGAAGATGAGCAAGGACGACGCACATGGCGAACTTGAAGTGGACGCGACTGGTACCGAGATCATCGCCGCATGAAGTCAACAGAATTCGCTGGACGGCAACTCGAAGCGCCAGCCAGTAGGGAGAGCGCCTCCAAGGAGTTTCGGACGCTATTCTAAGCACAACGTCGTCTCTGATGCGTTTTTGAACGGCATGGACGGGAAAGGGCCTCCCCGTGGCTTCAAGGAACGACATGAGCATTTCCGTGATGAGGGCCGGGCTCGGAGTATCGCGTGGCTCGACAACCATTCCTCCCCCCTTGGATGATCGGGCTGCGAACTTGTCCAAGGCGACCTCACTGGCCTGCTCCAAGAACTCTGCAAGGACATGCTGGAACGCATCTTTGCTGAACTCGGACTCGGCTACAGCAGCAGAACGACCAGGAAAAGTCCACTGGAGGGCGTGGTTGGCTTCGAGTACAGCCGGAGCAGTAGGTGAAGCCTCGAATGCCTCGAAGACCACCTCGTTGGTGCTATGCAACTTGTCAGCGAGGAACAAGTCTACAGCAAGCTACATGAGATACGCACTCGTTGTTTTTGTGAATGATGATGACAGCGTTTTGCTGCACAGCGTGAAGGACAAGCCAGGCAACGGATTCGTCTTGAGCAACTTGGGAGAAGGCTGCCGCCAGAGATTCCTTGGAGGCGGGGTCCCGGTTCAGATGCTGTGTCAGGAGCAAGGACGCCTCAACAGTGTCCCAAAGGTTTTCGGTTTCACGGCACTTCATTTGCTTGCAAGCGTCGAGGAAGCGTGCCGTCAGCTCCCGGTTGAGCGGCATGGAGTCGGTTTCTGGGGCTACTGGAAGCCTGGGGGGCAAGACCAGATGGTCAAATACAGCCTCCAGCAGCCGTGGTTGAGACGACCTTTCCGGCATGGGGAGATGCCCTGGGAGAAGCCCCGTGAGATGAAGCTGTTGGGTCTCGTTGGTTTGGGCGTGATGATGATGATTGTAAAATTTCGGTGTGAAGATTGAAGCGGAGCCTCACGCACGAAGGATGCAAGGCACAGACTGGCACATGCAGGCAAACGGCCAAGCGAGTCGGTGAGGCTGCCCACAGGCCTGGTCGTCTGTAGTATTGACATGTCAAGTTATAAGTGAAAGTTTGGCCCCGGTCAATAAATCAATTGATGGCTTTCGCCTTGACCAGGTGCCCCAAGGTGCAAACATTTGAAGTCGAGATGACAACCCGCAAAGTGGCGTTGGTCTGTGCGAGCCCGGCACCCAAAGTGGGGCGTGGCAAACCGCACTAGGAACAGCCCACAGCAAACATGGAAATAATTTCCTCTTTAGACTTTGACCGCGCTCGCCACAATCCCAAGTCGTCGATTCACATCCTATCTGAGACGAGTTGGATGAGTGCAACGCATTTCCATTTGGCGTTACTTTTTCTCTGCCAAGGCCTCGTCATAGTACACCAAAGACCAAAGAGTCAAGACCATCAAAAATCACCTCGCCGTCGCAGTTGAGACACGCCACCACGCAGGCCAATGACATACCGGCTCCATTGTCAACGAGTGAGTCATCTGGCCATTCTTTTACCTACTACGCTCAGCTTAGCTTGTACATATGTGCATGTAAGCATGAAATTAAAAGCCGGCTAGCAAACCTACTGCCAAACCAAAAACTCCGTCCTTTTGATCATTTGAACCTAGGCATTTTCTGTGAAAGCGGCCACCCTCCCATAGCTCAAGGTACCAAGCTTGGTCACGCGGACCTGCTTAGTAGTCGCCCACATCTTTTACCATAATTACCTGCGTATTTATAATGCTTCTTATCACACTTTGAATCACCTTCCGATATCTTTCTGTGTCTGCGTCCACGATTGCCACAAACAAGATGGACATCAGTCAATCAATCGAACGAAGCCACGATGACGACGGTCCAGTCGGCATTACTTTGTGGCAATCGCCAGAGGATGGTGAGCCAAATCTTGACTGTCATGATTCGGACCCGAACCTCTCTGTCACCTGCGACAATATCCCATTTGGCGACTGTTGCGCGGGCGAAGAGAACGAGCTATTCGATAGTGCCGAAAGCGACCAAGCCGAGGGCATGACCAGCTTCGATCTCTATGCCGGGAGTGGCGATGATCCTTGCCGCCAGATTATTACCAGCAGCAGCTCGAGAGATAAGCCCTGTCTGGCCGGCAGCTCTGCGGGGATGAGCATAACCGGTGCTGCCCTGGAGGTCCCTGAAGATAAAAGTATTGGCGATATTCCAGGGCCCGCGGAGAATAGCGAGGTAGTGGTACCCAAAAAACGAGTATGGCGGGCAAGCCTCTATGGATATCGCGACGCAAACCGTAACATGTACTACATTCCTGTTAAATCCCCGCTTGGGGACGAGTATCGGAAGCTGGCGACGCGGCGGGAGAAGATGGAGTTTATGGCTAAACATGGCATGTCTAGGGAGGATGTTAGGGAAGCAAAACGACAACTGGCACAGGAATAATGCCGTCATGTGTGGGAAACGGCGGGTTCTGACAAGATGCCTTGGGGTCAATGGGGGTTCTCTGGCTCAACGACCATCTGGGGAGTGGAAGCACCCGACATGTCGGCAAAGTTTTTTCCATTCTTCCATGTACCTTGTCCGTGGTTCTGATTCACGGCCAACATGTCTCACGGGCTTACCCGCTAGCTTACGCCATAGAGCCACTTGGATAAAGTTGGAATATCAACAAGCTCCGCTGCAATTCTGAATAATTTGGTTACCTTTATTCTGTGCCATCATGTACATGACCCCTGGATCATCATACGAGCCATCCCAGAGATAGAGACTAGCCGTGATGCTCTTAAAATAAAGGTGAATGCTACCATATATACAACTATCAGGCACATCTCGAAACATGTCAACTTTTGTAATTGGGAACACGCCTCATGACGATGCAGTCCCCGCCAGCAAGCTCCATGCCAACACATGGCCATATACCGTGCTCTGTACCTGATTACTTGAGGAGTGGCATTTTTGCTCCGGCCCAATATTTAGTAGCTGACGCTGAAAATTTTCCAGTACTTGGCATCGCCAGAGAAGTCAAGCTCGGCCCCATCACCAGACAGGTACTTGCCTCCATCCCGCTGCTTCCAGCTATATCCCTTGCTAGCGGTGAATTGGACCGTAAACGCTTCAGCGTTCTTGGCGTCGGCGCAGAGGCTCCCGTCCTTGCAAAGATACTGCTCGTCGCTCGCACTCTGCAACGTGAAAACATCGCCTCCGATTTGCTCGGCATGGGCAATCCATCTGTTGGCAATGTCGTCGTGGTTTGGGGTGCTTTTGGTGACGGTTGCGCTCGTAGCAGTCTTGCTCCCCGCGTTGGTCAATGAGTGCCCATTCGTTTCCAGCACCAGGTAGCGTCCCTCGGTGAGCTTGCCACGGATTGGCTTGAAGCCGTGCTCGACCATGGTGGTGAGATCATCGATGACGCCATCTCCGGTGTAGGGAACGGGAGGTCGGGTGGCTGGAAACCTGGACTGACAGTATGAAGATCCATCGTATTGGCCTTTGAAATTGACATGTGGCTTAGGAGCGGTTGGAAGACTGGGAATGCTGTAGTCTGGGTTTTGGAAATCAAAGGCACTAGTTAAATCGGCCATGTTGTCGCGGCGCCAGGGAACCATTTCTCTGGTTTGGACGTTTTTGCCCTTGGCAGCCTGCCACTTTTCGATAAACAGAATTTGTGAGTTGTGATCCGAGTGCTCCGTGTAGACGCCCCCATTGCGAGTCCATGGGGAAATAATGTAAAATGGAAGTCTAAAGCCAGGGCCGGCAAAAGTATGCCCAACCTTGCCCTGCGGGTCGTTGAGCCACTCTCCCGGTGTCCCGTCGGGCGAATGATGGGGATTCACATGGTCAAACCAGCCCCCGGTTTCGTCGTATGAAATTATTAAAGCAGTCTTGTTGTACTTGGGCGAGTTGAGAACGGCCCGAGTGATGGTGTCTTGCAGCCAGGCGCCGTCGTGTGGAGAGTAGGGCGGATGCTCAGATAGTTGCATGGGGCCTACAATCCACGATATTTCGGGCAGAGTTCCTTTGGCAGCCTGGTCGTAGAATGAGTCAAGAGAAGAACCTTTGAGGCCGTGGTCATACAGGGCAGAGCCCTTGGTGGACCGTCTGAACTGATCAAACCAAGCATATGGGTTGTCGTCAAAGTTATCGGCGTCCTGAAACACATTCCAAGACACCCCCGCATCCTGATAGTATTCAGCAACAGTCTTCCACTTGAGCGGAAAGCAATTGACACCACCGCTTTCGCACCCAGGGGTCTCGTTGTTATCAATATATGGATTACCGCCTTGATCAGGCTTCTGCGGCGAACCAGGGACATTGATGGAGCCTGAAACCCAGCTGACACGATTTGGGTTGGTGGAAGCAACGACGGATTCCTATCATTGTCAATATTGAGGCCACCTGCGGCAAGCAAACAATGGAGCAGAGGTGTCTACCTGGTACATGTCTCCAATCACCCAGTTTTCAGCCAAGGCCCACTGAGTAGGAAGGTCTTGCTTCTTATAAAATCCGATGCTCCAGGGAGTGTTGTTCATGGCCCAGTGGTCGTTTGAACCAAAGTTCCAGGCGGCGTGGTTTTCAAACCAACCATTGCTGCCAGCAGTCATGCACTGCGTTGCCTCGGACCAGTTCCCGCCGAGGTAGTTGAGGTACCACGGGGTGACATGGTCCGTCTTGGTGGTTTGCTGCCGAGTAGTGAGCTGCTTCCAAACGGGCACGCCGTTGTTTGTTTGAAGATTTGCGTCACTAAATCCACGAACACCAGCCATGGTGCCAAAGTAGTGATCAAACGCGCGGTTTTCTACCAAGTCCGGTGAGTCAATGTCAACTCAATGAATAACACAAGCATACCAAAGTTCAAAGACGTGATTACCTTGCATGAAGAGGACGACATGGTCGATGTCCGCCAAGCCGGCAGCGTTGACATTTCCAGCAAGGGAGCTACAAAGCACCAAGATTGGCGCAAGGCCAGCGAATCGTAGTCCAGCCATTTCTCATGGGGGGTGACTTTGCAAGAACAGAAACCTATCCAGCCATGGTTCGGGGGGAAATCAGGTGAAACATGGGGAACCTAGAATTTATAGAACAGAGCTAGCATGAGCAACGGGAAAGCATCGCTTGGCGTAGAACGAGTCCGTCTATTATGCATAAGCGCTGTATGCACGACGGCTAGCTTGAATTAGTCAAGTCCCTGATAGGCCACACCCCTTGGTGTGTTGTAGACATGAAAAAAAAGAAATGTACGTGTATTTGTCTTTTAAAAATATGGGTGGTAATACGACGCATACAGCTCCCCAATACATGGACTCTGCACAAGACCACGTTGTCTCAACAATGCCATCCATTTCGACAGTTTTCGACATGATTTGTATCCCCGCGACCCACGTCCACGGACCATTCAAACGGCAGTCAAGACCAATAATGGTCGGTGCCGCGGCCACGAGGGTGGATTCGCAGAGGGCATGTCTGATGCAAGGAGACTTGCATCCCCTGCCATGTCGTGCATAAATGAAGCCAGGATTCGCTAGCCGACGAGTTTGCTCATCAGAAAAAGGCACCTCGGTGTCCATTCTCATCTAGTTATTGATAACTTGTGTAGCAGTCTAACCAGGTTCCCGTCAACTTTCGGCAGTTGCACAGCCGATTCGGCCAATGGAATCACGGATGCCGGCCACATGACGATTAGCTTCCTCGAACAAGATGTTCTGTGGAGCCATTGGAGATGGAAGACGGGACTAAATAATGTACATGTAGTAGTACTGGGAAATCACGGGCCAAGCTGCACTACACTGCTCTGTCCTTGGCATGTGAGCAAAAATCCCGTTTCTGCCGTGTTGGAAGACGCGCTGTACAACAATGGAAACAATTGGCACGACCGAGATGGACCACGTGGCTGTACTTTTTTTCCATTTGATCCGTCGAATGCTACCCCACGAATGGGAGACGGGAACAGGGAACCGTGTCGTATTTTTTCAGTCATGGTCATTTATGCTGTTAAACAGCCAATATGAATATGGCTGTGGTCGACTTCAAAGAGTCTTTCACCTATACCCCGAAACGCCACCCGACGGGAAGTCTTAGGGTCAGGAAAAATTGGCCCAATAAGAAGAGGTTCTGATCGATTGGCCAAGCCACCGTCGTTACCGAGATATCGACCTGTTCAAGCATCAAGCACGCGACACCCGCCAATCAACCGCACCAAGACGGAATGGACTCGACTCGACATGTTTTCCTGGGCATTGTCGGCACTATGCCAAAGAGTTTTTTGTTTTATTTCTCTTTCTATTTTTATTTTTTATTTTTTATTTTTCCTGGCAGCCACCGCAGCAAAGGCTATGCACCATGGCGACAGTTTTAGACAAGTCCAAGACAAGTCAATCGGGCAAAGAGAGACATTTGCCGCTGCACACACTTCGGGAAACTGACTTCCGCCCTTCGATGACACCAAGGGCGTAGAACCAACGGCCCCACACCCTCGGGCCTCGGCCAGAGATTTCTAGAACAATTCGTCATGACTAGAAAAGCCCTCCAACATCAATTCATGGCCGATTCTCTTGATGCCATAGTAACCGAAAATGACAGTACCCGGCAAGACAAAACATGTATATCAGTACGACGGGAAGCTCACGGAGCTCGCGACAAAGGTGCACTCGGTCCGGTCCTTTGCGAGTTTGGAGGACGCCAATCGACTTCTCTTCAAGAATGGCGCCGACGACGACTTTGTCATGGTAACCAGCGAGACCATATTTCACCCTCAGGGCGGCGGACAGCCCTCCGACGAGGGTTTCATCACCTGGAGCCCCAGCGGCACCACGGCAGCCGACGCACCGCCAGACCACACCTCGTCCTTCCACGTCAAGGCCGTCCGCATCGACGCCGTCCACGGCTCGCAAGTGCTGCACCTCGGCTCGTTTCCAACGCCCGCCGCAGCCTCCCAAGTCCAGCCCGGCGACCAAGTGACGCAGGTCCTGGACGTGGAAAAGCGCCTCCTGCACTCGCGCCTCCACACGGCCGGCCACGTCTTGGGCTCCGCCGTGCGCAGTCTGCTCGAGACGGAAATCCCCGGCTTCGACGAGCTCAAGGCCTCGCACTTCCCCGACAGCGCGGGCTGCGAGTTCAAGGGCGCCATAGAGGGAAAGTGGAAGGCGCCGATCCAGAGGCGCGTCGACGAATACCTGGCGCGGTCGATGCCCGTCGAGGTTGAGTTTTGGACCGAGCGCGACTTTTGCAGAGAGGGCCTGGCGCGGCTGATTCCCGATCGGCGCCTGCTGCCCCCCGGCGAGGACAAGTTCCGCGTTGTGCGCATCGTCGGCGCCGACGTCTATCCCTGCGGGGGGACACACGTCGACACGACGGACTTGTGTGGCGAGACTACGGTCAAGAAGATTGCCAGGAGTAAGGGCACGAGCCGGGTGAGCTACACGGTGGCATGAGCCCTGGGCTGTGAACATGAGCGTGTAATAGAAGGACATCAAGGCTATAGACGCGGCGAGAGGGTAAGGAAAGAAATAAAAATCCCATTCATGTCTCGTATCTACGACGCCGCAGCGTCTAACAGTGAGTGTGTAGTTCCTCTACATTCCTTGAACAGTTTTGACCCAAAAATATCATACTTGATAGGCGTTGCAATGAAGGAGTCCAGATGTCCCTTCATGACCCCCCTTCACAAAGCCACCTTGGCCGCGACCACGTTTGTTGAAATGAAGCCCGTCACAAATAACCAAGCCTTGCGCTCGCCCTTCTCTTTCGCCGGATCAATGGCAACGAGAACGGCAGCGCTCGCCGTCCGGATGCGCGTCGAGTCGTCCTCGAACAGAAGCCGGTTCACCCACGACTCCTCGTTGCCGGCCGTCTCGTCACGAGAAGGCGTAGCCTTCCACACTATGGCGCCGTCCGTGCCCCGAGGATTGTGTTGGTTCTTCGCCAAGTCGACGGCTCTTGGCAGACCAGCGACGACGAGGCCGCTCGCATCGTACGTCGAGTTGGCATACGGGTCACGGAACCAGCTGGGATTGTCCAGGGTGGAATCGAAGGCGACAGACTGCCGGATGGCAATCCTGGGCGATTCCCCGTCGCTCTTGGGTGAGACGACGTCGGCAATGTGCAGCCTGCCGCTGGCGCAGCTGACGACCAGAACCTCGGACGGCGTCCGGCCGTGGCCCAGGCCGTTGTTGTTGTGGACGCCGTCGAGCGCGACCGAGGCCTTGACCTCGACGTCGCTGTCACGGAAGGAGCCGTCGGTGAGCTCGGTGAACTCGACGAAGATTGTGTTGGACCACTTGGCGCCAAAGTAGAGCGTCTCGATCTCGCGCTTGATGCCGTCTCGGTAGAAGTGGTCGTTTGTGACGAAAAACGAGGTTGGCGACACGGCGACAATGTCGTTGGGCGTGGTGATGAGCGGGTGCCACACGGAGCGGACGTGCTCGACGGAATCGCTGCCAATGTCGTAGTAGAAGACTTCGACGATGGAGCGCGCCTTGGGTTCGCTGGCGTCTTCGGCGAAGGCGGGATTCGGCAGATGGTTGACGGCGAAGAGGTAGACGGCCTTGCCCTTGGGCTTGTCGGGATCGTCGATGACGTCAATGCCATGCGTCACAAACGGCCCGTTGAAGTTGGTGAACTTGAGCTTCTTTGCCTTCATTGTCTGCGCGGACGAGCGTCAATACAACACGTATAGTCGCCGTGACCAAGCTCGGGAGAGGGTGTATACTGACACTGGGATCAATGACCTCGATGCTGCCCTGGGCCTTGAGGCCCACGTTGGGGTCGTCGAAGTGGCCCAGGGCGGGAAACCAGGCATACCGGGTGGCCTCGACGCCTTCGCAGGCAGTAAAGATGAGACGGCTGGGCTCGTGGTAGTGAAGGTCCTCGCAGTGGACGGTGTCGGGGATGGTGTGGAAGTCGTTGGCGTTTGCGACGACGGTGCTGCTTTGCTTGCGTCCGAAGCCGAGCACGACCTTGGCGCGCGGCAGCTCGGCGGTATAAAGGAAGGCCGCAAAGATGGCCAGGATTAGAATTGCTCCCGAGGAAGCCAAAGACGGTCCGCCTGCCATGGTAGCTGTGATCAAAGTGAGATGGTGCAACTACTGCCTGGTTAGTTGCTCGGTCGCGGGTTGCGCACCCAACTCGACATCCGACATCAATCCATAAATATCCGCGTCCCTACCCCGGAGCTAGAGAGACCGGTGCGGGGTTCAAACGTTGGCGGTTCCACCAGACTAGACGGCGTTTGAAGGATAATCCGAGGCTAAAGTTAAAGCTGGCACCTGGGAGCTCTTGGTTCAATGTTGCCAACGGGTCAACTGGTACTCGGTGGACGGTATGACGTTGGCGTTTTCTCCTCTATATTTCACGGCAAGGACGTGTCTTAAAAGTGGGGAACATTGCATCGCTTTGAGGCACCGTTTTCAGTCACGACAAGTGTTTATGAAAGCGGCTCTGCTGGCATTCATGGTTTAAAGGTAAACCGGCGCTCTAGGCCCTGCGACGCGCCACTCTAGAGGCAAAATAATGACCGCATTTGCGGCTGCCTTGTCGCGATGCTATTCGCTGTCGGTTGAGCTTCGACTTTAATCCAGTAAGCCGATAGATAGCCGCCTTATTAAACATACTTGAGTAGTATAAAGACACCCTCTTCTGATATATGCCAGATGGCATTGTACTCGTCAGTCTACTCCGTATTTTGTGCTGTCAGGCAACAGGTTACGCTGTGCTTTTAGGTCAAAAGGGATTGACGCGGACACGTGATGGCCCGTGTTCACTGATTTCTACGAGACAACGCATGTGCATCACGCAACATTCGCCAAGAAACATCTCGACACAAACGCTGCAAAACCCGCGCGACGCATCACGTACAATGAATACACCGCCCCCTGGGTTTCCTCTGCCCTAGTTGGACGTAAACGAACTCGATAATAGACTCCGACAGCTCACCCCTGAGATCAACTTCCCAACGGAGATGGCACAATCCAACAAATGGGCAGCCGAGCTGGCAGCTTACAATCTCGATGCCGCATTCGTTTATGGCGCGCGCCACACTATATCTGACAAAGATTACTGGCAAGTAGAGGCTTTAAATTTGCTGGAAGCCTACCTACGACAATCGCAAAAGGACAGACCTGAGGCGGAACGATGGCGGAACATCTGTGTCGGCGTGGAAGCTCTCCTAAAACGACAAGACATTGACACTGACGAACACCGACAATCTATTGATAACGACGGCTATTGGGCAGTAGAAGCAGATTGCCTTCAGTCGCACACTGCCCGTCTGGAGAGCGAGCTTCTGGATGGACCTCTGGAGCTGGGGAACACAAAAGCAACATCAGGAACGATAAACTCGTCAGCCCTGGCTCTGAAACCGGGCAAGGGCTCCAGCGCAGACGCCAGCGTTGGCAGCACACTACTGGAAACCAGCACGGCCAAACCTTGCGTCCCGTGACAGGGCGGGTGGTTTAACGCCGCCGTGGTGGTTTAAGCGGCAAAGCCCGCCAATCCTGACTGTGCACAGGTTGTCTGGTTTCTGAAGAGCCAATCCTAGTTCCCCGGGTGGCTGGATCGAGCGATTCGGACGACTGCGACTTCTCATTAACCAGAAGCAACATGTCCGGTATCAGTACGCACTACTTCTGAATTGCATTAACCCTATGGGTCGGTGCGTAAGAATAACCGTGTTGTCGAGAAATTCAGTGTGCATACGGGATGATAATGGCAAGCAGCTAGAACTGGCAACGTCGCAGTATGCAAATATAAAGTCGACAGTCACTGTTGATACGGGTGTTCTAGCCATAATGGTCTGGCCTCCAAAACTCACTGACCAAGGGAAACGGCTCTACAATGAACACGTGAAGTTGTTTCGAAAAGACTTGATGAGTGCACAACCGCTAAATCCGGCTTCCCATACGGCCGTTTCGCCTGAGTGGTGCGGTGTACAAGAGCGCGCGACCAAGAAAAATGACTGTGAAGAGGAGCAAAGAGGCGGAACCAGTGAAGACGTGCAACAGGCATATCCACGCCTCGTACATGTTGCAAACTTCTAAGGGGGTGTTCGAGCTGTTCCTCGACAACAACGCCGACAAAATACAAGATTATGTGGATGAACTGGCAGCATGCTCTGCCACTCTACATATTCGCGGAAGCGGGACGTTACGACGCGCACTTCCCTGAACAACTGTTTGCTCGTGATGCTTTGATGAATTGAGTTGACGACTCAGAATAATTTTCTGAAACGCCTATTCCATATGCTATTTGGCGGAGGTGTTTCCCTCTTGCAGAGCGGTTGCTAGACCAAGGGTGCGAATCCGCATGTAGAGGTAGCTGTCGACGGTTCACGAATGCGCAACGTTTCCATAACCAAGGGACGACGCCTTCAGGCACGCCGACACCGATGCCATCCGAATCAAGACCCAAGCGGGACGGAAACAATCCTGGCAAGACGGTTTGATGCTCTGGTTTTGGTCCCGTGATCGTGGCCCTTGTGTAACAGGCCATTTCCGTGACAATATGGCATCTAGTAATTTACTCCAAACAAAGAAGAGCTTCGGCACTATTCGCTGCATTTATTGCTTGCGTCGTGGCTATAATTGTATGGGTAAGCAACGTCGGTCGGTCATGGCCGTCTCGATACAGTCGCGCTATATTGTTTGTTCATAGTACTTGACTGTATAGCACATCGGTAGCCTATATTATTGGTGGCAGTATTTCACCGTTGCCCTTCTCTTTGAACCGGTCTTTGGATAATCCACCTTTGATATATTCCGCCTTTACTATAGCAAATGGCTAAATAGCCCCAACCTTGACGCTTGTCAAGTACCCAGTCTATAGAATATAATCCCTCTTGAAACCAGACTATCCCGAAGGAGGCAGGGGGACTTTATTCCTTCTCGAAACCAGAGGGAGCCTTGTCCATGACGAAATTGGTGGGAGGGAGGGCGGCATCATCGAATGCGATGCCATCGGCATTGTTACACGAAAAAGGCCCAACAGATCGTGAAGCCCAACAAAGGGGCTTCACCGATACGGGACTTATTGGTTACACGGCTTGAACACGTGCCCGGGCGTTCCTTTCATGTGTATATAACGGACCTTTCCCTTCCTTCCTCTCAGCAACTCAGGCCCTTTGACATCCTGCGAGATTATTATTGAATTGAACCTTTACGTTCCGAGCCCTCATAACGAGCCCTTGTCACCGGTATCCTTGGGCTTCCCGCCACTACCACAGTTTTCCCAGCTCCCGACTATCCAAGTTCATCATGGGTATTCTTCTTATCGTCCATGCACTTTTCCAATTGACTAGCGCCATCGTCGACTGAGCATACGCGCTTGATGCCCTCGACACAACGACGAACCTCGAGCTTGCATGAGGACTCTGGTATACCAAATTTGCTTTCGCCTCCACAGAACTCGTCTTGCATGTCTCGAAAACGCGTGAATAGTTCGACTGAACCGACCCCCGGACAATCTCTTGTCGGTGGCGTCCAAACAGGTCCCGCGAGAGCGGCGGCAATAAAAGTAGAACCGAGAGTAATAGAGTACTTCATAGTCAGTAGGTAGTGTAAAAAGGCTTTTTTTTTTTTGGCTTTTAAAAGAAACCAAGTTGGCAGGATACGGCGTGATTCAAATGTCAATAACAAGATAGGGGCAAGGCTTGTTATTTATATACGGCGGCGTATTGTGTTGAGAGCTGCGTTTCCAAGGGTCACGTAATTGCACATGCATAAATCGAACTGACTAGCATGTTGCCCAGATTCATACCCTCAGACTATACTGGTACTATACTGGAGCATTCGATGCCTTGGAAGCGGTACACGACGCGTGTATACGGGCTGCGTTGTCGGAAGGCCTCTCATTTGAGCTGGCAGCAAGGCATAAACTTGTAAATATGAAACCATAGAGCTGGAGACTACTCCGTACTCCGTATACTGACTCGGATTAAAGTATTGAATGATTTAACTTGTGCGACCGGTGACGTTACTACACTGCTAGATGATGCACACAAGCATGACTCACGCTACGCCTAATAATCCAATATATTTGTTAATGCACTTATTATATGTGGCAATAGCGAGTCATTTATATATTATCAAAACTCAAATTCGCCAAGTATCATATTTTTATCAAGTTTTTGTATCATGCGCCATGTTATCATGAGATGTGTCAAGTTTACATGAGACGAGGCACCGTCACGGGCCGCCCTCGATGCATGTGCTGTACGGAGTACGGAGTAGAGGTAACCTTGAATATCAAGCAGCAAGCTGTACTTGTTATACATTATAACCGCTGCCTCATGCCTCCACCTAGGTCTTTTTATATTGCAGTTTGTACCCTGCCTCTTCAGTAGAGTTAAATTGTGTACCAGGACATATGCGGCCTCAAGGAGCCAAGTCATGCATCAGTAGCTTCACCCTCCTGGGCCCGGGAACACACCACAGGTTGCCAAATTGCTTTGCATGATGGCTGCACCGGGTGAAGCCGTACGACTGGCGTCGGCAATGGCGAGGACACAACCCGTGCGCTTGAACTTGATGCCCTTTATTCACCCCTGCACATGCGCATTTGGGGTTGAACTTGAGGGTTGCTACATTTTCCTGTCCTGGACGAACGGGATGTGAAAAGGGCTCAAGGGGGCTTGGAGCAAATAGCTCCATTCATCCAATAACAGTCTTTGGTATCAAAGGTCCTTGGTTTTCCTCAAGGCCTTGTTGGCCAAAGGCGTCTTTAAATACAAGAAGTTGGTGAGGGACTTTATGTGTAACCTTAAATATTGGGCCATGTCCGTGTGGCACCGGATATCTCTATAAACATGCCCTGGGGCCAGCCGCGCTTAGCAGGTTTCTTCACAACCACCCTATTAATAAGGCATCAGTTGGTCAAATAGATCATTAACGCATATCACACTTTCAGAGTTAACCTTGTAAGTTTCAGCAGGCTCCGGAATTCGCCCCTATCTAGGCGCTTGGTAAACCTGGTCACCTTTATCAGTAATTATTTTTTAACCAGATGGGCCATCTAGCTGTCACACTATATCATATAATACATTATATGGTATTCTACTACATTGTTGTACATGTAGAACTGGAAGACGTCTGGTCTGGTCTGCCGAGTCCGATGTCGTGATTCGTCTAGACTCTCTCTGGTGGCTCCACCGGCGGCAGACCAGGCTTCTGTCCATCTGCCCAAGTACTTGGAGCTCCCAGCTCAGCTTCTGGCGCAAACATCCTCGCATCAGGATATTCCCGCGCCGTCGCCAGTCCATGGTCCAGCCTAATTCTTCGCCATGGATGGCCTAGACGACTTTGAAAAATCTCTTGCCGCCGAACGGCTGGAGCGCGAAAAGGCAGAAAGGGCAGAACAGCATCGAGACCGCCATCAAGGCCATCGCAAACACCGACATCATCATCGACACAACGACCGCGACGATAAAGAAAGAGACGGAGAGCACAGCCATCACCGCCGTCGAGACCATGAAGATGACCACGGCCATAGGCACAAGAGAAGTCGACACTCTCACGACCAAGCCGATGACGCGCACCGGTCGAGACACAGGCACCATGGCCACGGAAGCAGGGAACGCCATTCGCAACGCCGGCCAGAGACGGGGCGGGAGTCATCGAGTAACGGGGGCTCGTCCGATGCTCCCGTGCGTGATGCATGGATGACGGCGCCATCGTCCATCGAGGTCGAGCATGTACACCGCGCAGAGAGAAGCAAGCCTCCATCGCCGCCTCCGCAGCAACCGAAGCGAATCATCCACTCTCGCGAACTCAATCAAACCATCCACCAACTAGACCAACAATCGTCACTGTCTGACATGCAGCAACCCACCGCCGAGAGAAAAGTCGACTACGTATTTGGCGACTCGGGCTCTTCATGGCGCTTAACAAAGCTGCGGGGGGTGTACACCACTGCCGAAGCAAGTGGACGGCCAGTCGAAGACGTGGCGATGGAGCGCTACGGCAGCTTACAAGACTTTGATGACGCGCGAGAAGAGAAGGAAGAAATGGAGCGGCGCAGGATCTACGGTGAAGGGTACAAGGAGAAGGAAAGGCCCATGGGAGACCTGTATCGAGCTCGAGAACACGACAAGTCGAGGGCACATGACGACTCTGCTGCCGCCGCGGAACCAGATTCAGGCACTGTCATACCCGAAGAACCGTCACGGAATGCAGCCATGGACCAAACATCTCTTAACCGCCTCCGCGCCCAGATGATGAAGGCCAAGCTGCGCCGGGCCCCCAACGCCGCACAGCTGGAGGAGGAATACAATCGCGCCGCAGCTCTCGGCCCCCGGCCCAATGCTCCCGAGGCCGTCGTCCTCGGCATAATGGACAACCGCCAGTTGGCCGGCACCAGAGGGGAGGTCAAGGCTGTCGACACCAAACGCGGCCGCGAGAGGGGTCTGGTGGAAGAAAACAACGACATGTCCATCGAGGACATGGTCAGGGAAGAACGCCGCACCAAGAACCAGCTAGGTGGCGAAGGACTGCGTCTCGCAGAACGCATTTCCAAGGACGCCAAGTACGACAACGACCTGGACTACATGGATGAGAATGCAGAAAAGCTCGCCAAACGTGTGCACAAGAGCGAGATCAACCTCAAGAACATGGCCGTCAACGAGTTCCAAAAGATGAACCGCATCCTGGAGAGCTGCCCCCTGTGCCACCACGAAGACAAGGGCCGCCCGCCCCTGGCACCCGTCATATCCCTCGGCACGCGCGTCTTTGTGACCCTCACCACGGAGCCCGAGATCAGTCCCGGCGGCGCCGTCATCGTGCCCATCACGCACCGCGGCAACCTTTTGGAATGCGACGACGACGAGTGGGAGGAGATTCGCAACTTCATGAAGAGCCTCACGCGCATGTACCACGACCAAGGGCGCGACGTCGTCTTTTACGAGAACGCCGCCGCGCCGCATCGCCACATGCACGCGGCCATGGTTGCCGTCCCCATTCCCTACCAAGAGGGCGCCACGGCGCCGGCATACTTCAAAGAGGCCTTTCTCTCCAGCGACGAGGAGTGGTCGCAGCACAAAAAGGTGATTGACACGGCGGCCAAGGCCCGTGACGGCATGGGCAGAATGGCCTTCAGGAGGAGCATCGCCAAGGAGATGCCCTACTTCCACGTCTGGTTCTCGCTGGACGGCGGGCTGGGGCACATTGTCGAGAATGCGGACCGCTGGCCCAGGGGCGATTTGTTTGCAAGGGAAGTCCTGGGCGGGATATGCGATGCCGAGCCGCACATTGTCAAGAAGCAGGGCCGGTGGGTGCGTGGTGATGCGCGTGTGGATGAGTGGAAAAGAGGCTGGAGGAAGTTTGACTGGACACGGGTCTTGGAGGAGCCGTGATGGTGTTTGCAGGCGGCGCATGTTTAATATTGTGTTTCAAAATAAAGAATTCACGGCAGGAAATGACTGGAATATCAGTTTTGTACAATACCGGTGATGATTGCAGCTGCTGAGAAGACCAGTTTTGCACTCCCGCCCGTGGACTGGCTGTTGGACAGTCCAGTGCAAGAAATAAAACGCACTCATTCGGTCAGTGACCAAATAAAAAAAAAGGAATAAAAAATCATAATAAATGAAAGCAGTTACAAAAAAGAAATGCTCGGAAAGCATCGTGGAACGATCTTTGCTCCCGGCAGGGCTTGAACCTGCGGCCTCCGCATCACTAACGTTTATTAGTACGAAGCTCTAACCAACTGAGCTACGGAAGCTTCCCGAAATGATTTGCTCCTGACGATGCTAATTCGCAACTTCAATAGCTAGCATGCGCGCCACTTCAAACCACCTTCACTGTGACTAGATAACAAATTCGATAATTCTCACTATGGCATGGGTTCAAGTCTTGATACGGCTTCTAGCCAAATTTTCGCCAGTTTCATACACCCCTTTCGCGATAATAGCCCAGTCACGCCCATAGACGCCAAGGACAAGAACAGCTCATGTACACCGACAGCACTGGCGGACATCGAGACAGCCTGCTGGGACACAAATTTTCGGTCAAGCTGCCGATAGAAAACACCCACTTTCCTGAGATGTATGCTGCATGCGGCAGCGGTACTCATTTGCTAGCATGTAAGGTGAGTTTAGCCTGTGGAATCATAGACGCTGGCCACATACGCCAGATGCGCTCATTACGGCGAGATAACGGGTCAGGCGTAATATATGCATGTTCATAACTTAGCTACCTACTGTGACATTACGTTCTCTTCTAGTCTTTTTTTCTCTTCCTTTTTCCCGCCGCGCTCATTCACTCCGAGCCAATTCCATCCACCCCAAGCTACAACGTCGACTATTTGCACCATAAAACAAGTGCGCCAGAATATCCACTGGCCGCCTGTAATCTAGTGATATAATTCCAAACCACCCATATATAATGAAACAGAAACTTCCTTCCTCCACGAAATACCAAGACGATCGGAAAAGGCAGGAAATGCGACGCAATATGCTGTGGCTGTTGACGCTTACTTCTGTCACGCAAGCGATGCGATTCGAAACCCAAGCAATTGGCCGCCGATAGGGGATAACATGTCAAAAAGAGCCATGTCCATAAGGTGACAGCGATGATATCTCAAGATTATATGTATGTTCAGGTACTCTGCCTCGGATTAATGCCTTGCCTATTATAAGATTTCACTGATCATATGCTGGAAGATAACGAACAGGATGCCATACCTGCATGACTGCCGCGCGTTGTGGCGTATCACAATGCATGTATAAAAACTCCTGATGGGGAAGTAATGGGCCTTCAGAGGCGCACACTGAAGCAGAAACGGCGCTTCATTTATACTTGTTTAACTTCACCTTCAGTAACATTAGTCGCAAGCGCTTGATGTTTCGCTCCTCGGCATCTATCATAAGCTCCATTCTGCTCTTCATTAGTTTTAGGGTCGGCTGTTTGAAACGAGTACCCCATATCGAACTGAGAGGCTGTCCCTGCGAGTTAGCAGGCCCTTCTTCAGGTGAAGAGGAGTCACTCCTGACGCCACTGTCCTCCTCGACACCCGATTGTGTGGCCTCCTCCGCAATATTGTCCCTCTGTCTACCCTCCTCTTGACAAGATCCTTGCGTCTGTGTATCCTCCTGGGCAGGTGTATTTCCGGAAGGTTCTGCCAAATTATTTAGAAGAACATCCCAGTACTCGTCTGTCAGTGTTCCGTAACTTCCCGGTTCCCCGACCGACCCCCAGAAGATATCTTCCAAGTCTGTATAGAGTTTGTCGAAGTAGCCGAAGGTTTCCTCAAAGTCTCTACAGCATTCTTTGAAGTCGTTGAAAAGTTCTCCAGAGTCTTCAAAGTATTCCTCAAAGTCCCCATAGCGGTTTTCAAAGTCTAGCTTAGACCGGCCTTTGGTTGGGTTCGTCCCCTTGTCGAGTTGTCGGATTGGTGCATCCTGGACATACTTTAGAACGCTTGGCACTAAGACCAGCAGCAGACCAAGAACCATGGCAACATTATACGCAACGAGGAAGACCAGAGAGCTGCATCCGTCTTGAGAAGAATCTGCTGTGTCAAAGTTGGGAGCTTCCTCATTCAAGGCCCAATGGGCCACTGTGTATACTCCAACCCCAAGAATAAATGCTCCCGAGGACCAAACCGATAACATAGTCGGGATTCTCATCATAAAGGCCGCATGAAACGATACATTCTTCCAACGCATGCTTTTCATCGGTTCCCTGGCCCTCACCACGCGGTCCGGGCAGTTCATGCCGTAAGTCGCTTCACCACCTTGTTCATGCTTGAGACTACGAGGCGAGTCTTGGCAGACCTGCCTGTCAACGTCTGTGGGGGTCCCCTGTTTGTTGGCGGGTGTGCCAAACCACTTCTTCACATCAGAGGGCTCCAAGAGGCTGTCCATATGCCGTCGTAAGGTAAACGCGAGGAAGACAGACAGTATGCCAGTCGTAAGGCTGAAGACGAGGGCTACCTGGGTCATCCAAGGTACGAGGAATAGATAGCGAAGCGACAATGCAAACAGGCACAATTGTACCACATCAAACGCCTGTGTTGCAGAATCGCTTGTCAGTCCTTGCAGAAGAATGAAAGAAACAACGACAGCAGAGGGGAACAAGAAACACATACGGGATTGAAATGTGTAGTACAGCGATTAGATATAAATTCCTTTAGCCTCATTGCCTTCTCTGCAGCTAGGGGGTCATCGACAGGAGGATCAAGTATGCCTCGCTGGATACAATCAAGCTCATTGCGAACGTCTGGGAAAATAAGAACCAGAAGTATGGCACGAAGCGGGCCATAGTCACGTTTAAATTCCAAGAACGTAGGGACCGCAGGGAAAGCCTTTCCAATATGACGAACCAGTGCAGAAGCCACGACGCTAGGATCACAATGCCGTAGGCAACACGGGCCATAATGATGGATTTCCACATGGTAGATGAACACAGTTCAAATGTGACAAATGGGGTCGCACGACGAAGCAGATGGTTGAGTTGCTGGGTGTTGAAGATGGAGGGTAAACTTTGGCGCGAGGATTAGACATTCTCCATGCTTCTATGCCCACTGGTCTGACCAGCTGACAACCAGCTGCCTTCCTTTTTTATCTTTTGTTTTTTTTTAAGAACACGGAGTGCCAGCTGACAGATCGTGCCTGCCGTAAGAAACGTTTAGCCTAGACGAATGGAGACAAATCCAGAATGGCATGGCACTTGTGCAAGAACAACGTGCAGTACAACATCTGTGCCGGAAAATATAATCAACGAATCCATCACAAACAGCTGTCCGCTGCCAATCATGCCAAGACTCGCCAAAAACTGCCGCTGACAACTGAGCTACGGCTCATCGATAAAGAGGCTTGAACCTTCTCCAGATAATCACACATGGTGTCCAAAACGTCAGCCGCGGCAAAAGTACACCCCAGTCGTCTCAATTACACCCCAAAGAAAATACAAAGGGCTCTATTTCTTGTCTTTTTTTACGCCAAGCAATGCCCAAGCTCATTAGATATATGTGTCCCTCTCTGCAACCCCATTATACATGGACCCCTCCAGTCTGCTAATTTATATTGATACAACGCACGCAAAGTAATACCGGGGTATCATAGTCGTGGTATTACTTTCCGCGCTTCCGTTCGATAAGCGATACCTGGTATCCAGTCACAAAATGAATGAAAATCGGATTCAGTCCGTCGTAGCGCTCATCGACCTCTGACGCAAGACCAGTGATGCAACATCTTGGCACCTTAGCGAACAATCGTCCCTCGCCGTCCTCTCTCGCGGTCTTTTCGTCCATCCGCGCCCGTCAACCGCATCCAATCGTCCCACTCTTTACTCATTTCCATCAAGACTGAGCCCATGACGGTTGCGCTGGCCATCAAGCCGTGTCCTTCGCCTTCCAAGACGCGCACTTCGCAGCGCCGCATCGTCTTGCCGAGCCATTTGACATTTTCGACGGGCACACGCGTGTCCCTGCTGCCGTGATGAATGACCACGGGCCGTGTGATGTCGACGTAGCGAAATCCAATCGTGTGTCTTCTCTCCAGACACACCAAAAGGTCAACGGCGGGATTGGCCCCCGTGGTGGCCAGCTCCCAAATAGCGTGAGTAAGGCGCGTGTCGTAGGTCATTTGCCGTTCCTTGTCCGTCATGATATCGAGCGTGGACTCGGCCATTACCGAGCCTCCACTCACGCCATGACCCCCAACGGGCTGAATTTGGTCCATGTGCTCGCTCATATTAGGAGAGTCAAACCCATTCTCCGCTTGCCCTCCTCCTGGCCTGTCCTTTCCTTGGGGGGTGCTGTTGAGGTTCTCCTCATCGTTGACTGGCATGCCATTGCGATTACCAGTGTTGCCATCTTTGCCGTGGGTATTCGACTTGCGTTTAGCGCGGCGTTGATTCTTGGGCAGAGAGCTCGTAATGGAACTACTTGTTGCCGTCATGAAGCTGCTGTTAGCCGCCTTCAGGAGAGGTGTTGGCAAAGCACGCAAAATCTTTTGCGATGTGGGGATAGCATTGGTCGGGGGCAGCGTTTGAGATGCACCAAACACATTCATCTGGGATGGGGGAATCCATGGCGCCAAGAGATGAATTCGTCCGCGGATATGCTGGGGCATTCGCAATGCCGTTGCAAGAGCATAAATTGCGCCTGCTGAATGAGCAAGGATCGAAAACTTGGTAATCTTTAGCGCCTGACAAATGGCATAAACGTCATCTGCGCCAGTCAGCAATTGAATCTTTGTTCTGTCACACGAGTGGTGGGTAGGATACGTACCAGGCCAGCTCAAAGGAGTGGTTGTCCCATCGGTATAGGGCTCGCTATCACCAACTCCGGGTCGGTCGGGTGTGATGAGGCGAAGTTTCAAAGTCAATGCCAGCTCATCGTAAAAGGCCGTGATATATCTTGTCAAGCCCATACCGACACAGCAAAAGACTGCTGATCCATTTGCATCGCCGACTTCTGAGAAGGAAATAACTCGACCTGTTTGAGGGTGTCGAATCTTTTGAGACAGACGTGGAGAACAGAGGTACGACTCAACAGCATCATCTACTGAGTCTGCGGATCCGGGCCGTTCATAGCCGGCAGGATAGGTCTGCTGCTGAGCCTGCTGCGCGGGTTCGGGCGAGGCAGCCGCACTGGTTCTAGATTCACTGCGAGGGCTAAGCGGGCCTGACAACGGCTTCAGACGCGAACTACTGCGCTTCATTTTCAGGGCCTCCTTCGGAGCAGGACTCAGCCGGCCAGATAATCGACTGCTGCTGCGTTCCGCGCTGTGGCTTTCCCGTCGTCTCTGCGCGACTGCGGAGAAGGGCGCAGCTCCCTCGTCATTGTAATTCACAGCGTCCATGTTAAAATCGGGGAGAGGCTGGGCAGCTCTTGATGCCGACGACGCGGGGGACGTCGGGCGTTCGTCTGGACCGAGCAAAAAAGACTTTGCTTGGGTGCCTGTCCCTGAGCCCGTACGAGTATGCTGCTGCGGCGGCGGTAAAGTACAGGCGACATGTTCTTCAGTCTCTGGTATGGCTACTGCAGCCGGTGTATCACTATCTCGTTTAGACCGACGCGCGCTCGTTCGTTTTTGATGGGTTCGTGACTTTCTTAGGCTCGAGTCTCGCGCAGGAATAGGCTGCGGGGTATCCAACTTGTTTGGCTCATTCAGACCCGGGCTGTCGCTATGAGAACCAGGCTCTTCGTTGATGACTGTTTCGGCGAGAAAGGGGTCTGGTCGAGCCCCGTTGTTGGTCATGGTGTTGTTGGGGGTCCCTCTGCCGGGTTCGCTTTGGCTACCGGACCTCCTTGGCAATCTTTTTCTTTCAAATTCTCTTTCACGGAGACGCTCCTTGGAGCTCATGTACATCAGGCCCTTTGTGCCCCGGCCGGTCTTTTTCCCCCAGCTGTCGTGCGATCGATGGTGTTTCAGCTCCGGGGTCGGCGCAGATCCACGTTCTACAGACAGGTTGCCTATGCTGTGGGCGTCGTCATTCTTGGAGGTAGCAGAGGCCGGGGAGGATGGACGCGAGGCTACGCTGTTGCCGCGAATGAATGAACGAAGACCAGATCCGCTCTCGCGGCTGGTACTCCGGGTCGAAGGGCTCTTGGGGCCTGTCAATGGCGAGTATCCGCTGGTCGGCTTCGAGGTACGAATAATAGGGGCACTCGCTGCCAGGTTGTCGAGTGACGAGGGGTCTTGGGTAGGTTCGTCAGGCTCGGAGCGAGTATAGGCACCGTAATCGACGCCAAAGCTGCCAGAGCTGGGGCTGGCGGGACTCGTGGGCAAGGCGAAGTTGATGGCGGCCGGATGCGATTCAAAGTGGCTGCTGGTGGGTTGTGAAATGGCGCCGAGGCTGGTGATGAGGTTGGAGATGACCTCGGGAGAGGCCGGAGGGATGACTGGGCGCGGGGTGCGCTGGGGCGAGTGTCGGCGAGAGTTGCGAGAAGGGCGAGGCTGTAGATGGCGGGCTTCTCTCTGAGAGACGTGGAAATGGTGGCGGGTTGGGATAGGGGGCACGTTGTCGTTGAGATCCATTGTCCGGTCGGTTGACTTTGGCCGGGAGCCACAACTAGACAGATCAAAGGGGTGGATATGCAAGGCGTCTCAGGAGAAACGCCTTTGCCGGGTGTCAACAGCCGGGCTTGGTGCCCCGTGTTTGCCAGCGGTGGAAGATGTCAGGTGTCGGCGGTACTGAGCACGGAGGATGGAGTCGTAGGGAGGAGGAGGATGCTTTGTTCCCCCATTGTGCATTGTGCGGTAATGTCTGGTCCCCCTTGCTCGCCCCCTGGTGTTCCCTTGCATCCGTCTGGGTCGACGGTCAATTGGTCAATGGCCGAGAGGCCAACGGCCCAGTGAGGCGGTGGGCGTTTTCTGCAGCACAGAGGACATGTAGGGAGTACCGAGTGCAACCTCCGCTCCTGGAGTCTACCGTCTGTGCTAGGCTCTAGCTCCAACGTACGCCGCCAGGCGATTAAAGATGGATGGAAGTAAAAACGGCGCTCAACAAGTCCTCAAAGGCGGATCCACGGGAGGCTCCAGCGCGGGTCGAGTCCACCATGTCCTGGGCCGAGTAGGGTCGCGTCCTCCGCGTCTCGGTACCAAAGTGTGCAAGTGTGGATGCATGTGTGCTTCTGGAGTCAAGTTGGTCTTGGGTCTGGTCAGATCGCCCTAGGACAATTTCAATTTGCCCATGCCCAGGATAGGCAACGGTGCTCCGCCCTGCCTTTAAAACTTGGGTCGCCGGTGGATTGATTCTCTGTCCTCTCAATCTCCGCGCGCTGGAGTCTGGTTGCAATCGATGGGTGGGCTGGGGCGAGTACGGTCTGGTCATGCCATCAATGCCAAAGCCGCACCAAACATGGAGGCAAAAACCCCCAGGCGAAACATTCGAGCACAGCACTGAAAGTAATTGCTCCGTACATGCGCCCCAGGTCGGCAGTGAGGTTTCACAGAGATTGGCCCGATGGATCCAGATCCAATTGCAATACTACTACTGCTTGTCCGTGCAGTCTACGGAGTACATAGTACGGAGTAGTACTACATATTTCCTCCTCCAACCAACAGGTGCTTCATGACACACCTTGCTGCAGCCCCCACGTACCCAAGTGGCAGCATCTGGCATACCCAGCTCCGTCAAATCTCGTGGATTCATGGACAAGGCCCCGTCACACTCTCTGCAAGGCGACATGAAGGTGCTCGCTGCTGCAACGTCATGATGCCAAAAGCGGCTCAAATGGAGCAACAGGAAGGAGCGCCCAGCCAAAGGTTCTGCGCCACACTTCCCCAGATGCCAAAATCCTGTTTGCCGCGGCTCAACCCTCCGCCAAAGCCGCATATGAAGTGGCTGCGTCACCGGCGCCTAGTATCCAAGGCTCAACTCAACCTCAATCTTCCAAAGTCCTGCGCACCCCGTGCAAGACACGCTGCCTTTACCTTCTATTCTCTTCTTTTTTTCCTGAATTTTTTATGCCTCTTCACTGGGCGTCAATCAAGTCATACAACGCGCGCCCTAGCGTGCAACCATCGCCGTCATGTTGGACCTGCTCCTCTCCATCCCCATCCTCTCCTATGTCTTCTTTCCCACCACGGGGGCGTCGATATCCACGTCCGTGAATCTTATATTTTTTTACATGACGTGGACCAGCCTTGTATTCTCTCACCCAGCTCTCGAACTACATTTATCCGGCGTCCTCGTCATCCGCGTCATCTTCTGGCTCATCCCCTCACTCGTCTTCCTCCTACTCGACGTCAGCGTGCCCAGTCTCGCCGAGGGCTTCAAGCACGGCGGGCGCAGCTCTTTGCCCACCCGGGATGCGCGCAAGCTGGCAAAGATGCTGGGGCTGGCCCTGTTCAACGTCCTTGTTTGTCTGGCCTTTGAGGCCGCCATCAGCATGGGATACACGCTGCTCTTCAAGCGCCACGTGTTCAAGATGAGCACGACGCTGCCGCTCCCTTGGACCGTCTTCAAGCACTGCGCCTTTATACTGACCTCGCGCGAGCTTGTCAGCTTTTACGTCCACCGATACGCGCTGCACGGTTCGTCCTGGCTAGCAAAGAAGCACGTGGCATATGCCCACGCCGGCGCCGGCGCACCATTCAGTTTGCAAGTCTTTGTCGATTATCCCGTGGCGACTCTGCTGCACCGATCGCTGCCGGTGTTCCTCCCCTGCATGCTGATCCGCACCCATCTGCTCACGTACTTCCTGGTCCTCATCATCACGTCCATTGAAGAGACGCTGGCCATGTCCGGGTACACAATCATTCCGGGCATCGTCATGAGCGGCATCACGCAGCGGACAGCAATCCACTACGCAAACATGGGGACGTCCAATTTTGGCTCCTACGGCGTCATGGACTGGGCGCACGGCACGAACCAGGGGCGCGAGGTCCTGGAAGATGTACGAAAAGAGGCAGACAAGCATCACGCTCAGGAGAAATCGGCAGACAAGGTGGACGAAGGAACCAAGGCCGTACAGGATGGTGTGGACTCGCTGAAGAAACGGCTACGATCTGTGAGCGATAAGTGACACGAAAAATGGTGGACGGATAACCTGGGGAAACGAAGGGGGATTGGGTGGTACTTTTTGGCTACGAGTAATGTAACAAAACAGAAAATGTGTAATGACGTGCTAGATACCCAGTCACAGTTTTTGCATAATGCAATCACCATACCTGAATCAACATGTCGTGTGGCCAATATCTATCATTGTGATGTCGCCACCCAACGCCGGGGGCAAAATCATGTCGTGTCTATAAACCCAATGCCATATCTACCCAGGTGATCAATTCCATGTATACCCATGCCCGTTTTAAAAATCACACCCAGTCATTCTTCTTCTTGAACCACTTCAACGTCTCCAGCCCGCTCTGCACGCGCATGCCAACTCTTGCATCGAGCACAAACGTCTCCCATGCCTTTACTTTTTCCAGGTGCTCCTGACACTGGTTCGCCTTTTGCCGCCTATAACTCGCCACCTCGTCTGCCGTCCCCTCGGGCGGATTGCAGCACTGCGTCCACGCAATCACGCCCAGTTCGTACGTGGCCACGGGCAGGACGTAGTCGTCCTTGTGGCCGCCTTTAAACGCCGCCCTGCAAAGCGCGCAACATTAGCCAACTTGTCCTGCGCCTGTTCCCCTAAAAATCCAGAAATGGAAAAGAAAAACTCACCTGTCGTGCACCAAGACATTGTCCTCGAGGACCTTTGCGGCATCGTCCATCTTGCCCTGTGCTTGCAAGAGCGCCGCCGTGCCAATCGCCCAAACCGCCACGTCGTCCTTGCCCTGCCGCAACGCGCTCACGGCGTCCGCGCCGGCGGTGCACCTCTCCCACCTGAGATGGGCCATGGCCCGGTCCAGCTGCCCGTCCGACATGCGCTTCTGCCCGTTCCAAAAGTAGCAAATCTCCATGGCGGGCGAGGGCCCAACGGCATCGGCCAGGTCGACGCCCAGCGCCTTGGCCTGCTCCTCCCACTTGTGCACCTTGCGCTGCAGGAACGTCTCGAGGGGCAGCTGGCGGGCCATGAGGCGCTGCTTGCCCGAGACCTGGGGCGCCTTGCGCAGGTACTCGTGCGTCCGGGCCTTGTGCCTCCGCGCCTCGGTGCCGTCGCCGGCGTGGTGGGCGTCGCGGTACAGCTCGAGGGACGCGCAGCCCGCCATGTAGTAGTAGACGCCGGGGCTCCAGTCGCTGATTTCGAGGCAGCGCAAAAAGGTGTCGCGCATGAGGCCCCAGTTCTGCAGGATCATGGCGTTGATGGCGAGCTCAAAGTCGTTGACGGCCGTGATCTGCTTCATGGCCGACTCCTTGCCCGTGGACAGCAGGTCGATGGCCCCCTGGACATTCTTGTCGTTGGCGCGCAGGCGCGACTCCTCGACGCGCCACATCCGCGAGTCCGGGTAGCGGGCGCGCAGGTCGGCGAGGAGCTTCCTGCACTTGTCGTGCGGCGGGCCGACCGACTCGGCGTCTTGGTCGTAGTCGCTGGCGCTGGGGAGGATGTCGACGGTGCCCAGGAGGCCGTTGTAGTAGGCCAGCAGCATCATGCCGGCGAGGGCGCCGTTGATGTTGTCGTGGGCCGCCGAGCGCCAGAGCATGTGGACGCCGCGAACCCTGTCGCCGTGGAAGCCGACGACGGAGAGAATCCGCGAGAACGCGGGCGGCACCAGGCTCAGGATGAGCAGGATGAGCCCAAAGCACATGTTGGTGCCGGAGTGGATGAAGGCGTCGACGGGATCAGTCACTTCCAGCTCCGTCTCGAGGTGGGCAGACTGCAGCTTGAGGGGCGTCACCGGTCGCGAACTGTCGAAGTCTGAATCTCCAGGCGGCTGATCCGGAATATTCAAATGCTTCGGCAGTGACGCACTGTTCTTGTCGCCGTTTGGGGTCTGCGCCCCCGATGCCGACGAGCGTGCGCTGGCGGCATCGCCCTTGACACCATTGCTCAAGGCGGCTTTCTGGGCGGCCGCAGCCTTGGCCTCGACGGCGGCTATGCCATCGAGGATAATAAAGGCCTTTCGCAACTTGTAAAAGCTCTTCATGGCCTCGACAATGCTCTCGTTGAGCACGCCGACCACGGCACTCATAAGCTGCGTCTCGGCGCGAACGAGCTCATACTCGGTCCCGGGAGGATACACCCTGCTCGCGGCATGATGGGGAACGGCATACCTTTGGGCCTTTTTGTAATCGGCCCAGGCCCTTGTCTCGCAATCGGCCAGCTTGGCGGCCGTCTGGGCCATGACCTCCTTCTCGAAGCCGAGGATGGAGCGCATGAAAAACGTCACGGCGGCGCCAAGGCTGTGGAAGGACGACTCGCCCTTCTCCAGGCCTTGCCAGGCGCCGTCAATGTCGTCGTTCATGATGAGCTCGGTCCATTTCAGCGCGTCGGCGAGGTTTTCTCGCTCCCGTGCCGCGAGGGTTTCGGCCTTGAGCGAGTCGGCGCTGGAGTTGGTGCTGCGGAACCATCCGCTGAGGAGACTCATGGTGACGTGCAACCCGCCGGCTGCGGTTCGTGTGATGTGCTGGAGGTTACGCAATTCGTCAATACCTATTCTTGACAAGAGGTGCTCTGGAGTACTATATAACTAGGCGCGGGCTCAGCCGTAGATAAGCCACTGTACCACAGCACGCCGGAGTTAGGGTCGCTGTTGGGAAGTGCGACGAGTTGGAGCGCCCGAGACCGAAACCTTGGGACATCAGGCACCAGACACCAGACACCAGATAGGTACCGACCGAGCCGTGAACGCGCGGCGTAGACGGCCGTAAACGTCGAAACGCTGCGCGGTAGTTTGGCTACTTCTTACGGAGTGCCGGCGAGGCCAATTCGTCCGTGGGAAACTGCTGGCATTCAAACCCTCTGGCCGCCAAGGTTGGTGCCAAAGCCCGCCCGGACTTCGGGCAACCATGTCGTCATTGGCGGGACTCGAGCCACGGCGCTCTGGGAAAAAATAGAAACAGCTCAGCACTAAGGCCAGAATCGTCTTTCTGTGAGTTGGATGGCCAATTGCCTGGTTGGCAGACGGTGACGCCGCTTACGTCAGCACCTAGCGCTGCGGTCATGGCTACAGGGGAAACTCTACTGTTCCTCGGCCGGAGTCACTGAACTGTGTCTGTTTCGTACAGAAAGAATATCTTCCAAGGGAAAAGTTGCAAGAGGAGAAAAAGACAAAAGAAGAAGAAATCATGGCGAAACCAGGCCATCAAGTACCGAGTTTTGTTACTAGTTGGCAACCGCTGCATCTGCTCACCACGGAAACAGGTTGGTCGTGTTCACCATCTCGCACCAAGTTGCCAACCATCTCATATTTATGCACAATCCAATTCAAATTTTACACTCTGTAAAAAGAGTAAAATCCTCACAAATACACATACATATATATCTCGTCTCCCGTTGATGTCCAGGGACCCCAGTCCCCCCAGCTACCACCAACCTACCCTACACCCAGACCGGACGCCGCATTCTTCCGCCCCGGCCAACGCCCCAGCTTCCCAAGCTCGCCATCACCAGTCAAGTAGTCCATCAACCATCTCCATCATCTCGAGCAGACACTCAGCACCGCCAACCTTCTTCCTCCATCGCAATCCACACATCTCACAAACCGAACCCCTCGTCTCACCCACCCCAATACTACAAAATGGCTTCAGACGCCAAGCCCGAACCCCAGCCCACCGAGGAGAAGAAACCAGAACAAAAGACCACCGCGCTAGGCGAGGACGACGAATTCGAGGACTTCCCCGTCGATGGTACACATACCCCCTTCCCCCCCCGACACCGTTCTTTAGAACTAAACAGACGTGGTGCATGGCCAAAAAAAAAAGGGAAGCTGACCAAAACCATCAGATTGGCCAGAGGACCAGACCGAGGCCGCCCAGGGAAACGGCGAGACGAAGCACCTGTGGGAGGAAAGCTGGGACGATGACGACATGACGGACGATTTCTCCCTGCAGTTGAAGTGAGTGTTGCGCTCGCCCGCGCGGCCACCTACCTGATGACGCAAAGAACACATCCTTCATGGACCGTGCGAAACTAACCTGCGCAGGGAGGAGCTCAAGAAAGTCGAAGCCTCGAAGCGGAGATAGGGAATGGGCACATAGAATGGTATAGATGGTTATGAATAAATGCTATGAACTACACTGTTGGAGCTGATGCGTGTGCGCGTGCCTTCATGCCTGCGTGCGCGCGGTGCATGGCCTGGCGGGCACTGACTTGTGTTGACGAGGCCACGATTCTCACCCTGACAGACGAGTGCGATTACAACGTGATATTTACGTTTCCAGCTATAAAAGCGACTGTTTTGATCGATCTTGTCCGCCAATTTACCCTCAGCCACCATGTCTTTTTTGCATGTATATATGTATATCTCGTGACTCCCTCATGGATTCGGGTTCTGGTGTTTACTTACTCGAGAGAGCAACAACGCCAGGGAGTTCCTTGCCCTCCAGCAATTCCAGACTGGCACCACCGCCGGTGGACACGTGGCTAAGCTTGTCCTCGACCCCGTACTTGGCGGCAACGGTAGCGGTATCGCCACCGCCGATAATGACAATCTTGCCGTTCTCGCAGCCCTTGACGGCGGCATCGAGGATGGCCTTGGTGCCGCTGGCAAACTTGTCAAACTCAAAGACACCGGCGGGGCCGTTCCACAAGATGGTCTTGGCCTCGTCGACGGCCTCCTTGAAGAGCGCAGAAGACTTCTCGCCGCAGTCGAGACCCATCCAGCCATCGGGGATACCTTTGTCATCCGTAGCGTAGCCAGACTCGGCATCCTTGGAGAACTTGTCGCCGGTGACAAAGTCGACAGGCAAAACAACTTTGACGTTGTTCTTCTTGGCCTTCTCCATGAGGTTCTTGACGTTCTTGGAGCCGGCCTCGTCAAACAGCGAGGAGCCAATGGGCATATCGTTGAGGACCTTTTTGAAGGTGAAGGCCATGCCGCCACCGATAATCAGAGTGTTGACCTTGTCTAGCAAGTTATCAATGAGCTGAATCTTGTCCGAGATCTTGGCACCACCCAGGATAGCCAGGAAGGGACGCTGAGGCGACTCGAGAGCCTTGGCAAAGTAGTCGAGCTCCTTCTTCATGAGAAAACCGGCCGCCTTCTGGGGCAGGTCAACGCCGACCATGGAGGAGTGAGCACGGTGAGCGGTGCCGAAGGCATCATCTATTCAAGTCGCCGGTTAGTTTCTTGTTGAAGAATGTCGCATTGCAAAGAGCAAGAAAAAAAAAGTGTTATGGAATCTCACTGATGTAGACGTCACCAAGAGCGGTCAGGCCCTTGCGGAACTCTTCAACCTTGGCCTTGTCAGCCTTGATCTTGTTACCCTCCTTATCCTTGGAGCTGCCCTCCTCCTCAATGTGGAATCGCAAGTTCTCGAGCAGAACAACAGCACCGCCGTCGGCCTTGTTGACAATGGCCTCGACCTCGGGGCCGACGCAGTCGGGAGCAAAGGTGACGCTCTTGCCCAGCAGTTTCTCGAGCTCGGGAACGACAGGCTGCAAGGAGTACTTGGGGTTGGGAGAGCCGTTGGGACGGCCGAGGTGGGACATTAGGATGACAGACTTGGCGCCATGGTCGATGGCATGCTTGATGGTGGGAATGGCACCGACGATGCGCTGGTTGTTTGTGACCTTTTTGTTCTCGTCGAGGGGGACGTTGAAGTCGACCTATGTACTAGGTGGTTAGCCTGGCAATTGACTTGTGTCCTGTGTGTGCGGTTCCATGTTGCAGCCAAGTCGTGGTTAAGAAGCTCCGTTGCCCCCGCCTTCTGCGGGCTCGCCGGGCACTGGGAATTGTCCCAACAACCCGGGTAGACGCAGGCCACGAAGAATAATACATGCTCCTTGGTCTCCAAATCCTCACACTACCACCCCATTCCCATCTCATGGGATGAGCCCATGCACCCGGACGCGGGGGGAACAGCTCCCGAACTCACCCGAATCAGGACCCTCTTGCCCTTGACGTCAACGTCGGTGATGGACAGCTTGCTAGCCAGAGACATGATGGCGTATGCTCGGGGTACTTGAAAGAAGGCAGAGATACGGGATCGGAGGGACAGTATCGTGGGTAATGAATTGGTTTCCCGTTGGTCAAGCGCACGGAAAACAAGAGGAGGATGCAGAGTACGGTAGATGCGCCAGGTGGGAAAGAAGTTTCAAATTGAGCTATGGAGGGGTTGACTGGATGGAGGAGGGGGTGAAGGGCAACCGGATGGCGGGGCATTCAGGACCTCCACGTCAAGCTTGATGTCCAGTCTGCATGTGGTGGCCCGGCATGCATGTGGCCACCCAACACTGCGTTCCCTGTGGGCAGCGCCAGAAGTCAACCAACCAGACCTTGACTCAACTGGTCAGGCTTGATGCTGAGGCTGCTTCTTCCTCCTACCATGTTTCAACATTGACGTCGGTCGGGCCAACTGGCACTGGTTGACTGCACATGATGCGGGAGTTGGTCGGGAGCTGGACTTTAGTAATAAATGTTTGATATTCTGCCAGGCTCCTCCTTCCTTGCCAGCCATGGCTGAAGCATTTTGCACTCCAGCTCAATGTCGAGTGGGACAGTGACGTGATGCAAACTACTCGTTCAACCTTGTTGGCTGCATGTGGGCTGTCAAAAATCACTCACTCGCCAGCGATAACGGCCCAAATCGCAGTCCGAGAGTGTCTATCATGCCAACATCACTTGATTGATTAGCCACGCTAAAGCCAACATCATGTGTATTGGTGCGTGCAATGGAGACAACACGGACAGTTCTCCAACTGCCAGACACCAAAGTCAACCAAAGAGAATGCAAGCAAGTTCAACATGTCCTTTTTACAAACAGCAGAACTGCAGACAAAGTACTGTACACGACTGCCACTGTTCCAACCGCATGCACCTTCCAGTCGCCGCCTCCCCTCTGCCAAGAAAGCAATCCACTCCAACCCTCTAAAAGGACAAGAACCATTGATGAAGTAAAGCGCAAAGACCGTAATGCCCCAACGCCAAATTGTCAAGACGCCTGCCCCGAGAAAAACCCAAAACGGCAAATCAAAAGAAACCGAATCTGTGTGTGCTATATAATCAGTTTAATACCATGATCCATGACCAGATTGATCAACCCTCGTTTTTCGTCCATGCGGCAGAATCCGCCAGTATGAAGACGAGGCGTCATATTGTGAACCGTTTCTGTTTGTCTCTCCCATTTCACTTATTTTATATCGTGCCCATCATACATCTAGTCGGAGGCGTTGGTCAGGGACAAGTAGGCCGTCCAAGCTATACCGATTGTCGATACGAATGGCTAGGCAGCGAGGAGTCAGTACGTTGGTGATTGGTGTGCCAAAGCTGACGCAGCGGTCCGCCATTTGCGGATATAAGCTATTGAAACTTACCAGCTGGAACTGTACTGGCATGAGGCGGAAGTTGACAATCTGCACAGCCGGCCAGACCACGTAGTTGGCCTTGAGGGTAGGCACATACATGTCGCGAAGCTTGCTGCCAATTGCGCGTCGTCCGCCGCCCTCGGCAACGGTCATGACAGTGAAGAACAAACCCACACCAAATGGTGCATACACAAGCTGATCAAACACGACACGCTTCATGGCTGGGCCAAATGCGCTCGTCTTGGTCATGGGGAAGGCTCGTTCGAGGAATCGGAACCATTTGAACTGAAGGGGCGCGACGCAAAAACCGTAGGCCATGAATCGGGTCAACCGCTCAAAGTCAAAGGCTGTCGGCAGTGCCTTGTTGTCGGGGACAAAGTCGCGTTCGTCAAAGTCTGCACTTTTGCGGTTCAGTTCGTGAATCTCGATGGCGAATTCGTCTTTATCGGCGCCGACGCTTTTCCGAGAGGCGCGGGTTCGGATGGCTGTGATGCTCTGCGCTACCGTGTCGGCGACGCCACCCAGGATGGCATTGGTGACCATCATGGTCATGACTACATTTGTGCAACGGTTAGTCGTGTCAAGAGAATCCAAGAATAGCCAGGCTGCTTGTGGGCGGCATGTGCGCGTACGTGGTCGTTCTTCATAGTATGTGTTGAACCTCGCCGTCAATCGAGCGATGAGAGCCATCTCGATTAGGAAGACGACGGCATGGAGAATCGGCTGAGAGCATACGGGTTAGAACCATGGCAAAACGAGGACGGGTTGAAGGATAGAGGCTGCGTGGTGTGGAATGAATGAATCCATGAAGAGGAATGCACCAAATGACAAGGACGGACCAGAACAGGCACAAAAGGCATTCGACAGTTGAGACTTACAATGCGACCGAAGAGATATTTTTCGTTGATGGAGCGGAGAATCCGTCTCCTGCTCAGTTCCCACGACATGGCGGGTAAGGTTTGCAAAAACGGGAGAGAAGGGCGGAGATGGAAGGGGACCGAGATGGGGACGATGGCGGCAGACGGAGTCCCAAGGGTGTTTGGGTGCGTGCGTGGCAGAGCCTTGGAAGATTGAGGGCCAGATTCCCAGAATCGCGTGCCACCGGGTGGATTCAGTGACTCGACGGTTCCCGATCGATGACGACACGGACGCAGACGTTGCTTTCTGACGGCGGATCAGACGTCTGTGTGCGTACAAGGTGAAAGGATAAAAGAAGGAACAAAAGAACAAAAAGACGAGACGATGTAGGCAGCGACAAAGACGGTTGATGAAGCAAAGAGGATGACGGCGATGGTTGTTCAAGGTGGAGGCGGTCAGAAGGACAGGCTGGTTCGTCTCAAGGGAGATGAGAGGGAATGGGCGCTGGGTCATTGGGTCTGGTCGGTTCGCGAGGCAGCTGGCAGGACTCCGTACGGAGAGCCGACCTGCGCCCGGAGATGTTCTGTACTCTGTACTCTGCCAGTATACCAGCTGTCAACGGTCAAGTCCAGGGGCATCCGATGTACCGAGTACTTGAACACTCTGTGCAAGCCGACTGAACTCAAACAGTGGCCGCAAGTACCCACCAGTAAACGTTGGACAGACTGACGGCTGGGAGTGACAGTTGGTGACCCCAGTGCCGCATCAAAAGTTCCGCCTGGCGCCTTGCAGATGGCCTGTTCAATGTTACTGGATGGCACAGCCGCCGGCACACAAGTAACTTTCCAACTTTATGGCCGGAGGATTGAAAGCATCAAATTGCCTGCATGTTGAAAGCCAACTTGCCAAGCCACCAAGACGAGCACCACTCGAGCCGCCGGGCGGATCCCCACAGTGACGCAGTGGCCAGACACATGGACAATTGCCGCCCGGCCTGAAACATGAATCAATTGATACTCCGTAAATAGGCGGTAATAAATCTACATGAACGAATTGAACGTTGACCCACCAGCACTTCTCCTTACATGTACTCCCTTTACGCCGTACGGTTTAAATGTCCGGTTTCTTGCTCACTACTAGGTACTTGAGTACCTAGCGGGCGCCAGGCATCTGTGTTTTAGTCACGGCCACTGACCTGATGAGCGACAATGAAACAACTTTATTCAAAATTTTAATTGATTACATTATTCATTACATTATTCAAAACTTTTCCAAGACTTGTCTCGTAAAGGCTCTAGAACTAGACAGAGGCCACGCGCGTAGGTGCCCTTTACATAGTCTACGGTGCGCGCTGGCAAAAGACCAGACATTACACTTGTACGACGAATGGCCTTGTTGGTTGTCCAGCAGTGAGATATATTTGTACATGACACCAACTCTAGTACAAGTCAAAATATGAGAATAGCGGTGCAAAGAGAGCTCGAGTTGTATTGATAGACAATATGTGAAGCCTGTAAGCGTATGCTAGCGTCTCAACCAGGTGCATGGCGCCACAGAACACTGGTCTCAAATACTTGAGAGCTAAAGAAGGGAAATTCAAAATGGAAAAGAGGGCAGTGTCTCTGCCGCTGGGCGAGCCAAGGGCTGATGCAAACCGAGCCACCGACTAGGGCTCTGCCTCGTGGCCAGCGATGCATTCGTGGTGGCTTGCAAACCCAAGCCTATCTCTCATTGTCTGAGGACCTAGCCCCTGCCAGTCCCATTCAATAATCTTGCAAAAGATCTCCGTCCCACAAGCCCTGTCGACATGGTCGGCACTGAGAGAAGAAGAGCCGGACATCTTGAAGTAGGCGAGGCCCATGCAGAGATCGTACCCCCCCTCCTGCTCGAATATACTGCGCTTGAACCATCTCAGCCGCTGTGTATTGTCCTCGTTTGCGTCGCTGGGCGGCTCCGGAGGCGCCTCCGGAGCCGGAGCCGGAGCCGAAGCCGCAGCCGCAGCCGCCGGACGAGATGAATGATGAGTTGGCCCGCGAGACCCGAGTATTTCACGATACTCTGCAAAGTATGCCATGCGTTTCTTCTGGCCCGCAGAAAATGTCGACGTGCAGTCCCTAGTCGACGAGTTTAGAAACGTCACTGCCATCCCGTTGTAAATGCAAGAATAACTCACGAGTAATCCATAAAGTTGTACATGTTGCTCTCCCTCCAGCCGCCGCAGGCGTAATTGGCGGGCGTGCCGTCGGAAAACTGATCTGTGACTGAAGAGCAACGCCATGTTGGAGATTCCTGAGGGGCGGTGTCGCCAATCATGTCTCCGTCGTCGCTGCAATCGCTCTTCCAAGTGTGCAATAAACCTAGCCAGTGGCCGACCTCGTGGGTAACAGTGTCACCATCGACTGCCCGAGCAACAATGACGCACCCATCGCCTACTAGGTACTCTTCCGACACGACGATGTCCTTGCGAGTTGTAATGTCCACCGGCTTTCCGTTGGAAGTGAACGTGACGGGCATGCTACACCTACCACTGGTCGTAATTTGTCCCCTGTCTTCTGCAATGCTGGATATGTAGTAAAGGTTCAAGTCTGCGTATGTTCCCTCGCGTAGGTCGTCCTTCATTGCCTCTACGTCTCGGTAGGTAGCCCAATCTTGATTTTCCGTGTAGCTGACGCTGACGAGAGTAAATGAGATGCCAGAACCGTCAAAATTCCGATTCATGGCTTCTATTGCTTTTTTGATATCCGTCTCCTGTAATGTAATTTAGTATAAGAGGGTATGCAATTTCAAGAAACGCTCAACGAACCTCGACATAACCGCCTCGGGCAGTCTTATCATAGTATACAACATGGGCGAAGACGTTAAAGTTGAAATCCTGTTGTGATTGGCGCCGTGTAAGGGAAGTAGAATTGGAGGCTTGTAGTAACTTGGATAATTCTAGAAAATCTGGGCTTGGCGCTTCTTCTGCGCACGCGAGTATTATTTCATTTTGGCGGGCATACACGGCGCTTGATTTGACAATATTCGCCATTAATATGGCCATGAAAAGAGTGACAAAATACATGATGGAAGGAAAACGTGCCCAACACGTGTCGAGAAATGAATGAAAATGAAAATGAAAATGAAAAGGAAAGTGAACATGGTTGCGAAATGTCTTGCAAGGCTCGCGTCAAGGTATTAATAGCATTAGAGAAGTCACTATACTATCATCTTTTCTTGATCGCGTGATGCCTCATCTTCACCCTGCTTTACGTGATGCTGGGCAAAGTTAACCGACATTCCTTCTATATAGTAGATGGCATTAATATAATAGGTATTTCACTATGAGCCAAGCATTCGGTACAACCCCTGTTTTGATAGCTACCTGTGACAAAAGCAAGGGGAAGCACGGCCAGTCGGTGATGACATGGCCAAGATGCTCGCCCAAGCAGCGGGCCGCTGGGCTGATACGATAAACAACCAAGCTGGAAAAGCACGCGTGGAATTCCCCACCCATCCCTACATGTAGTGTGTAGAAAGTTATGAGCTCGGTATAACCGCGGAGGACTACGCCATGGTACAATTTCCTGGGCGGATTGAACGCCTCCGCAATCGGATGTCCTCCCGGAGAGATGTGGTGTTCATGATTTGAGTCCCGACGCGCATCGTAGGAATGCAAACCCCACACTTTTCTTGCCGAATGGCTACAAAGCTGCCGAATGATGATATCTCTGCTAGTTTGAACACGCAACCGTTTTGCCTCGTGGGCGGCAACAGCAGTGGTGCCTCGAGGCCACCAGACAGTATTCCCAAGTTTCCGTAGTGTGCACAAGTCCTGACTCGCGAAGAACAAAAATCACACTAGCCCAACACGAGAACAAACTGGTAACCACTCAAGTGTCCGGGCCACGGAGAAAAAGGAGAGCCAACAGGGCACGCTTGGTAAGCCGGACGTCGCGGATACTCGGCCAGATCAATACGCACATGTGTATATCCGCCAGGGCCCAGGAATCACACCCTTGTAGCGAGCCGAATGGGTGGAAAATCGGTCAAAAAAAAAGGTCTAGATTCGTCACGAGCCAAGCATGTCCAATTTGCAGTTGACACTTTTGCTCCACATCGTTCTACATGATAATTTGAATCCGGGGATTGCGTCGCCCTGCCGTGGGATATACCAAGCCAACTCTGGGGCATCTGGAGGCCTGCATATGAGCGCCGACCAATAGAAAGACGCCACTCGTCGTCATACTATAGCGAACCATCGCATTAGCTCTAGGTTCTATAGACACTGAGACACGCTCAGCGTTGCTCGTATGGCCTCTTTCGGGGGCTCTGATTTGCGTCGGGCTCAACAGAGGCTGCCACTGCCACTGCCACTGCCATGTGTTTGCCCCTCCGGACAACTACTTGTGCGCCTTGTTATCTGGCTTATGATGTCTGCTTTCATGATTCCGATGAATATAGGGTCAAGTGGATGCCGGCGAGGGGCATGAGGTTTTACCGTCCGCGACTCCGTGGAATGCCAACTAGACCTCCGCATTCTCGCTCGGCTTCATGGGCTGCTTCATGAGTTGATCAGTCAAGTCGGTCTCCACTATTCGCGATGCAAGAATGCGGATTTTTTTTATTGTTTGGCAACAAGGACTCGTTTCACTGTCGAGAAAAAGAACTATTACCGAGCAAGTATACCCCCCGCCCTTATATTCCGTCAACAATCACATTACTGACATGCCGAGGTTGCCAGCTCAGCAGTAGAAGCATGAATGATGTCAAAGTTGAACATTTATTCCAACTACCACACGGGCGGCAGTGGATGATGACAATGGATATTCCCTTCCATGAGCGACTTGATCTTGACATGGCAACGAAACTAGTTACAAAAAATGACATTTCAGAAACCAAGGATTAATGTCCGCCCACCGAGCCGCTTTTGCAGACAAGGAGATGAAGCCTGACAACATAAATAGTGAACACTCCACCAAGGCATCAAATATGCCCTCAACTACTTTAAGGAACTTGCGCCAGCAGCAGCAGGCCAATAAGTGGCTTCCTCGTTTGGCATCTGGCGAGCTTACAAGCTATTCTCCTCCAAGGGCTAGCTCTCTGGGGCAGGTTTGACTTCGTCTGCGGCGAGAGCGTCCCCAGCATTCGCAGCAGGAGCGTCTTCCTCCTCCGGCGTCTGGGCAGGCTGAGCGGGTTGGTTTTCAGGGGCACGTTTGACATTGCCCTCGTACAGAATGGAAAAGACGGGCGACTCGACCGTCTGCCAATGGGCCTCGTCGGCGGCATCGCCCATGATAGACAGGGCGCGGGCAACAATCTTGTACCGGCCGGGCGGCGCGTACTGCCCCGGGGCAAAGGCACCGTCCCAGCGAATTTGGATCTCCTCACGCTTGACGTAGTGCCTGGGATAGCCGGGCAGTTGGCCGATGGACTTGGCGCCGGCGAATTCGGTGACGATGGAGTCGGGCACGCAGGCCTGGGGCAGATCCGGCTCCGTGGCGTTTGCTCGCGTGCCGACGAGGGCAGGCGTCGGGCACACGTCGAGCGGTACAATGTCGACGCGGACCTGGGGCGAGCCGAGAACGAGGTCAAACGAGGTGGAGATGGCCTCGCTGCGAGCGGCGGCCGCAGGCTCGGCGATTCCCTGGGCAGGCCCGGGCGTTTGTCCCTCGGGCGGATTGGGAAGAATGAAATCCGAGCCGGCCAGCGTGCTCAACTTGCTGGCGGGATCGAGGACGGCGGCCGAGCGGAGAGAACCGCCCAGCCCGAGATAGGGAACAGTCAGGTTTGTGCCGTCGGACCCCTGGATGCTAACCCAGCCGGACCACACGGGCAGACGCTCGGGATCGAGGCCGCTGGGGTCGGTGGCTGAGACGTCCACCGTGGCCGACTGACCCGGGCCGAGGGTGAGTGAGGACTGGCTCATCTCGACATGGGCCGCGGCGTCAACAGCCTCATCCACCTCATCCAAGTCATCCATCATAGCCAGCTTATCCAGCTCACCCGCCGGATCCTCGCTGGGGCGAATGGAGTCGGCCTCGAGAGTGTACAGCGTAGTGGCAGCAAGGTGAGAAAGCCGGTACGTCACCTCGGTCTTGGCGGCATTGGTGATGCGCAGCCCAATCGAGTCGGGGCGATGATCGGTATCGTTGAACGGCAGGGTGCTGGGCTCGACGAGGGTGGTGGCATGGGCAGCCTCCCAGGCCCTGAGAAGACCGCCTCCCTGCTGAGCCACGGTAATCAGACGGCCGTGGCTGCTTTGAGGCTCCGCCGTGGACGTGACCAGGCTGTTGAGGAGAGCGGGATCGAAAGTGCCCCGGGCCTCGGCCACGAGGGCAAAGACACCGGCGACAAGAGGCCCGGCAAAGGAGGTGCCCGAGTCGGAGTCGTAGCCGCCGCCTTTCCGAGTGACCGGAACTTGGTGGCCGGGCGCGCCGATGGTAGGCTTGATGTCCATGTCCCAGGTCGGCCCGTACGCAGACATGGGGGCAACAACCCCCGTGTCGATGCGGACTCGGCCGGCTCTCCGGGCCGTGAGCGGCTGGCCGGATGCGAGGGCACGGGCCATGGCTCGGCCGTCGTCGGTTTGGGTAATGCCGATGGCCCTCACTCCGTGTGCGTCTTGGCGCCGGATCATGATGTAGTTGGGTGCGTCTTGCCAGGCGAGGATGTGCGCGGCGCCGCGGGCGACGGCGTTTCGCACGCGATCGTCGAAGTGGCAGCCGTTGGTCTCGGGCGTCTGGCGGATCAGGGCGATGTGGCCGGCGAGGTCCCGGGCGAAGCCGGTGCTCGAGTTGCCCGGCGACAGCTTGCAATTGTCGCCGAGCACCGTGTCCTCGTCGACGTAGTCGGGGACTTCCTCGGCCCCCGTGAGCTCATCGTCGGGCTTGTCGCCAAAGTCGGCGTCGACGTCGTGCACCGGACGCCACTCCCCGTCCCAGTCGTGCAGCCCCGTGCCGGGCTCAAAGGCAAAGTCGACCGGCTCGGACCCGGTGCCGACCGAGTACTCACCGCGGTGCTCGAGCGCTACCAGAGAGCGGCCAAACGAGTTGACAGACGTGACGCCGCGGCCGGTGCTGGGATTCAGTGCGTAAAAGAGGCCTTTGTCCTTGTTGTTGCCGAGGGCGACGATGCAAGGCACTCCGCTGGCGACGATGCGAGCGGCCACCACGGCAAGCGGTCTCTGCGCCCAGTTTTCGCCCTGGAAGCCGACCGACGAGACAATGATTTGCGCGCCGTCTTCTTTGGCCTTGAGCCAGCCCGCTATCATGTCGTCTTCACGTCCCTGGACCTCGCAGTTGACCACGCGATATGCCATGATGGTTGCGTTTGGCGCCGCGCCCACAAAGCCATCCGCCTTGTTATAGCCCGCCAGAATGCCGGCCACAATGGTGCCGTGGCCTTTGTAGCTGCAGTCTATGGGGTCGCTTCTGTTTCCTTGGTTGGAAAAGTTCTCTCCAGTGACAACCCTGCAACCTGGTCCAAAGCATCCTCCCAGCGCGGGATGGTTGTAGTCGACCTGTTCTGCCTGTTAGCATCTGCCTTGTTCCGAGACGCGGGCGAGGCAACGTACACCAGTGTCAATAACAGCAATCTTGATGCCAGTTCCTAGATATCCCTCCTCGTGCAGCTTGTCGACGTGCGTCATGAGGTGGTTCCAAGGTGTCTCGACACGGTCATCGTCGGCTCGACGGCCAAAGGGCGCCCTCTTCTCTTCACCCCCCTTGAGGACTTGGAGTTTGTCTTCTGGCTGGTCCTTGGCTATGTCCTCCGGCATGAGATTAACGTCCTCAACGGGCCACGATGCCTTGATACACTTGAATTGTGCCACCAAGGCTCTCCTCTCCTCTGCCGTCGCCGATTTGGGTAGTTGAAACGAAACACCGTGAAAAACATCCGACTCGTAAAGGTAGTGCAACACGCCGCCGCTTGCCTCGACAGCGTTGGCCACTAGTTGGCAAGCCTGGTTGCTCTCGCACTCGAGGATCAAGTCATCGGCAGCGAGTTTTGTCGACTCTATCCCATTGTCTGCGGCCCAAGCTGGCGATGCTCCTATCACGCCGAGCGCCAGAAAAGCAAACCAGGACGAGCAAACCATGGCGCAAGAGTGGCTCCCCGTGTAGTCGGGCAAATTTACTACCACAAGGTGAAGGAGAATATGGCCAACCGAGCAAGGTTGGGAATGATGGCTGTCCAGAGCATGGCCAAGATGATCAATCTCAAGAGGTTGCCTGCTCGTCTTATATTCATTCGTGCCTCTCGGTGCCTACTATGCCGGCAGTGCATTCTCTGCGTGCACACCCATAACCATATGTTGTTGGTTAAGCTTACACGTATACCAGGCATCAGCAAAGATTTGGTTGTTCAGCGTACTACGTAGTCGTGAAATATTGGCCAAGTGGAAACCAACAGAACATGTTCATGCAGCATGAGGCAATCAAGCCTCCGTCATTTGCAAGTTCCATCAGCCGGGCTAGCAATTCTCGGGCCATATGAGCCGAGAACGTCATGGATTTGGGCATAGCAGTAATGTGCGCGACTCCGCGCCTTATGGATAAGTGTTGATATGAACTGCCGTGGGCACAGCAGCGTGTCAGTTCCCGGCCCATTCCCCACTGCTCGAGGCTTGGGTGAATTAATCGTGCGAGCAAATTAATATTCTGCTATACCCACGGGTCCCTGACTACATGAAGCTTGGCTACAACTTGTACCAAGGCGCTGTGAAGTCTTGAGCTGACTTATATATCACAGCCTCTTAGTTTCTTCTATCAAGGTAGCCCTTGCAAGCTACGTCGTGACATGAATAACGCACCAGAGTGGAATATAAAGACTGGGCGCCACGGCAATATCCGCTCCAGAAGACTCCCGGTTACATTCGACATTGGATGGAGATGAGGTTTGTGCTCTGATGAACCCGAAAATAGCGGCCATTGTGTAGAGGTAAGGGATAAAAGGTTCTGCCACCTACACTACGAAAAATGGACATCACTCATAGTAGTGTAAGGGCTCTATATCACTCTTTGTATCATCACAGTAAGAAGCCAGCATTCTCAACAGCAAACGCGCTAACCTAAGATACTCAATGTTCGGACTCATAAATGAGCAGAGAAGCGCGCTCTTGTGGATAGATTTCACATTCTACCGCCGTTTGCGACAAAAAGCTAGCCACTAGACGATATAGACTGGTGCCGTCTTCTCCTGCTGTCCATGGTGGCCGTCAAATGGCGCATGGCCTGGGCCGTCGAATGATTCCGGCCTGCTGTCATGGATGGGCTCAAACTCTGCCTCCTGACCCAGCCCGGGGGGAGGGAATGCAAGGTTCAGCCCCAAGAAGACAACAAAGCCAATGGCTAGACCAACTATAAAGGTCAGGTTGTAAAGTCGGGTCCAAGCCACCCAGCTAGGATCTGTGAGGGAGTCGACAGAGGCGACCAGACCGGCTACATGGAAAGAAAGCACGTTAGCCGCTTGGACATTCGCCGTCTCGTCTCGATTATGCAACTTACGAAGCATAGGCCACGCGCCCATGAAGAAGGCGACGGGTGCACGCCAGTTGAACCCGCCATGGTACCAGTAGATGGAGGAACTGTCTCCGCGATATAGGTCATTGACCTTGAGCTTGCGCCGCCTGACAATATGGTAGTCTGCAAGCATGATGCCGCTGCCTCGAACCGTTAGCCACACTTGTTTCTCTACTCCTTTGGTGGACGGCACTCACGTCAAGGGGGCCAAAAAGACGCCGAAGCCGCTGAGGACCTGGAGAAATTTGGCAGCAGTAGCGAGGAGTTGCCATGGCCTATGAGTGATTAGAAGCCAGCTCGTGCAAGCGTCAAGAGTAGAGGGAGCGTACTGGATGGCAATGCCAATGACAGCCATGATGGCGGCTCCGCGTCGAATGTTGATGTACCGCGGCCAAAGGCCTGCCATGTCCATGCCGCAAGACATGGCGTTGAGCACGACGGAAATCTAGATCAAACCCAGTCAGCCCAGTCCAAAGCCCAATGGCAACACGGCCATGGCACCCATTTCGTACCGCAAGTTGGGAGGCCACGAGACCCAATCCGCCAAAGAAGACGCCGGCGCGGACGCCAGAGTTGGAGCCGTAGTACTCTTGCATGGCGGCAAGGAGGTAGATGGGGTTCCAGATGACCTCGCCGCCGAGGACATCTCGCGCGGCGCTGGTCACGACGATGCCGATGACGGCCGTCACGGTAATGGTCAAGGGCGAAGCAATGAGCTGCGATGGCACGGGCGCCATTTGCTTCGTGGCATAGCGAGTCCAATCCGACTGGCCCAGCGTTCCTCCTCCCCAGGCGCCCAGGATGGCGGTCAAACTGAACATGAAGGCCCATCCCACGTTGGGAGCGGCACCGGGCTCGTGGAACATGGCTCCGGGCCCATGGGCCTGGCTGACGGACCTTTTGGTCATGCCGAGTTAGCACAATGGCTCGCCATCATCGTGGTACAGAACCCAGCGCGTGCTGGACATGGAGTCGTGTAACCCTACCATATGAGTAGACCAAAGGTGGTGCAGCAAAACAGCACGAAGCAGATGGCAAACGGAACCTGCAGTCGTTCGGGGCGGATCAAGATGGCCGGGATAAAGGCGCACATCCAAATGATGAGCCCGACAAAGTCCTTTGTTTCGAGGTGGGAGCTGGCGGAGAAGTAGTTGGGGAGATGGGCGAGGCCTGGCAAGCATGGTGTCAGAGCGGCAGACGGCAAAACACCGTTGACATGGACTTGACCCTTAATCCGAGTAGAACGCACCGGGGATAATGGCTCCGATACAAACTCGAGTGGCCTGGCCACCCCAGAATGCCTGCATGCCAAACCACATGGACGCGATGAAGACGCGCAAGATGACGGGGACTGCGCGCCCGCGGGGTCTCGTTAGTCTATGATTTGAACATGCCACGGCGCAAGGACGGCCATGAACTGACAGTACGATCCTCTCATTCCCCAGGAGAAGCGGCTAGAAACCGTGTAGCCAATGTACTGTTTGGCGCCCATCCAGCCGCACGCCACGGCGAGAAGACCGGTGATGATGCCGCCCACGACCTAGAGTAAGGTTGCAAGTCAGTCACAGCCTGTTCAGCCTGTTGCTGTCGCAATGTACATGGACTGTACTTACAACCGCGGCAATGGCTTGTTGCGGAGTGAGGCCAAACGCCAGCAGCGTGCTGCCGACGGTCCATGCGGAAATGTTGGAGCCCGACACGGTCCAGTATGCTGTCTTGATGTGAGCCAAAGGGTCCCCTCGCAGGCGGCCATGTGCGTCCTACCCATGTACGAAACGAAGCCATAGGTGCGTCTTTCACGAGGAATGGGAATCAGATCGCGGTTGCACCACGTGGTGTTGTCGTAGTTGGAGCCGTCGTCTTTGGGACTATTGCGCCGAGCGGAGGTTCAATGTTAGTTCCGACAAGCATGTCCGCAAAAAGGCAGCCGGGCGTAACTTTGTAGTTTCAATGTTCGTATCAGGGATTGGCCCACCATTGTAGTCGTTCCCTGAGGGACTTGTTTGTTGCTTGGGCCATGGCAAGCGCACAACGGCACACGCAGATGCTGGTCGGTCGGTCGATCGATGGCGTCTCTTGCGTCTCGACAGAGGTTTCCGCCCGGAAAGCAAAGACCACGCCCGCATGGGCAGGGGCCGGCCTGATTTTATCTGTCTGAGAATGCGGCGTCGCCAACAGGTTTTGGCGACGAGCGCCCCCAGCTCATGCCATGGCTATTATCCACCAGACGTTGACAGCTCTGGGATCGGATTGGTAGCGCTGGAAAGCTAACCCGAGAGGAGTCAATTCATCTTCATGTATGGAAGGTGCGAGGCCCTGCCACGGAGCGAGCACCATGTCGCCAAGGAGGCTTGCTATTCGCAACCTGGGTCTGCATCCCTGGCATGAGGAGCCAGGCCAAATTTGCCATTCCTTGGACGCCCCGGTTTCGTCCCGTGTCGGCCCGCACGTCATGTCAAGTTGGCTTGATGCGATGCCATGACGGATGGCGTTAGGACGAGACTGCTTCTATCCCGTGGCCGTTGCATCAAGCCACCGCGCCGACCAGACCTCCCTTGCGCCATGCGAATCGTGCGTGAACCAATGGCTTCGCGACAGATGGACAAGATGGAGCCTCTGGCGCAGCACTGCTGGACAATCGGCCCACCATCTTTTTGCCAGTCTGGTCGTGGCATCTCGTAGTGTTGGGTAGTCCTCCGTGTATAGCACTGAGGTCTTGAAGGCATCGGCTCCTGTTCAAATCCCATTTATAGTACTGATGGGAGAGAATACTACAACTGTCAACTGTCTGCCACGATTCACTGCCTAACCTGGTCCCCCCGTGGTTACGCTTCCAGCCACAACTTGTCAAGGTGCCTTGTTGTCTTCGTACTGGGGCTTGTGGATAATGGCACGTCTTGGCAACCATTTTTTTCTCAAGTCGAAATAAAATGATATCTGATTCGACCTGATACATATCCTGTAGTTGCATGTTGAAATTTACATTGCCAAGCCTCTCCCTTTGCCGTAGGATCGAGATGGAACGGCTACCATGACGGAAGCCTCCTCTAGCTCATCCAAGACAACCCACCGTCCTGTGCTCCTCGGGGCTGCACATGGAGTAATATCTGCTCAATGGCGCAGTGATTGTCGGGTTTGACAATTGCGCCATGGAACAACAAGATGTAGCTCATGATAAACTATCGCCGATAGGGTTGTGCGCTATATAAACAGACATTGATTAGTTTACACCGACGCTTGAAAGTCAAATGCACTTGTACATTGTTTGTCATTTTATAAGCGGAATTATAGTCTAGCTCTACGTACTACCTCCCGTGGTGTCATTGTCAGGCGTGTTTCCGAACAGAGCGAATCGAGTGGGCTGGAAAGACGAACCCTGAGATTAGCCATTGTCTACTGACTCGGCGCCACGCAACGAAGCACTCTAGCTGCAAGTGCACCGACAACGAGTTCAGTCTCAGGGATACGGGAGCCATTTATATGGGCTATATTTCTAATACGTCTCCTTTATTAGCTCGCTCACAGTATTAATCTACCGGGATGTATTCAATCTTTAAAGGTGGTAAGACGGTTGTGGGAACGAAAACGGACACCAAGCCGGAGGGTGCTTGGCAATCAAGTTGTTGCGGGATCCTTGAAGGATTCTCAATTCTTGGACGACTGGGAAACATTTTTCTAATACATGTTTGTGTTAAAGAAAGAAAAAAGAAGGAAAAACACAGACAATACTCGTCAAACTCATTGATGGACCGCAAAGAGCCCGGCAAGTCGCGTCTGTATTCAGAAACACGACGTGTAGGGTAGGACGAAGGATGACAGGCGGCGGCAAGATCCGATCCAAGTCAGCCAAGAAGCAGCAGAATGCCAATGCCGGCAGTTCAAGTAGGCCGGAAACATGACGGCCTTTCGGCGCCATGCGACTTGCCGCAGCCTCACAGACGCAATGCGCCCGGTATTATTGCAGATCAATTGATGGCCATCAGCCACGCGCAGAGAGCCCGGCTCCTAACATGGGGCACCCTGCATAATCTGGTCTGGCACCTCGGATCCCTTTCTGCCCCGCGGATGCCGAGAGATTCTACCGCAGTTCTATCAATTGATCTTCTAGAATGGTGTAGTTAGTTGTCCGACTCCAGTCTAGCAGATACTCAGACACCTTCGGATAGTATTGCATGTCACCGGGGTTGGTGTCAGATGTGTCATCGGGCCACGTCGAGGCCGCGTGTTGGTTGCGTGTAAACATTGAAGATATTTCCCAACTGGGTGTCGCATTTCCAGTTGATTACGGCTGGGCTAGTTCGTCCATGTCTTCATCTGTGCTTCAGTCATGGCTGGTTCGAGCAACAACGGCCACTTCTCACCGCCGAGGCATACATTCACGGGCGCAACTTGACCCGCATGGCTAGTCAAGCATCTCTGATCTGGAGCGGTTGAATGGCCCGCCCTGCTCCAGGGCTGATCCGGCTGAACCGGGCCCAATCTGAGATGGGCGCGCAGCATCTCCGCCTTGCATCGTGGCCCTCAGCCGTCTAAGCACCCGAGCGTCCTAGTCATGTCCGCCGCCAACAGAACTTCGGCAAAGTCCCGACGTCAATTGGCGACGTCCTCTCCTCATGGTGGGCTGACGCGACCAAGCGCAAATCGTAATCTGCCTTGAATGTGACGCCGTTTTGTGGTGCACCGCATACTGGGCGAGGACAGCCACGCTTGTAGAGGCAGTGCAACAGTCAAACTTCCCAAAGCAGAAATTTGATGACATGCAAGTATTGCAATGCTCTCATGTGCTGATATTCAGCCACGCATACAGCCATCTTTATGTGGAAATAACCGCCCTAGCTCCCTACACTGCCTTTACTCCCCCCCAGTTGCCGTCTCTGTCGAGCGTGGACGGCAGTTTTGTTTGTTTCTAGATGCTCGGGCATGGTCCGAATCTTGTTGTTGGCATGACGCACATGGAAACACAATACATGAATATCTGCATATATATTGTGTCCCGGCCCTCCGGGGCATATATGACATGATTCAAAGCCAAACCCCTTTACCTCGTCTTGTATATACGCAAAACATCAACCCAACATGGAAAGACTCGTCTTGCGCAGGCCTCGGACCAATACATCCATGACGGAAGCAGATGCTCCTCGTTGTCAGAAACGTTTCCCAAAACCTACTACTCACACTTGCCTCATCCAGCGCATAGCCAAATCATACGAGTTGGAATTTCCCTCGCACCAGAAAACCACGGAGCCCATTGGCGATGCAGCACGAAGCAAATCAACACGCCATGCGCTCAGCAGAGGCAACGAGGACCACTCGTTGAGCGGCACCCCGGCTGCCACAACCATGAACCGCATCCCCGATGAAACGTATGACGAATACAGTCGAACCTTTCACATGGTCTTGCTCGACCCCAGCTATCAAGTGTACACGAGTCCCACGGGACGCGGTTCCGCCATGTACAAGATTGAAAACGAAACAATGGTCATTGTCGGAGATCCCATGTGCGCCAAGGACGACCTCGGCCCTCTCCTAGAAGAGATTGAAAACTTCCGACATCCAACCCGACTAAAGCTGGCGTTTATGGGCGTCGGCCCGTGGTTCGTACAATACGCCGAGACCAAGGGCTGGGACCACATCGAGTTTGGCAGCGAACGAGTCGTCAACCCCATGCACAACGCCGTATTAGAGAAGCAAGCCAGCAAGCGCATGTTGGCGCAGTGCCAGCACCTCCTACACCCAAAGCAAGGACTAACAATGGGCTTCTACGCACCGAGCATCTCCGGCATCAACTCCCACCTGGAGCACCAACTGGCGCAGCTCTACGCCGACTGGCGAGACACAAAGGGGGCCAAGCAATCCGGAGACGCCCAGGCATTCATCACGGCGTACGACTTGTTTTCGTACCGGAGACGAACGGCGTTTCTGTACATGTCCGACGCAGAGGGCGAGATTGCCGGCATGGCCATGCTGCGGCAGCTGGGCGCCGAGCCCGGATTCTACATCGACCCCTGCATCGCGTCGGCATCCGCGCCCAAGGGCGTCACCGAGCTCCTCATGGTGTCCAGCATGCGGCTGCTGCGGCGGGCCGACGTATCCCATCTCAGCTTGGGCGTGGAGCCCCTCGCCGACCTGGCAGCACGAGGGCTGCTCGCCCGCGCAGCACGCTCCCTGTACAAGATGTTTACGGATGCCGCGTCCGTCGCCGGCAAGAAGGCGTACAATGACAAGTTCCGCCCCGACCCCGTTCTCGAGTCGAGCCTGTACGTCGTCTTTCCCAGGGCAGACAGGAAGAAGAAGGCTCTCTTGCTGAGCTTTCCCTTCCGAGAGGCCTGGGCCATCATGCAGGTTGCGCATATTCAAGCGGATGATGGGTTGAAAAGGACAGCGTGCCCCCAGCACCCGCGTGTCCCGGCGGCAAACTATCTGGCTCGTGAGGAGAGGGAAGGGGTTCCTCGGAGGGTTTGGGACAAGGCGCTGGTGGTGTAATGTATTGGCATCCTTTGTAATTTTCATGTAACAAGTAGTAGCTTTCCAGATGGCAATTTGTATCTATTCGCCGTATAAATCACATGTTTTACAAAAAACAAAAAACAGCTATACCCGATCCGTACGCTATGACATGTACCAGTAATCAAAAACATTCGAGCTCGTTTCGGTGCGGTAAAAAGATTGTAAAATTACAAAAAAAGCATTCTGCTCATCATCATCGTCAGGACTGGTCAGCGACGTCAGACCAAAACGGCCTTGGCTAGGGCCGTTTCCACGTCGGAGCGACGAAAGCCAGCGGACCTGCCGAGGCATACGGCGTTGTCAAGCAATACTATGCAAATCAGCGACCAAGTCTCTGGGAGTACGTTGGGGCTCTTTGAGTCGGGCTATACCTGATATGAATTTTTTGGCATTGATATGCGCTTGCTCTTGTTGTGTAGTCGAGTCACTCCAAGCCGCGGCCCCAGCAGCAGCAACAAGTTTGACATTCTTCTCCATGAGGAAGCACTCGAGGTCCTGCATGTCGAACCAGTCGCCGTTGAGATCTTTCTGTATATCGGACGAGAAGTGCGACAAGGGAACGGATATGGCCTGCCAATGACGCGAGCGGCGCGTGTAGGGACCTAGTTCGGGCGGCCAGGCATAGTGCGTTCCAGCACCGCCGAGTTGAAAAAAGGGAACCGATTTCCACTGCTTGGATAGTTCGGTTTTGCTAATCTTGGCATGCAGAGCGGCGGCAAAGTAGGCTGTGAGGTTGCTGCGGCCCATGGTTGGATACAAGAGGCGAAACGCGTGTCGAACACCTTGGGCGGAAAAGGAGGGATCGGTTAGCCGCACGTATCCGCGGTATAGAATCGCCATGTGGAGTTGATCCATGAATGCAGAGTACTGCAGGTGCAAGACGGTTTCCGAGCCTTCCATGCTCGGGGGGGTCAGAGGCTGCGGCATTAAGGGTTGCGGTGGTAAAGGGGGCATGTAGCGCGGGGATCCAGGCAGGTCGATGGCGAGATTTGGGTCCTCCTTGGCGGATGGTCGGTTTCCGGGCTGGCTGGAGCTTGCTTCCCCTTCATCGTCCACGTTGGTCGTTCTGGCTAGACGTAAACACTTCTCCAACGTTTCCCGAGTACATTGAGTCAGATGAGCGTGAGGCGCGAGAACGCCAGACTGGAGAAGAGAATCGCTAAACGTGGTCACGGTGGTGCTCATGTCTTCAATGACTTGCTCCAGTTCAGAGACCCTCTTGGTGAGGAAGGAGATTCTGGATTCTTTGCGCAGCCGATAGGCTCGTTGGGCCTCGCGTATCTGTTTCTTCCTCCTCTATAGCCGAGACAAAAATACGCCGGTAAGCACGTTGTCTCACACAAAGAGGATGCTTGATCAGGCCATGGCCACTCACCTCCTTTGGACCTTGCCCATCATCCCCATCATCGCTGCCTCGTTTCTTTGACGCATTGGATTCGCCAGCAGGCGATGCAGTAGATTGGCCTTGCCGTCTACGTGTGGTGGGCTGGTTATGACCGTCGAGGAAGCAGTTGAGCGCCTCGGCTGGACCAGCCCCATGCAAGCCGGCAGGGCCCTCAGTCGCGTGGTCGACATCGAATACGAATGACAAGGATTGGAGGAAAGCGTTATCTTTCTCTTTGGCGTGGACGTCTTGGGTAGTCGGAACAGGATACTTGCGCGCCGACAGTATCGACATGAGGTGGTTGCCACCAATGTTGACATCAGCTGTTGGCTCATAAGCCAGCGCTGCATCCCGTGCGGCCATGTCGTTGTTCATGTCTGCGCTCGCCGGCTTGTAAAGAGAATGATATTCAGAAGGTATTTACCAAGTTCTGTTGATGAGGGCCAAGGGAGCTTATGCTGAGATGCTCAGACATGCCAACTCACCCTCTCAACCTCGGATGGCTGCTTGGTCGGTGGGGCGCGGAGACGTCAACTGGCTGGTTTGTCATCATGGCGCCAATTCACGTGGCATTGATTTGTTGAGCACCTGCCGTTTTGCGTGGTGGCATGGGCCAATGAATTTGACCGAGCACATCTCCCTGTGGGCACCTGGCGGTCCTCGTCGGCAGACTCGGTACGCCACTGTCTCAAGGGTTAGGGTTCACACTGTCCCCAGACTCCGAGTCACGACACGACATGTGCAAGAAACGGGAGGGCGGAACGGCATCAATTGTATATACAATCAGGATATATTTCTCGCTACATCATCATCAGACATGTCAACATGAATCATGGTCTAAGCATATCGGTGCGTAAAGGTCCGGGTGCGGGAGAGGCGTGACGGAGGCGTGGGATAGACGGCGACAGGCGGGACTGCATGGACCGACTGCATCTGCGGAGCCCCAGACAGGGGACCTGGGCCTGGAGCGAGCACTGGGCCTGCCGCGGCACCTGGCGCCTGGCGCAGAGCTGCCATCCTCGCCTGGCTGGTTTCCGCCTTGCGACTTCTAGACACTCTCCGCCGCACACACGCAAAACAACACCACGCCGCCAGCACCACGAGAAGAGACCCGATGACCACGATCACGATGAAAAGGGCCCTGTTGCGGGCGATCCACGACGACACGCTGCCGCCAGTGCCGCCGCCGCTACCCCTCGCCGCGCGACACTCGCCGCTGTAGCACAGAGAGCCTCCGCCAGAGCCGCTGCACGGCGTCCCGTCCAAGAAGTCGGCGCCCGTGACCTGGCACGAACCCGAATCTGCGAGCGCGCAGTTCATCTGGCAGCCGTTGCCATCGCATGCCGACACGCTCCCCCACCGGCTCGTCGAGTTGAACAAGACCAGGCTGCACTGCATGCCGCGCGACGTGCATTGTCCCGAGGCGCACGCGGTGCCGTTGTTGCCATCGCCGCACGACTGTCCATCCGGGAGGCGCGTATCCGTCGGGCACGAGGCCGATGACCCGTTGCACACCTCCTCCGGGTCGCAGGGGCCGATGCTCGCTCTGCAGACGTTGCCGCTGCTCGATACCTGGCACTGCGACGTGCAACACCCGTCGTTGGAGGGATCGCACACGGCGCCGTCGACGAGCCGGCACGTTGTTGGATTGCAACACTGACTGTTGGCACCGCAGCCCTCCTCGCCTCCGCAGTCGCACTCCTCGCCGGGCTCGACGATGCCGTTGCCACACACGCCGCTCGAAATCGTCGTCACGTTCTCGTTGCCCGACAGGCACGACGTGCGGACGAGGTTGCGCTCCATGGCCGTGCAGATGGCCGCGATGGTGCACGGCGAGAAGTCCGTCATGCTGGTCGTCGCCGCCGGGTTCATGATGAACCGCCCATTGGCGTTGCAGCTGCTCTCGCTGAGCGGGCAGCACCGCTCCGAGGAACCAGAGTTGCAGTCTGCCGTGCAGTCGTGCACGGCCCCAAAGTTGTGACCGAGTTCGTGTGCCAGGACTTGCCATTCGGACCGCGTCCTCACCACCACATTGGCTCCTGGTGTTCCCCCCGAGCGGCCACTCGCTCCGTTGCATACCGTTCCGATCCACGCGATGCCGACGGTTTGGCCCGACTGGCATGCGCTAAACAGCGACCAGACGGCGTTGCCGTCCACCCCGACGCCGCGTCTCCAGTCGGTGAGGCGCTGGAGTCGACCCGAGATGTCGACTTGGCTGCTGCAGCCCAGGTTCCACGGTGTCGAGCTTGAACCGCTGCTGCTCGGGCAGTTTCGGTCGCTTATCGTCAGGTTTTGCACCCTCAGCGCAATGTTGAAACTCCGTTCGTACACCCCAGACGCGGTATTCACAACTGAGAGCACGTGTTCGCGAAGCTCGTCCGAAGAGTTGAACTGGCCCGTGTAGGAGCAGTCCGTGGCAATTCCGAGGAGTGCAATCTGCCGCGAGGTCGGGCAATTGGGCGGCGATCGAAGCAGTCCTCCGAGATCCAGACCATTCAAGCCGCCGCTTTGGCGTCCCACCAAGTCCTTGTCGCCCGTGGCCAGATCCAGGTGAACCTGATTAAAGTCGAGTTCGGAAACGGAGCATGTCGAGTTCCCTTGCTGCCGCTTCCTGAGTTCATGGCCGTCGTGTGGACTCTGTGCGGATTCTCTCCATGCCACCAAGTACGGGCCTCCGTCTTCCATCGACATGTCCGGCTCCCCGTCGGATCGTGTTCTCCGGTAGGTCGAGTCTGTCACGACATGATATTCGACGCCGTCAATGCTGAATGCGCCTTGGCCTAATTGCTCCCCGTCCCTGACGATGAACGACATCCTTGCCCATCCCGAAGGCGACAGTGTCTCCGACTGTCTACCTCCTTGTTGCAGGAGCGTTGTCCCGCGAAACGCCAGGTGGCTGCCTGCCGGTACAGTATCAACCGACTGTACGGTTCCGTCCGAGTCAAGATGGCGTACAATCACTGGGTGTAGGAAAAGATCGTCGTTGCGCTGTAGATCCAAGATGACCTTGTTGGGCTGAGCGTCGCCGATAAAGAAGGACATTGTCACATTTTGGGAGGCTGTTCTTGGTATAAAGTCCGAGTACTCTACCCCGCGGAGGCGGAACACCTCACGATGGTCGTCATTGCGGAGTGATTCACCTGTAGGCACAAGACATGTCAACACAACCGTGGACATTCCCTTGCCAAAGGAAAAAAAAAGGAAAGTGAGGCACAAACCATAGGTATTTTGTATCAGGAACGAGACTAAACCCACAAAAGCAAGTGACGGAAAGGGTATCTGCATTCTGTTCAAACAGTGGGACGAGAATTACTGACCCGGTCTGACCGTCTACTGAGGCAAGGTGATCCGCCACATCTTATATATGCTTATTTGGAATCCGGGGCCGATGTGGTTTGTCATTGGTGACAGAACACGCACATCAGCCGCTGACTTGAGACGAGCCTTGGCGGCCAAGACTTTCATCGCCTCCGCGTTACGTCTGCATCTGTACCGGCCAAGACTCGGGGCAGAAGCAAAGAAGCGGAAACCTCGGGGATATGGTTCGTGCATGTCGTGACATTCGTCTCTCTCTCAGCACCAGACTGGGCTCATCTTGTAGGGCATCTCGAGGCGCTTCGCCCGCAAAGACTGACTGACATGTTATCTCGTGGCTTGGGGCGCATGTAGAAACAGCCGGCTTTGGCAACCCTCCCGCATGTCCGACCAGGTAGGTGGTCAACTGGTCCCGAATCACAGAGGAGGCCGTTCGATACGGCCCCGGCCGCACGACTCACGAGTGTACGCCTTGCCCCCAAGGCTTGGGCGAGCAACGGAACGGACGAGTCAAGTCTGAGTCGAATTGTCAGCCAAACACATACGCGGCAACTCAGCCACCACCAAACAACTAAGCTTGCATCAAGAACCCGCCCTCGGGCGATTCTTCGTAGAAGGTTGATGAGCCACGCGTCCCTAGACTCGGATGGCAGTCCACTTGTGCCAATTGTTCCGACCTTGGCGGAACCACAATATCGGATGTCAGTGGAGATGCCGTCGTTCGCAACCAATATAAGCCCGATAAATCCGGAGCCAAGTGCTATCTGGCGAGATCTGCCACGGACCATGTTGTATGTATGTCTAGGTTTCATACAGTGTATGGTATGCACGTACTTGCGCATCTTGGCAGCGCTACTCTTCTTGCAGCGAATCAGAGGTGATGAGAGACGCTCAGCATCGACTTGCGTATGCGGACAGCATGCAACGTCTTGGCACCATCATCTTCATTGCACGAGGCGGTGGCTTTTGATACCGTATTTGTAGTGGGAGGCAGCCACCTGATATTGCACGGCTTGGCAAGCAGAACGGTCGACCAAGTCGGCCAGCCCAAACTATAGGTATGGTAACGAGCCAAGTCGTCTTTTTCGTGGCCAATCTTCAAAACGAGTTGTTGGAGTAGTGCCCTTTTCATGCACTCTTCACGCAGTGTATTTCATCTGAGAACGCGTGGCTGCACGGCACTCATTTGGAGTTTGTTGCGCTTATATCCTTGATGCGTGTTGAAACAACCACGCCGTTCATCCATTGGCATTGTATCACGGAACCCCGTACCTCGGCCGCTGAACTCTCCGCATGTTTCACGTTGGTCTGAAGTTGTGACACTGTCGAGCAAACGCCTCGGGCCGCATGAGCGAAACATTTCCTCGACAACTTTTGACAACACGGTGTGCTCCTCACCAGTTAGATGCCATTGTTGAACTGCCATTTGTGTATGGACATGTCAACAGTCTGGTCTGGGTCAGTCAAGAGCAACTGACGATACTTGGGCTGCGGCTTCAACGACTCATGCGCCTCAATTCAGAGGCAGAAAAATGGCACTTTGGATACCAAATTGCATCCATGAAATGAATAAACTTTTCCCGAGGCAGCTCGTCCGTCATTGAGGAGAGAAAGTGCTTGGTTTTTGGTGGCGCAACTATGGGCAATCATGTGAAACTTGTGTCACGAAACTTGGAAACGACTGATGCGTACGGGAAGCCAGGGATGCGGATTACTGTTGACACTATCGCATTCAGCAACTGCACTTCTGTCTTGACAAGGGCACTAGCATGGTGCACAGACATGAGTTGTGCCGAGCATGCAGAACAAGGAGGCCAAATGCGGTCTTGCTCTCAAGTGCAGTTTTATAGTTGTTTGGCCATGCAATTCTCACATCTTAATGTTTTAATATTAGCAGCTAGATTCATACTAGCATGCTATATCTACTGAAAGGCGAGATGATGAGTAAAGCGTCCGGTCCACGGAAAATGCTTACTTAATTCAATGCATTGATGGCTTATTAATGCAATCTACCAGCTTAAATCAACGACATTAATAATGGTAGCTGCCAATACAAGGTAGATTTTGATCGGCCGTCTTTTATTAGTCAAAACCACGCGATTATCAGCTGGGCCATGTCGCAAAATACTTTTCTTTAAACGCTGCAGCAAGAGACGCGTCCGAGATCGGCTGCATCTGGCTGCAATACGAAGCCATCATGACGTAGCTTCAATGCGACAGCCTGCCTCTCATGCCAGTTCTACTTTTTTCCCTGTTATTATCCATGATGGGCAATTGAATTTTGTCAATGCAAAGGTCGAGCCTGATGGCGTGCTAGGTTTAGTTTGTGGATATCAGACGATTATCGGATTTGAGCTATCTCCGCCTTTGGTCCCGAACGCGCGGTATTTGAATAGAGCCTGTCGCTCGAAGCGCCTCGTCGTAGTGCTTGTTTCATCTTGAACATGATTGGGACAGACGTTTTGAAAATGGGAAACAGAACAATGAGTCTCGCCAGCTGGGCACTGTCCCTAGCCTGGGCGGCCACGGCCGAACGACAAGTCCTCACAGACCCGGGAATCTACGGACCCCCCTTGGAGATTGCCCACTACTATACCGGTAAGTCGGCGCAAATGTTTCATGAATTCTCCCCATGTGTGCAGTACTGCAGTACGAGTGATGCCTCGGACCCAAGCACGACTAACAATCCCCGGCAGGGCAAATGCCGACGGGCATCGCTGTATCGCGCGAGAGCCGCCTCTTCTCAACCTACCCAGCATGTCTGGATGCAAACAATACCAACACGATACAGACGCCGTACAAGTTCCAAGTCGCCGAGCTCATGCCTGATGGCTCCGAGGTCCCCTACCCATCTGTCGAGATCAACACCCCCCCGGGGGGAGCGCTCAACATGAGCACGAATCCGCCAACGTCGGCCAACTACGCCGACTACTTTATAGGCTGTCAGAGCGTGGTTGTCGACAACAAGAACGTGCTGTACATTTTGGATGCCGGCCGAGCCATTGACCCGCAAACCTCGGTGCTGCTGAACGCGATTCCGGGGGGACCCAAAATCGTTTCTGTCGACTTGAGCACCAACAAAATCATCCGCACCTACACGTTTCCGGGAAGCGTCGTCTACGGAGATTCCTTCCTCAACGACATACGAGTCGACCGGACGCCGGGTCTTTCCGGGCTGAGCGGCGGCGCCGAGGAGGGCGTTGCCTACATTACCGACTCCTCGTTCGAGGGCCGCAACGGCCTCGTCATTCTCGACTTGACGAGCGGCGAGAGCTGGCGGCACCTGGACAATGATCCACGGCTACGCCCGCAGCAGCAGTTCTTGCCCTTTGTCCACGGCAGCCCCGTCATGTTTGGATCCTCCAGCCAGTATACCCGAGCCACGGTGGGCAGCGACGGCATCGCCCTGAGCGCCGATGGGTACGTAGACTTTTCCAGTCCTTACAGACGACTGCCGGCATAAGACCAATGGCATTGCTAACTCGCGCCGCGCAGCAAGGACCTCTACTTCAGCGTCATTAGCGGACGGGAGCTTTGGTCGGTGCCGACGGCGGCCTTGCGCGCGCGCGACGCACACAGCGAGCTGCTCGTGCAGGCGAGCGTGTCGGCCAAGGGCCAAAAGGGCGTCGGGGACGGCATGGAGACGGACAGCAATGGCATCATCTACACGGGCCATGTCGAGCAGGAGGCCATCGTGTCCTACTCGCCCGGCAACGCGACGGTTCAGACGTTCCTGCGCGATCCTAGGATCAACTGGGTCGATACCCTGAGCGTCGGCTGGGACGGCTCCTTGTACTTTACTGTGAACCAGGTCCATCTCATGCCCGGCTTCTACCCGGGCACTGAGCGTCGCCAGCACCCGTATGTGCTGTTCAAGGCGCAGCTGCCTGATGGTGGCAAAAAGGTCGGCACATGAGAGGGCGAGGGGCGGATGCGACTCGGTAAATAGAATATCAATGATACCACATTTACATTCTTACGTGATATTCTTTCCGTTATAATCGGTGTCAACAGTGGACCCTTGGTTTGCAGAGCCTCCCAATCTGCAATGCTGCATATGTATTGCTGCATGAGCCGCCCGAAGTCTAACCTAATCAAGGCGCCTGCTGACAGCCAACGCCGGATCATTTCCCGCGGCTGAGGGAAACAGATGAGGAATCATGTGTGGCTGCGCAAAAGCCGGTTGTTGGCCTCTTGCCGCTTCCATCTGCATGTACCGACGACCGACGTCGCCATATCTTTGGCCCTTGGACTGCGCTGCCAGTCGGAACGCCATCGACCAATCCTCGCTGACCTCTTCCATCAAGTACAACTTTACTTCTACTCAACTCGAAATCCTTTCCGCTGTTGCAGACAACTCCCAAGGTGATGCCGCCAGTTCAACATGTTCTGCGCCAGAGCCACCGAAAGTCCACACGGGGCTGCCAGACATGCAAACGCCGACACGTCAAGTGTGACGAATTGCAACCAAATTGGCAAGTTGACGCTGTTTGTAAGCGCGGCATGCGGAAACTTGCCAAACTAATGCCCTCGGTAGTCAAAAATGCATCAGCAGCCGGCGGGAATGCGTATATCTTGTCGGCCGCCGTGACGCAGCCAGCCCAGGCGCCGACGCAACCCTGGCGTGGCCCGATATCATTCAACAGGCTTGCCATGAGTGGAAGCGCTCGGGCAAACCGCCGTTCCCGCGTCTAGCTATAGCCGCAGCACCGAGCTGGCACAATATGCCGCTGGCAGACTTGCGGTACTTGTACCACATGGCCCTTGTCGATGGGATGCTCGCCTTGAGCGGCACGAGCAACATGTGCCTCTTGTGGGGTGAGATGCGAATGTACGACCAAGCTTGAGCTGTTGGGGCGCATGACAAGACATCTAACCGGGATTTTCTATAGAATGATACAACTGGCAACGAGCTTTGGCTTTGTGGCGCACACGCTTGCGGCCACGTCTGCCGAGCGGCTCGCCGTCTTGACCAAGTCCCAGGACGCAGCCAACGATGGCGCAAGATACCGCGCTCTAGCTCTCCACGGGCTGAGCAGAGAGATACAGCTCTTTTCCAAGAGCAACGCGGATGCAATATTGAGCGCGTATCTCGGCTGCTCATTCATCATGGCCGATTAGTGCGTTTGTTCCTCGACACACGGCAGACATCCTCCCGTGATGCTAATACCCCTGAAAACAGCCGTGCCGTCATGACAGTAACAAAGAGTATAGTCCTGGTAAGAGGACTACACGATCCAGTAGCCGGACCCTTTCTAACCCGTTGCGTAGGTAGCTGCGCGGATGGAGCACTGGTCAGAGCAGTCTGCGTTTCGCCATCTTTTCGACTACGACCGCCTGCACCGGTTACAAGACATCCACGACGGACCACGGCCAAGGCATCAAGATGTAGCCACTCTGCTAGCCGAGGGAGTGCAGGCTTTGAACAGGCTATCGAACTGCCTGCGGCACAATCTCCATCTAGCCGCCGTGGTTCGACAGCTGCGCGACGTCTTGAGGCTGGTGGACGACAAGCTGGACGCCGACGTGCCGGCCGCAACTCAGTACCGCTTGATTCACCCCTTCATATCGTGGTACAACCGAAACGAAGCTTCTTCCTACGTAGCCATTAGCCAGAGGGACCCTGCCGTGCTTGTTTTCCTGCTGTACATGTACTCGGCCTTTGTATCCCTGGCGGTGGCGTTGCCCGCAACGAACCTGCCGCTGTTTACGGCGATTCGATTCAGGGCCATTGTCGAGATTAATCGGGCAATGGAGGAAAGAGCAGGTCTCCCGTGTACTGGCTGCAATGTCTTTCACCAGTATCACGAGCTCGCGCCGTTTCCGTTATTGGCCATGCAGGTATACCTCTCTCATGGAGCTGTATACTGAGCTAGGGGCGACGACTGTCTTGGTGTCGTAATGTGGCATTGATAAGTTGGTAGACCATTCTTTGAGATATAGATCGGAATGCCTCAATTAATAGCTCTATATTGATCATAATGATGAAAGGGTCGAGTGATTGATGAAAAATACGCAAATTTGACCCCTTTTATAGTCGGTCGGGGGCCCCTGCAAGTTCTAGGGGCCCCTGACGATAATCCTCGATTTGACTCGACAATCAAAGCACTTCCCAGCTTCTGTGTCTTTAAACTTCATGCTCGGACATCCCTCAAGGCGCGCCGTAGCGTGCTGACCTTGCCGCATTAATACTTGCGTAAATCATGTCAACTTTAGTTATTCCAGAAAAGATACCTCTCCCTGGACCGCCCTCCGTTTATTTTCTCAGCTGATGCTTACCATGGACATTTAGTCGTGAGACATACGTCTCTAGGAGTCAAGTCTATCCACGATTAACACAGGCCTTAATATGCGATACTCGCTTTTCGGAATCCCCAACAGATACCTTCGGGCCCGTTAACGCCTCTGCAATGCCCTCTTTAATGCCGATGTATTATAAATGCTGCCATCGAGAAGGACATGCTGGTATAGCAGTGACTTGTCCCCCTAAAGCTTGTCAAAATGTTGCGAGTAATGCAGTAAGACTTGTATTTACAAGTTACTGGGCTATATTTATAAGAGACTCTTGTATTATGCCTGTAGTTTCACTGGACTAATAAGCGATGCAATCCAAACGTTAATAAGAAGAGACTCGATGGCAAATTTTGTTTACGCTACAACGTTATTGGAAGGTTTGAACATCGCAAAGCTAGCTAAATAGCCTGGAATAGCAGACAATGCTGCATTGATACAACTATATAGCTCTCTTGTATAGAGTTTCAGTAAGCAGTTTGAGAGTGATTTATGCACGTTCATGGTAGGGGGCTCTCACGGCACGGGCCGGACTTCGAACCCGAGACCTAGTTGAGACATTGGGCTTCCAGGCTCTCTTTCTCACCGCTGTTTGCCATACTACATTAGAACTATCCGCCCGTGGAGGTTTCGGGGAAACCAAGGACCTTTGATATTGAACCGAATTATTGGCTGAATCGGAACTTGATCCAAGCCCTCAGAGGCCCCTGTTACAGCTGAAACGCAGCAGAATAAAAGAATAAGGCATCTCCACAAGAACCAAGTAACACAATAGCATATCCCTGTAAGTGCTGAAAGTAAATCGTACTTGGAAACTTCAAACCACGCATGGTGACTGGACCTTTATGACTCTTACGTTGCCTGTAATTGAGTTTACCCCTGTATTCGCTGCTGTATACTGTAGTGTACTTGGCTAGATACCAGCGCTGTGCGACTCATTTGACGAACATACAACTACTTTTAGTAACTATTGCGCCCCATCTAAGGTCTCCTTAACGCCGGGGTAGTAGCTGTTACGTTGCCGAATTGTAGATTGCACGGCTATTGTAGTGGAACTGCTGGGGCGAACGTGTAATGTGTTAGATTTGTAAACGAAGAAAATAGAAATATTATTCTTAATAAGCATGTAATTTATTGAGTCTGCCAGTTCCCTTCTTGTTAGATTTGACTTTTTATGAGGCGATTCCTTCACGTGGTTCCCTTGTTTTGGCTGGGCTATAATAGTAGGGATCAGGAGAGTTGTCAAGCTATCTAGCGGGGGAAATTAAATCCCGTGCCATTCAATAGATATCGTAGGTCACCTGGAAGGCCATCAACCAAGGGGCCTAGCTGTATTGAATGTTTGGCTTCAATCATCTCTTGTCCTGCTTAAAGGCCGCCCCAGTACACACAAATTTGATGCCGAGCAGATGCCGAGAGATGTGGTAAAGATCCCCGACGAAGAATAAGGGCTTGGGGAAAATTTAATCGGGGTTCATCGTAAGTAATCGTACGCCATGCTTAACAACCTCTCAGCCTACCACGGAACGCGCATGCCAACGACATTCCCAGACACACTGCAATCCATGATTGCTAAACCCGCTCATTCGGGCGGGTACAACGGGCGGTTTGGAATATGTCATGTTCTGAATTCAATGTTCACTGGTGTCAATCGTATGTGGACACTAAAACTTCCCTTTACACTGCTTCATTGCCATGGCGAATCGGCGGATATTCCCAAACATGGTAGCCGTTCAAAACGGCGTTACAGGGAAATGGCTGGTTACACAAGGGCTACGGTCACGAGACCTGGGGCAAAGTCCCTCACTAACTTCTTGTATTTAAAGACGTCTTTGGCGACTGAGGCCTTGAGGAAAACCAAGGACCTTTGATACCAAAGACTGTTATTAGTTGAATTGAGCTATTGCTCCAAGCCCTCTTTCCGAGCCCTTGTCACAAACGGTCCATCCTGCGGACAAAGGCCCGCGTGAGACTGTCCCGGTATTACTTTCTTATCTAGACCAAGGTGCTCGTTGACTCGGTCACAGACGAGCAACTTTTGTTTAGCAGCGAGAGGTCTGGTGCTCAAAAGCGACGATCATCGGCATCACTCTCGATAAATTGGTCCGCATATCGCAGCGTGTCATGCACGACCCAATCCAAGTAACCTCGTATCCAGTACTTGAGTCCGTCGATCAAACCGTGTAGCTCATCGCTAATAGGTCGGGCAGTAACAGCATCCGCCAACTCGCAAAAGCTGGCAATTTCTTTATTCACACGAGTAGCTGTGGTTTCCACAGCATCCTGTAAAGACTGACCCTGCTGAGCGTATATTGTGACCATGTTTCTAAATTGACCAGGCTGGTGAATTTCTATACGCAGGCTCTGAATGTCATTTGCCCAGCAGACAATATTGTTGGTTTGACGGACAAGCGTCTGCACATCTGCATCATAGAACTCGCAAGCTTGAACCGAGCCCTTGTTGGCGGCATCTGCCAGAGAAGTGCAGGGGTTCATTCCACTTGTATGACGACGGATAGTTTGATACTCTCGCATGCCGACAGATGTCGGTCGCAGGTGGTTGAGGATCTGAAGGGCCGCAGTCGTTGCCCACAGCCGCATTCCTTGGGCGAATCGCTCAAAGGCTTCGGCCTGCAGTAGACGTCGCAGCCTCTGACAGACATCGAGCCACGCAAGTTCGCCGAATACTGGCGGTGACCCAGCAACGTTGAGATCAAGAACATCCACCATGGCCGTCAAATTGCGTATGGTTTCGTCCGTAGCTACCTCCACACGATCAACAAACAAGTCGTCGGCGAGAAAAAACCACACCAAGCAATCCGCAATGGCTTGGAGTAATTCCTCGCCAGCATTTGGGTAGCATCGCGCCGCGAGCAGGCCGTAACGCGTGCGTATCACACGATTGCGATATTCGTCAGTCACCAGCAGATTATGCTCATCAGCCCACTTCATCATCCTCGCTTCAATAACCTCCGCTTTGTTCGAGCACTGTCCTGGCCAGGGAACGCTAAAAAGCGGCACACGTAGAGATGAAAGTTGAGCTGTCAATCTTTGTTTTTCCATGACTAAACCAACGGGATCCGTAGACTTGACAGGGGCTTAATATACAAGAGCTTGAAACGAAGTACTTGCTTTGATATCAAAGGGCCTTGGTTTCCCTCAAGGCTCTCCAAGGCGCTTGGGGCGGATGACCTTTTTATAATTTGAGGCAGCAATAACCTACAACCCTAGCAGTCTCATGCCCGTTTTTGTAGACAAGCACCGGGTTCCATTGCATTGGCAACCAGAGACCTCTTCACCACATCTTCACAGCTCCCAACGCTCTGTCCAGCTAATTTCCTTTACCGGGCCAGCTAGGCCTTGAGCTCTTGCATACCGCCGTCAGGTTCACAGGACGGTTCGTGCCGTAAGTGTCATGTTACCTGTCATAAAACTACACATGTACTCTTGGAATTACCCTATTGTTGGTTCCGCTTCACGACTCTCTGTTGTGTACCCGTTGGCAACCAACTTGAACTAACTGGGTTGCTCACTATGCCGGAGAAGCAACATCCAACGCCCTGCCACCGATGCCAGGTGAAGAGTTGAAGCCCATGGATCGTGCGCGCGACCTCGTGTTTAACGAAACATGCCAAGGACGGGACAGTCTCCAGTTCATATTGGTATATTAAAAAATGCCGCACTTCCTCTACTGAGTACATGCAGTCCGCCCAACAAGAGCATCTCGACAATGCTAGTTCTAAACATGTCACTACATCTCCCGTTATAATATGGCAGGACTCGTCTGTCTTGACACTACTGAGGACAAGAGACCAGCTCTAGCTGCTTTTCACGAGCCATTGACTGCCGAAAACAGTGCCGAGTTATTACGAATGATGCATTTCATCCGGTGCGATGACGTGTGTAGGAAGGACAGACACCTCCTGCTCCTTCTTGCGCCATGTCCGGCTAAGCCGGCATCAAGGGTGCACCCTGCGGCCCGATCGCGATACAACAAGGATACTGCTCCATTATTTGCCATAATCGGCGGCGAGGGCTACAGGCCTGGTACATCGCAACGACATGGCAGTAATACTTGGCCATTACTAGAGGCGGTATTGCGTTGATCCAACAAAGCTCATGATGGTAATCGGCTAATGTACTGCGACTAAACTGACTGGTCGAAAAAGAAGGATGCAACAGCTCGACAGCCGATACAATACGCCTGCCGGGATACCCTTGACTCCACGGACAGTGTGGTACAACTACACCATCGGCAGAGAAAACTTGTACGACATGACGTATTCCACTATTGGCGGTGACATTCGCATTGCTCTTTTTCGTCTTTGGAACCAGAACCTTTGTCTATACAGCTGCTCTGTACCAAGAATAATAGAGCAGATTACAGAGCAAGGATGGGAAAAAGACAGCTTTTATGCCCGTCTACGCCTTGTTAGCTCCATACTTGAAAAAGTATCGACCATGAAGAGGGCCGTTATCATCGGAGACGACGCTTCAAAACCGCTCTTAGGCGGGGGTCACGAAGTATTTACGACACGGGCCGTTCCACGAACCTAGCCGTCGTCACACCCGCTACTAGACGGACTTGACGTTTTCCATCTTTGCCAGTTAGCAATACAGGGTGACGAATATCTGCGAAGCGTGAAAAACCTGTCACCGCTTTGATAGGCTGTCCCGTCCTTGTACAGATCCCACAACAAATGCGTAAAGCAGCCTATAACACATATACGTCAAAAACAGCAGTACTATTGATAGATGTCAGAATGATATGCTCGGGGTTTCTGGTGACAATGACACCTATTCCGAGCACGGAAAGCGCAGCGGTGTCTGGGCAGGGAGGGCTTTTATTACTCTGCGAGTAGGCAGAGTAATCAAGCAGCCGGTTTCTCATCTGAATATGCACCGCCTACCACAGAGTGTAGATTCAAGATTGTTGTGAAGATGAGCAGGTTAGTGGACACGCATTCCAGAGGGTTCTGTTTGCTTTTGAGCGAGCGATGAACAGAAAATCCTCCCGAGTTCTCATGCTCCCGGCGTTGCAGGCGTGACAGACCTTTCGGAATGAGCAGCGCAGTCTCCGGATGAGGAAAACGCCCAATGGCTGATATGATTTACTTTGGCGCGCCTCGAGGCATCTTTCTCCCTTGAACGACATCCAATCCAAACATGAAGTCGTGGGCATTCACACGAAGCCTAGTCTAGTGCGCGTCGAGCGTTGAACGGGCGCGCCAATATTAAACTCATTTCCCGCCACCAACTCAAGTGCTGGCTTGCCAATGTCGAGTATTGTCCCCAACGGTGATCAAGCGGATCATCAAGGGCATCGCATCCCTTCAGTTGTAGTTATGCCGACTGTCCGCCGTCGCGAGACTAACCATGGTTAGGCTGCTAAATGAGCTGGTTCTGGAAGAGGTGGGCCTGGGCCATCAATCCTTTGGATGACTTGAGAATGCCTCCGTGGCAATCATCTCCCTTGACAGAACATTGAACCTATAGTCATGAAACACATCAGGCTACAGATTTGGATACTACAGAGCAAAAACCAAAGACACCAATTGACGTCTGTTGTATTACACATCATCTCTACCTACCCTGTATGAATTCTTCAATTCCAGGGTCATGAATAAACCGGAAAGTCTATCAAGTTAATCACAGGCAACCACTTACTCTTAATTTCATGAACAGTGTAATTAAAGCGCAACAGGTCCTCATCTATTAGTTGGTGAGTTCTTCTTGCGACTCTGACCTTAAAGCGTTTAAAAAGTTCTCTTTCTTTAATCTTGGGCCAAAGTAGTATCGACGATTAGTGGCCGTGGCATTTCTAGTGTATACCACATAGAATAATATTCGGCAACCGGTCTAGTAAAGTATAATTATTTATATAATAAAAAGATTAATAGGAGAAGAAAACAAAGGGTTATTCCAAGAATACCTTACGCTAATCCGTTATGTGTTTTTAATTTTTTACTCTGTGCAGCGTACTCTGTCAAATATCCACCTAGAAATTAGTAGAGCTAATACTATCAGAGTACAAAAATAACTACAGAACTAATTTATATAATGTGGAAGCCTATTTGAGAGACGGTAATAAGAAGTTGGAGTTCAAGAACTAGTATATCGCAGCTTGTTTAATATACTTTAGCTGGACAATAGCCTTAAGAGCGTTATAAAGGCCGTCTTAACCCAACCAAAAATAAAAGAACAATAGTAAACTCTATTTACACGATGAGATATATAAGATGAGAGGAGAGAGGATCAAGTCAGACAGAAACCAAGAAATCTGTAAAGTGTAGAACAAAGCGAACTGCAGGGAATAGCGCGCTTGGTCGACCAAGGGACTTGCACCTTCCAACCGTTTAAGGCCACCCGAGAAAAGGAAGACCAAAACAAAGTATAAAGTATCTTGGATGTCCTTTTTCTGTATAAACGCACACAGCTGCAAGTCATAGAGCAATAAAATGCAACAACAGACAGCTTATGAGTGCCTCGTTTATCGTTTTTGCATCCTGGTGTTTGGTGCCACTCGAGAGCTTTAATTAGCCCTTGATTTGCTGCGGCCTGTTACTAGCATAATGGAGAGTTCCACCTATAACCTATAGATTTGTGGTCGGAATCACAATCCGCGACTGTGTAGGCGAATGCATGCAGGATCTGGGGCATGTCTGATCACATCACGGCTCATCGCATCACCACTGTGTCTTCTCTAGAGTACAAATTGCAGCCTATTGAAAGGTAATCGTCATTCATCGAAAACGACATGATGGAGCGAATTAGAAAGTGTTATCTAATGGCCTGTAATCCAAGAGGACGAGATTCCCACGGTGCTATCAGCAACGCAAGCGGTCGGAAGCTACTTGAAAATTCGTTATGGTACGACTGCCGTGGGCGCGAGATAATTTCAGTGCATTGCAAAAGTGAGCAGACGTACCGAAGTTGTTGTGATGCTACGCGACAGAGCGAACATAGGAGCATTCCTCAGCTTGGCAACAAGTACGATGCTTGGACGCAACAACAACTAGTTCAAAATGCCAAATCCCAAGCAATGGCAGCTGAGTGTTAGTAATAGCCGTCGACAACGGGTTATGTTGCACATACACAGCTACAGTAGTACATGGAAAGCAGTAAGGGATGGAGGTACGCAGCTAGTTTAGATAATGGAGCAGCTCTTCGTCTACTATCCCCCTCTTCCCCACGATAGTAGCGACATGGGCTTAGTTCTCCCTTGACAGGACAGTTGAACCACATGGTGCATTGTAACCACACAGTCAACCAAGGAACATGACAGTGCAACAATGGCAAACTACCCCATAAACTAACAAACTAGTAGTTCACTGCGGTACGCAGCACCAAGTCAATATGCGCCCTGATTTGCCGTTCTGGAATGGATCCTCATGTTACTACCATTTCCATGTGCCCCAACCCTTTCATGGATTGATCAACAAGACCATCATTGGTGTCGCGTAAAGGGACTACGGCAACACGGCACGCAGGTCAATGAGACAACAGCCGATCGGGCGAACGACTATAGAAATGACTTGGACGATCGTCCCTCCCCGCAACCCATACAATGCATTCACGAACCAGCAGCCTCACGTAGTCGCTCTGCATTCCTGTCACGTTTTGGCCGCGAATCTAAAATGCCAGTATCTACACCAAGCACAAGCATTAGGTTTGTCCTTGCCCCTGCCCCCCCCGCGGAAGCCGCTACGTCAACGTGAACTCGGGCTGGGCGTTTGCTGCATTCCATTTCAGCATGTTGCACCACCAGATAATAAGACACAAGGGTCAAAGTAGGGGACGCAAAGAGGGACCTGGAACACGCAACAACTATAAAGAACAGTCTTGGCACCCTGCATCTTGGCACTGGAAAACTGCATCACCAACCCCAAACAACGTCTCACACGCACTTTTCTCGACATCCTCAAAAACACACCACACACATTCATTTTACCAGTCTTTTTTTACAAAAAACACAAAACCGCCAAAATGAAGTCGAGCTTTGTTGCCGTCGCCCTCTCCCTCTTTGCCGGCGCTGCGCTTGCGTCTCCGGCTGATGCCTCGACGGCCATGCTGGACGACCGCCAGATGAAGGCGATCCATATTCTTCACAGCAACAAGGCGGCCCTCGGCCTCACCAGGGAGGAGACGGAAAAGTTTGACAAGTTCATGACGAGCATGCGCAAGCGCACTCCCCAGGGGCTCTTGGGGGCTCTGGGGGCTCTGGGGAATCTGGGAGACCTGGGCGGCAAGAAGGAGCCCAAGAACCCCGAGAGCACCGCCGCGCCCGCGGTGCCCAGTCCGACTCCGGCCGAAGCGGACATGGACTCGGAGGAGAACCCCGTGCCAACCCCGACCGCGGCCGCAGCCCCGAGTGAGACTCCCGCACCCCCCAAGAAAGGCGGCATCTTGGGTGGCACTGTTCTCTCCGGCCTTGTGTAAAGCCGCCGTGGTTACAAGGACAGGACAGGGTTGTTGAAGTTGATAGAGTGTAGGATAGGTAATGGGATGCATCGCAAAAGCTGCTCTTTGTGCCGTGTTTGCCGTGACGTTTTGGTGACCACATGTCGACAATGCTACGTGTCAAGTTTTGAGAGTGGCAGAATGGCCATCTTGTCATGCTCGAGGTTGTTCCATCGTCCACCTTGTGTCGTGACGAAATGAACTTGAATCCCTGTCGAATTCGCGCGTCGTGTCCAACCAAGACACCACATTCCACCAGACGGCTTCAATCGCTATCCCTGCTATGACCGCACCAACGTGGGCAATGTCCTTTTCCATCCGTAAAAATGTCATTCCAAGCCATCTTTACACACCTACCTCATACGATTATAGTAACCCCGATCAAAACTTCCGTCTTTTTTTGGTCCTGCTTATTGAGCCTCCCGTCACTAAAGTCTTGAAGGCTGCATAGTACACATATAAGTTTCAATGAGAGGCACACACTCCACAAAATGGTCTCGTAGATCAATGGCTTAGATCGCAGCTTTCCGGTGGCTGAGGTTCCAGGTTCGAGTCCTGGCGGGATCGTTTTTTGACCAGACCCCATTTTTTGTACCAGATTCCCTCGCCACCCACGAAAGAGCATAAAATATTTGATGCTACGTAACTTGATATGATGATTGTTCCCCGCTTGCCTTGAAAATGATCTCAACGTGAGAGACTTTTCTTTTTTAAAAAAATTAAATCCTGCATTGAAATGGGGACATTACCCGGCTACTGCAAAGTCTTGGATACATACAGCAAGACATCAACAAAATACTAGGGCCCAAGTAAGCGGTTTCGACGTGCTGTATAAATAACTAGTGCGGGGAAAACGCTAGCCCGGCCGGAAGAACAGTTCAATGTTGACAAGATTCGAGAACACGGGCGAATTAGTAGCTTTCGCCACAAGCGGACGCGAGATCCAAGTCCCGCCAGTATGAACATGGCCACCATAGAACAATGAACCCTCAACTGCAGTCAAGGTTAAAACCAGTGCAATACATTTTCGGGCCAATGCGACCCTGCATAATCGGTTCCTACCAACAGGGGATCTTGGCCCCCGCGCATGCGCGTCAAGAGGGTTCTAATCGTTGAGCCGTTGAGGTCCCGGTCCAGCAAGCTCTGAAGCATGCAAGACTCGTCGCTTATCCCTCCCGGTGCTTCTACAATTAAAAAATATCGCAGAGCAATACTGAGTGCAAGCAAGCCGGAAATGCGCCGTGCAAGACCACCTGACGATGCAAAAAGAAGTGACAAGGCGCGCGCACTCTTTCTGGCTGCCATCTGTAATTGTCTCATAGCCTCGGCTGTCTCCATAGCACACAACTCGGATACAAACATCTTAACGGATACGAGCATCATCTCGATAAACCAATATACGATGGAGAGATGCAGGAGACCAAACTCGGCCTCTTTCTGCGGTACCGGCACGCAGTCTCCCATAAATGTATAGTCAAACCTTAGAATGTCGGTGCCCATCTTGGCAGCCCAAACCCTCATCGCCCCTTCAAGTTGTACGCAGCGACTGAGGACCTTTTCCTGAACAATTCCTGCTGCGGTGGGACAAGAGCGGGACTGGAGCTGGGCGATTTGTTCCAAGAGTGTTGGAATCTCGAGCATTATATCCACAAGCCTGTCCTTTGCCGACTTTGGATTAATACCCCAGGGAATGGTCTTCCACTCATGGCTGCTAAACGGCGATCTGGCTCGTGTGCCAATGGCTAGCATTGCCTGGAAACACGAAGAACATTAGGTCGTTTGCTCCGTATGCAGCGGCAGATAGCAATCGAAATTACCATGTTGATACGACTATCGACAAATAGTTGATGAGCCGCTCCTGAAAGAAATGACTCGGGCCCTCTGGTGAGAAAAAACGCGAGTTGACCACCGGTATGGTGTTTCCAAGTCACGACTCTTGGTTCGTCCATCGGGACAAAGACGAGCTGCATTTTCAGTCAGTAATACCTTTGTTTCCCTTTGGACGAGAACAAACTTCAAAAGACGCCATTAACCCAGAGGCTACTATCAGGCCATTGCGTTGGTATGCCTGTCGTTGTTTCAGAGCCGAGCCGAGCTCTTGCACTGCAGAGTTATACGTCTGGAGGCTTTTGAGTCGCAGCTGCTCATCATTGTTCTCTGTGGCTAAGCATGCCATTGCCATGGCAAGCGTTACACATCTGAGACTCGGCTCCGTGTGAGCAGATAATCGTGATTCTGTCAACAAATGATGGTCTTTTGGGAGCATTACCGCCCAGAGATGCTCAAGGTACAGCTGCTGTCGGGCTGTCCTGACAAGGGAATCAGAGAGTGCGATGTTAGCTTGGCTGTTTTTAGGAGTCGCAGCCTGTGTTCTCAAGTGTCCGGGCCGTGTCTGCTCTCGCCATGTCGTAGATTTTGCGTTTCCACACACGAGGTCGTTTCCGATCAAGTAGCTGTTTACAAATTTACAATCTCTTGCGTAGCCCTCACAAACCAGACCTGATGCTCTGCATCGTGTGCATTCCGGCTTGGCCATGTCGCACTTTGGTGCACGTCAGCAGCTCCCTGTTCAGGCCAATCCGTTTCGACCACATACCCCCTTCTTCCGCCGTCGACATGTATTGCAGCCGTTGGACCGGCCCGGAGCCCCAACCATAATTCTCGTCGTTGGAGGCTGTTGTAGCTTTAGCGAGATGCTTGTTTCGACACAGACGCTTGCTCAATAGTGGGTTCCAATTATGAAGCTGTCTTTTGTTGTCCCTTTGGTTGCCGTCCTAGTTCTGGCACAGCCCCGAATTCGTCAGACGGAGTGATTTTAGCCCGATGCTTACTTGGGGCCATACTGTGCCTGGTGGCTGGGACTGCAATGCTGACACTGGCAGAACCACCAGTTCACATGAATCTTTCCGAACCCCGAGGGCTCTCTTACCCAAACCATGTGCCAATTGGCACTCAACCTTGGAGAAACCATCCATGGCGTGCAAGACTCCCTTCTACCACGGCTACGCGGTGCGAGTGTTGATAGAATATTCAAATACAATGATACGCTTATATACACAAAGGCAGGCTCAAATACAGAAGTAAAAAAAAGACTATTAACACAAATAAATACTCCCAGTCAGTCCCCCGGGGGGGAGACAAAAAGATGTGCGGTCAGTGTGACTTGAACACACGACCTTCAGATAGGCATCCGTAGGATTGAAGCCTGGACTTCAGTCTGACGATCTCCCAGCTAATCTATGACCGCAGGTGAAAGAAACAGATGTTTAAACAGCTTATGTACCCTTTGGCTTGTAAGCTTGCGTGGGCTTACGGGTGGGGGATGGATGGGCTTCGTGCGGCGCAATCCTTGAAACTTGGCAACGTCACGTTACCTTCAAAGGTTGACAAATCTTACGGCAAGGTGGGAAGAAGATGTAAAATCTACTTATTTTACACTATTTGTAGTTAGTTGTAATTCCGCTTGTAGGTTTCCCTTCTCTAGTTTTCCGAGGTGTCTCGTCCTTTCTGGAACCACTTACCTGGCATCTTTCTGCTGTGAATTGTACAGCTGGCTTTGCCACTGGTTTTGATGCCGGCTTTGATGCCGGCTTTGGTGCTGGTTTTGTGGCCGGTTTTGCAGGCTTGGCTGTTGAACTAGGTTTTCGCTGTTGAATAATGGAAGCTCGGCATAGTCTGCCGCAGGGAAGGAAAATTTGTGGCAACTTCAGAGCATCGCACTACACGTTGGAGTTAGTTCCCGTTACTTGGACATGATGTATTTTAAGCGTCTTGCCATGGCATGTCACGAGATGGTTTACCTTGCAGTTCCCTACCGTTAGTTCTGGGAGCGGTTTAGCTGGCTTCGCCGGTGGTTTTGCCTGTGGCTTTGCAGCAGGTTTTGCAGCAGGTTTTGCAGCAGGTTTTGCCGCCGGCTTAACAGCTGGACTAGATTTTGCTCGTTGTTGGAACAACGTAGCCCGACATATCCTGCCGCAAAGGAAGAAGAATGCAGGCAATTTCGTACCACACTATATCTGCAGTTAGTACTCGCCTTTTTTGTACAAAAACACCTGAGCGCCTTCCAACCGGAGTTCCAAGTAGCTTACCTTGCACTTCATTACTGTTACAGATGACGCGACTGGTTTTGCTACCGGGTTTTCCGCCCTGTCCACCTCGGCTTGGAATTTCGAACAATGCTCTTCCAACCTGTCATAAAGATCCTCATTCTCCGGAGGATTGTCTTCAAGCTCGGAACAAGAATTCAAGAGGCCGCTGACGGCTAATTCCCACATTCGGGCTGCATATTCGGACGTCCGATGAAGCGCCGCACAATATCCCTTCGTCCACTCCCAGACCGCTGGATGACCACCGGGATATACGCTGATACCTTTACACATCTCAATCACTCTATCCAGCTTTCCCGATTCAAAATCTCTCCGTAGATTGTCTGCATACTTCTCGCTTGAAGGTTTGCATATATTATTCGGCCGTCCAGCAATGATTTCTTTCGCTTGCCCCCCCTTTAATGCGCATATCAACTTTGCTTTTAGGTCATTGCCGTCAATATCATCTCGTTGGGGACCTCCTATTAGCTCCTGGAGGTCGGCTATTTTATTATCAAGCCAGTTCACTGCCGCCCCAATAGGGTTATCCCACTGCTTGATGGCTTCAAGCAACCTTCTCGCATGCGGTGCCAGCAGAGTAATAGCAGCTGCCTTGCCTACTGCCTTGGTTATCCGAATTTTGCTCGACTTGTAAGGCTTCGCCGAATAACGTGTGGCATCGCAGATGGCTCGTTTCTTGGTGGAGCATGGAAGGGATGACTTTAAGGAGTAGTCGTTATTCCTGATCTTGTTAGACTTGCTCGATGGCTTTTCCCGCGTTACTTCATATGCGTAGGAGATGCTCGAGGGTGGAACGGAGCCATCCACGGCGAATTCCTGATTCGCACCGACTGCGGGATTTTTATTAGGCGGGTAGATTTCAGGAACCCAATATCCGTTGGGAATATCCTTGGGCGCCATGACATAAATATAGCCCTTTTGGTTGTTTTCCGCCGACCGCCCAAAGGCATAGCTCTCAGCAGACTTGCGAGACCGAGAAAGTGACACAAGCCCCGAGCCGCCAACAAAGCTGAGATGATTCTGTAGGCTCTTGTCTGCGCCTTGTGGCGCGAAACCCGTCTTGAAGATTTCAGCGGGGGATCGTGAATCTCCCCGATAGAAAACGCCTGATTTGCCACCTCCAGGGACACTTTTTGTGGAAGCTTCTTCGGCAGAAATCTTGGGTGGGTTTGTTGGCTGACGCTTAATCATATCTCGGGATGAGGCTGCACCGTGTTTAGTCGCCAGATTACTATGATTTGGAATAATGTGGTGAAAAGCAGTATTTCCGACAACGGCTAGACTAGTAGCAGGGCCGGCAATAGCGGCATTGGACTTGGGCAAAGAAGACAAGAGATCGGGCGCCCGTGAAGCTGCAACAACTTGTTCCCATGCGAACAAGGCAACGAGCCGGTAGGCCTTCATGCTTGCTTTACGGTGAATGAAATGGAATATACCGAAAGAGTAAAAACAAACTTGTTGACTGCCTCCTAAATATGAATGTTGATAAACTGCTAATTATGGAGACGCAATATGTCTTATATCTTCCAAGTCCGGTTCATGTACCTTGGTTCCCAGTTTGCCCGCTTGACTGAGTCTAGCTAGGGCGTCAATGCAACCGAGGGGCAAACTATCGGCCTCGGCAGCAGCCGAAATGAAAATAGAAGCTGGAAATGAATGGCTTCATTGTACGGCACGAATCGAGTGCCGAGACAGTGTGGCACTAGCTGACTGGAAGATCAATATGCCATAGATAGTGATGGATGTGCGGCGTGTGTTACACTTAACTAGTCATCTTCTGAGTCAGGCACTAAATTGTAATATTAATGAATAAATAGCGAAACTCATTATAGCCGTTTATTGGATAGAATTGACAGCTATACGAGAGTGGCTCGGGAGGTTGACAAAAGATCCTACCATTCTTAAGCCTTATCATCCCCTAACCCTGATATAATAATTAAAAAGTCTATAAAGAAGACCCTCCTGTCTACCGTGCAGGGACCTCGCATTGTCTTAAATGCTCTGATATCGGGACGAAGTACCGGGCGCCCTTGCCTGCTTGCACTTGCCATGCCTGCATATTCGGAATAACACTAGACATATTAAAACAAGGGGTCAATCTTTCCCAGTCGCTCTTGGCATCGGATATGAATTGGAAAACTGGGCGTCAGACGGAGCCAACAAGTCTTTAATCCTGGTTACGTAGCTCGGAAACCGGCCCGCGATCGATAATGAAAATTTTCCAGCCGCAAGCCACATCAATAGCGTTAAAGACCCCCGGTCAATCGAGATGAAATTCGGAGCCGGCGGGTCAGGATACATATGATAGGAAACACTTATAGACGGGGGTAGATCGAGTCATATGGACCTCTCAGCTATTACCTCGATGCTTGGAACTGCACGGAATCCGAGGCGGGCCTAATTTATCGATTCGCTTATTTCTAGAGTTCATGCACATCCCATCCCCAACACGTGAGTCCGGAGATTGTGACGGCTTGACCGAACATGGTTCTACCATATTCTCGGTAACTTCGTCTATGCTAGAAACCGCCCACGACTAGTCGTCGTAAATTGGGCTCCGCTGGCATTTGGTCGCGGTAGTCAAGCTGTTTCTTTCCATCTTTATAAAATTTCGACATGTTCGCCACAGGCTAGACTTGAGTCCCAACCAACTCACAGTTACATCTTTTTTGCAAATACTCTCTGGCCGTTTCTTGAATTTTTTTTTCTTTCCAAAACTTGTAGTAACCTGCTCATTCTGCGCAATTGCCTAGACGATGATATACCTTGCCGCGCTCGCCGTCCTCTCCACCCTAGCTGCTGCCAACCCCCTTCTTCGTCGCCAAGACCAGCAACGAGCGGACGATGCTCTGACTCTTCGTGCCAACTTCTGTCTTCATCTCGATAAGCCAGAGTGTAAGGGGTTGTTTGAAAAGTGCAAGGCCGAGGGAAAATATGTCGAAGACTGTATTCCGCAGCATCACCCGACGTGTATGCAGGATGAATCTTCACCTTGCTCAAAGGCTGCTGTGCAGTGCCTTGCCGACCATAGTAAGGAGGAAGAGGCCTTTAAAGACTGCATCTTGGAAAAGGTGATGCCCGCGCCGGACACAGTTGACGATGCCGACAACGAGCAATCGGCCCCTAGTGGTTCCGGACAAGCTGAGCTTGCATGCGAATCGGCCAGTGTCGATTTCCAAGACACTTGGGTGGACAATAAATGCGGTGGAACAACTGATGCTGGCGAAACGACTGATGCTGGCGAGAGTAATAATGTGGCTCTGGAAAACGAGCCAGCGGCTTGCAAGGAGGCAAGAGACGCTTTTGATAAGGTCTGGGATGCAAATAACTGCGAGGCAGTACTAAATGCCGCCCTTGGCACCCCGCAAGGCGATTCAGATCCAAATGCCGTCTCTCTTGATGATAGTGATTAGGGGCCACGACATGTTTGGGTCATCTAGTGTATTTATGCGGGCACTCATTTTGTAGTCCTAGGTAGAAAATGGACACATTTTTAGGCACAGAGTAAAGACTATTATACCGAGAATAACTTATTGACAGTTATAGAGAAAAGTCTTTACAAAGTTAGCGTTCCTGCAACGAATATAGACTTCTATGTCTTGGTTGTGAGCTACTTGTGAAAGGTATGAAAGTGGAATAGGACTATTAACAAAGCAAAGAAATGTATTTACACGTAATATTATCATTATCTGCAAGTTCTATTGACGTTCTGCATTCTTTTCTTTAGTTGGTGCCAAGTCACGATGGCTCCTTGTCTGCTCCTCGCGGAATTATACCAAGACATGCTGTCCTATAGTCGAAAAGCCGCATTGCCCATGCTCAGCCGTAGATGTAGCACAAAATATTCTCAGTAGTGGACATGACTTGCTTAATTTTTACAAAGTCACCCGAGACATCTATGCGTAGGGTGTGATCGAGCGTCACATTCTCACTAGGCGGATCTGTACGAAGGTTAGCCAACGAAGGGAGCAGCCCGGAACTCGAACGTACAATTCTCAAAGGTGACCGTTCCACTCAGTGCATCTCGGCGATTTCGTGGATCCCTGCTCTGCCAGATCGCCCAGACCCGGTCCAACATGGCGTGGTGAAGAAAGAAGGCAGGATCTCCTGGAGATGTAAAAAGGTTGAGCTGCTCTGGACCATAGTAGAAATGGCCGCCGACATGGACGCCGTCGTCACTCTCAACAACACGGTTGAAAGTTTCCATGTTGGGACTATTCAAGATGAGATTCGTCACATTCTCGTACGAGTTCTGCTGGGCTAGTATAGGCATGTAAAAGTCGCGCTTCAGGCAACGCGGGTTCTGTGTAAGCTTGGCAGGCGTAGTTGCGCCCTCGTTGCTAGCATCAAGGTACAGGGTGAGGTTCTCAAATGGCCCTGAGACGCAACCGCCGCCTTCACCGGCAGCTCGCGTGAAGTATTGCACAGGAGGCGGGCCGCCGGGAACAGGCATGCGGTATTCTCCGTGGGGAATGGGCGCGCCATTTCCTGAAAGTGAGGCGGCTGATCCGTCAAATATTGTCGACTTTTGCGGATTCTCGATGTACTTGGGCCAGTCCCAATAGGGCAGGTAGCCTTTATAACCACATTCTTCTCGTAGAGCCGTCTCATAAAGATGAAGGAAGTAACGGTGCCACGGGAGGAGTAGACCCTTTTTTCGTAAGCTTTTGAAGCCAGTCGCCAGATTCCTTGGCATGTACGTACAGAAGCATGAATCTCAAGAGTTTGGTTCACGTGCGGGATAATAAACTCTTCGAGCCTGTTGTGTGCCAGGCCGCCGGGCTGCTTCGGTTCCTTTGCATGCAGACACTGCACTGCTCGTACGTAATCCAGGCGTTGGGCTTCCGAGAGCGAATCCCTGGGACAGGTTAGCGAAATCAGCTGACGGGTGTGGTGACGCATTCTGCACACCATTCCTGTCGGACTGCAATGTTTTTGCTTGTGCAGCCGGTTCTTCGCAGACCTGACAATACATTCTGCACATAGTCGACCTTGAGTTTGACCATGACGCCGGCGGCATCATTGGCGACACCTGATCCTCCCTTGTCGCCAAGCAATCGGCAATGAAGGCCGAGGATGGCACAAGCGGTCCGAAGAAGTGAAGGGATGAGCATACTTCTGATCAGAGAGCGACCTTTCTAAGTGTATAAGAAGGATTTAACTGTAATGTGTAATGGAAAGAAGTAGTGGCAGGTAGATGGATAGAGGACTACAATATCACTATATATACAACATCATGCATCATCACCAGATTTTACTAGGTCCCCTTCCAAGCTGAACACGGAACCAAGGCCACTGCATGTAGCCAATAAACTTGAATGTTGTACACTCTGGTCGGTTTTCCCGCTTTCTTGCCGGTGCCCCAACTACGATAGGCTTGGGCTGCAGCCGGTCAGAAAATTCGCCACATGGCGCAAAAAAGCAATGAAGATGTCACTGCGTAAGACAAATTGCCGCTATATCCGCGTCTGCACAATGATTCTGAGGTCCCGTTAGGGTCTCGGTTTACTCCGATGTGTGGGCTCTGACCCCGGACCTCGGCTCATGCAGCCACGCCTTGTTTGAATACCTCTTTGTTGTTCAGCTCGAGTGTATTTACCAAATGGCTACCTCCAAATTGTCCATTTGATACCAAGAAGAACGAAAATGTCAAGAGCATATACTCGTGCACAGGTTGAGACAAGCCAATTACAGAGCTGATTAGATACCTGACGTAGGCTGTGATATTTCTCATTGTACAACTATTGAGTCTGAAGTAGTCAGGGCTCTATCGATATATCTCTCTTTAACTGACCCAGTAAGCACCCTGGCGCGCCCTGGCGCGCCCCTTGATCGAATTCTTCATACTCAAGTGCCTCTTTCTTGGTGAAATTTTAATAATGGCAAACATACCTATTAGCTAACACTGCCTCTTAGCTTCTGAGAAATTGTATTATTGGGGCCTTGATTTCTTGAATGGGATAAAAGTGCATGCGATCACTTATAGCAAGAGGAATTAATGCCCATATATTACCTCAATGGGACGTCTTACTATTTTTAACACAGAGTATATCGTGCCGCTGTGGATCCGGCGCCGCCGGGTCTCTCCGCCGTCAGCAATAACGTTATTTGATATTTCTAGCCATGTGCGTCAGGGCATTGGTAGCGGCTTCAAAAGTCCTTTCTACTTCTCCATTTAGATATTTCTCCGCCCGCATACATCGGAGTTGCGCATACACTGCCGCACGTCTTCGCCAAATCCGGGCCAGTAGGATCACCCGCCGAGCAGCGACTGCATCACATTTCTTTGGGGGTAAACCATCAGAGCTGAATCGCGGGTCTACTATAGTGTTTGCCATGAATAATCCGCATTGTGGAATCCAAATCCGATACCATCCAGCGACATGCAAATCGGCCCTGTGACGTGGGATTGCATCATCACGTCGATTCCACGTTACATCCGCAATCCAGCCTACCCGACAGTATTGACTTCTGTCATGGCTTGGCTATTCCTGGCCAAGAAACGCCGTAGTAGGCAGTGTCGTTGTCAAACAGAAAATTTACTTCACGTACCGCAATGTGCTTATATTATGATTGCCGGACAGCCTAATAACTTGCTTGCTTTATCCGCACCCTCTATAATGCCTTTCCCTTCCAGCCTTGGTAGCAATGCATCGCAAGGAAGCAAAGATGTCGAAACCCGTGCAGACCGCTCGTTACTGTGGACAAGAGGTCGTGAGAGAAAGACACCCACACAAGAGAGAAAGGAATTGTATATATGTAAATAATAGGGCCGACAAAACGCACTAATATATTCTGGTAGATTAATAAAACTTGAGCCTTGCCAGCGCCTACGCAACAGTAAAGTGCTGTAATTAGAGGATAGAATACTAATACTAGTAATATTTACTAGGTTATACTTGTTTGCTATCTCGTGTAATCTGGCTTTTTAGGCCGGAATTAAATTTCTAATATATTTTAATTACTTAATATAATAAAATATAATAAA